AACGAGTCCTGCCGTGCCCTCCTATTTATGCCTTGTATCCGTACTCGTCTCCGTACTTGTATTCCTCCGTAATCGATACTTGTACTCGATCTCCGACCACCAGTTGCGTAGTTCAAACGTACAGACCGTAAAATAACATCTGCGTCCTATCCATCAAAGTTGACAGGCCGTCTGAATACCGTTTCCCAAAATAGCACGCGTTGGCTTTGAGGTTGTTATCAGCCCGACCCAATAAGCCACCTGTTATCGGTTGCATCAGACCAACACTGTGTCTCGGCTTCTCGTTCGTTATCATTTGTAACTGGTAGTTAGGCCTACCCCAGTTACATCCACCCCTGCTTTTTTTGTGTGTTTTCAACCACAAACAACGCCTGGCAGGTGCACTCCTCCAAAGTCAATCGCACAGTCGTAAAAAAAAAATCTATTGTTCCACTCACTGTCCACGACGTTCCATTCGTATACGATTGACAGTTATACCTATTTCACATATCAACTGTGTCTACATCATCTTCCTGAGACACAAAACAGTTCTAGAATTCACATCCACCCTTTCCATTTGGTGCCTTCACCAGTTCACTTCTATAGCTCTTTGAACAGTCTGTTTTCGTACCAGCGCGACCATGAAAGAATTGATGGTTGCTGACAAAAAATTTCGTATTCCTTCTGTTCCTTAAACTTCTCCGCGGACCACTTATCTGATGGTCTACTGTCTCTCTGCTTCTGGAGGGACCGGGATCCTCATTGTTGCCGGTATCCTCCCCTTGCGTATCGCGGTTGTTCTGTTGATGGTGATATGGTTCCGGAATGGGTATGTGACTTTCCGTTATAACTTCCGGTTCCCTAATTGTCTTGGGTTTCTCTGTGTGTAACTGCTCTTCTTGCCTATTCCAATATTTCTTTAATTGAGCAATATTCGCCCACCGATCCGGTTTGGCGTGATCGATGGGTCTTATCTTAAAGGGGCCACCTGCTCCTTTAGGCATCTCCACGACTTGCCATATCTCCTGTCCCCAGAGATCGTGGATTTTGTTTCTGCCTAACGGGTGGCTACGCAGTAATACCCTGTCATTCAGTTTGAGTGGCGGGTCCTTCGTCTGTATCGGCGGTTCCCTTCGCCGAGATTCATGTTCTAGTCTTTCCTGTACTACCCTGTACATTTCTCTAATTCTTCTCATATGTTCATTCACATATTCCAGTGCGGTGTATGAGCCAGTCATACTCTCCCTTTTTCCTAAGAACAAATCAAGAGGGAGTCGAGCCTCCCGTCCGAACAGCAACATGTATGGCGTAAAGCCGGTTGTGGCATGGGGTGTGCAGTTGTATAGATATACCAACTCTGGGAGAAAATCAGGCCAACGTTTTTTCTGTTCAGGTTCTAGCGTACGCAGCAAATCATGCATGCTGCGGTTGAACCGTTCACACTGTCCGTTTCCTTTCGGATTAAATGTGGTTGTTCTAGATTTGTTAATCCCGTAGTGGCTGCACAGTTGGTTAATTACTTCTGACTCGAAAGCCCTTCCTTGGTCAGAATGTAATTGTCTTGGTATGCCATATTTGATGAACCAATGTTCTATTAAGACCTTTGCCACTGTTTTGGCAGTCTGATCTCGTGTGGGCACCGCCACAGTCCATTTGGTGAATACATCAGTCATTACCAACACATGTTCCGTCCCATCCGATAATTGCTCCAACGACGTAAAGTCCATAGCCACAATCTCTAGTGGTTTTGTCGCTAGTAGGTGTCCTGATGGCTGTCTCATTTTGACAACTGGCATTTTCGCATGCTGACACCTCACACAAGCCTCACAATGGCGTTTGACCTCCATTTCCATATTGGGCCAGTAACACCTCCGTCGTAATATTTTGTGCGTCCTGTCCTGACCCTGGTGTCCTGCCCTGTCATGTGCCAACCTTAGCACTTCTTCTCGTAATTGTCCAGGCACCACCACCTGGTGTATTGTCCCATCAATTTGGTCATGAATTCTCCGCATGAGAACACCATCCTCTATACTGAGACGGTCCCACTGACTCAGTATTTTCTTTGTTTCTCGACCAAATTGTTCTCTTTCCCTTCTTCCTGGGAATTTTTGTTCCTGGACGTATTTCAATAGCGGTTGTAAGCCACTATCCGTTCTCTGGGCATCTCTTATCTTTTTGTGATTAAGGCAATTAAAATCATTACTGTCCATATGTTCGGGCTCTGTGGATATGTGCTCCACCCCGGTCTGCCCGTTCTGCATCACTTGTACCCCATGAGGGATATCTGTTGACGCTCTGACCTCACATATTCCTGTCAGCGTTTCTTCCTCATCACCCGGTCTCTCGTAAGGATTCCTTGATAAGGCGTCCGCATTGCCATTGGACCGCCCCGGGCGATGTTTTCTCTCTAGGTCAACGAGTGCCAAATCTGCTGCCCATCGCTGTTCGATGGATCCCAGCCTTGCTGTAATTTGAAGTTCTTTTTCAATATCTGATAATTTTTCTAGTTTGCCAACACTGTTCTGTTGTCTACTATTTTTATTTACTTCTTCCGATAACAGACGCTCTAAAGATGAACATTTCTCCTGTGCTTTTAATTTGCATGAACTTTCCCTATCCAGTTTCCTGGTTAACATTGAGATCTCATTCTTAAGTCTACCAATTTCTTCCTTATCATCATTTTTCTTAGCCAACAAATTGTTCACTTGAAACTTTTCAACATTCAAGTTCATTTCACAGTTCATTTTTCCACTATCTGATAATTGCCCTTCGAGTCTTGTTTGAGACTCTTTCATTGTTTGTTTCCTTTTGTTTCTTACGCCATAACCTCGCCGCTCTGTAGCCTTGACCTGCCTTACAGAGGGCGATCGTTTCACCGGACAGTACCGTGCCATATGTCCGGGTTGTGAACAAGACAAACAAATTGGTCGACCGTCTGCCGTCCATTGGAGTGATGGCTTGGCAGGACGCGGCCGTCCAACCCGTCCCTGTTTTGTACTGTTCTTTTCCTGATTCTCAGCTGTTGACCTGCTTTCCAACCACTTCAAGCGTTGGTCAACCTTCTCTAGGTGGGCCAACAGTTGAGCCATCATGGTCTCCATCGTGTCGGCCCCTGTGGGTGGGGATTGTCTCTGTTCAGGCACAGAGACTTTGTCCACCGAACAGTTCGATTGGTCCTCATCCTCGGACCTGCGGATCGCTGAGTTCCTGACCTGAAGGAAGGTCAACTGCTGGTCTCTGTGGACCTCCTCCTTCAACTCTCTCCTTAAGATCGGGGTTGCTAGCCCCTCGATGAAATGGTCCCTCAGTAGGCGCACATCAATGTCCGGTGATTTGCCCTTTACCAAATCAAAGGCCCTGTTCATCCTGTGTGAGTACTCCATCACACTCTCCGCCATTCTCTGCTTTAAGCCCACGAATCCCGATAGCAGTTGCACTCCCGACCGTCTCTCCCCAAAGGTCTCCATAATCAGATCTAGCACCTTATCTGGATCTGATTGGACGGTCCTATCGTGGCACTTAACCTCTGCCCTAACCGTTTCACCTATACTGCCCATCAGCAGTCTTAATCTTTCCTCTGGTGACATATGTCTCGAGGCCCAGGCCGCTTTGACCTCTTCACTGAACCTGTTGGTTAAAGTTGGATCTCCGTCCCCGTAGAATTTGTTAATATGGGACTCTCTGGGTAGGACCACTATATGGGTCTGTTTCTCGTCCAGAGTAGACATTTTCTTCCTTAAGTACTAAAAAAAAAGAGTTCTTTCTTACCGTGTGTGTATGAAAAATTTTTCCTCGTTCCTCAATTTTCACAGTTCCTGAATGTCCGAATTCACACACACACTAAACACAGTTATGCACAAGGTTGACTATAGGTGCCTTAAACGGCAAGTCTAGTTGAATTCATCCTGTCCGACGACGCCAAATGTGACCTAGGCTACTCGCAGCGCCAAATGTGACCCTGCTCGCAGCGCCAATTGTGACGAGCGAACATTTATCCTGCCGACAACGCCAATTGTAACGAGCCAACAGTTACCATGCTCGCAACGCCACATGTAATGAGACCTAATTGCCTGTAGTGCCACGTGTTAACGAGTTTAACCACTCATTCTAGACAACATTGACCACAGTATAGATACTCAAGATGCAGGTTCGCTATTGATCCTTTATTACATGAATCAAGAAATGCTTCATAATAACACAATAAATCAACAGGAATGCTTCTCAATAATAGTCTGAATCAACTGACCCCTAACAGTCCTTCACTAGGCTTTATATAACTGAATCCACATGTCTATAATCCTTCTTAACACAATACGGCTAACCCGTTCTATAACCGACTTGACATAGTCACACAGACTGACTGATCTAAGCGAGCGATGAAGGAGGCAAGAGCCTCGAAACGGGAAGAGAAGAGCGCCCCAACGGGAAGAGAGAGAACGAGTCCTGCCGTGCCCTCCTATTTATGCCTTGTATCCGTACTCGTCTCCGTACTTGTATTCCTCCGTAATCGATACTTGTACTCGATCTCCGACCACCAGTTGCGTAGTTCAAACGTACAGACCGTAAAATAACATCTGCGTCCTATCCATCAAAGTTGACAGGCCGTCTGAATACCGTTTCCCAAAATAGCACGCGTTGGCTTTGAGGTTGTTATCAGCCCGACCCAATAAGCCACCTGTTATCGGTTGCATCAGACCAACACTGTGTCTCGGCTTCTCGTTCGTTATCATTTGTAACTGGTAGTTAGGCCTACCCCAGTTACATATATATATATATATATATATATATATATATATATATATATATATATATATATATATATATATGTTACGGTCAAAGCCCGAAGTCGGCCAATGCTAGGATTGGCCGGCCAATCCGCGCATTGGCCAATATCGCCTCCCATAGGTCGGTCAAAGTCCGAAACTTTGCTTCATTTTATCATCCACCCTGTTCAAAAGATTACCACGGAGGTTATGATATTAAAATTTATTGGTTGTTTTTTTTTTCTTTCTCTCCCGCAGATCTTCATGACATCACGCCTCAATCGTTCGAGCCACGCCTGATGACGTCACATCCCATCGTGATACCGGTGCAGGTGAGGAGCGAGGTCAAGGTCTTCCCGCCGGCCGGCCGGCCACAGCCAGACTACAGGTCAGTGTGAGGAAGTTTAAAGTCCATGTACCACACGTCGCACTGATGTTCTCTAGTGGATACTTGCGTGCACGCACCAGCACCGTTCGGGAAGTCCCAAAGATAAAAAGATATCCTCACATTTGATGTGGTGAAAGCACCGTAATCGTGGGGTGTGTGAGTGGGGTGTTTACTTGGGGGGCGGGGTGTGGGTGGGTGTGAGTGGGACGTGTTGACTGGACGGTTGTGGTGTGTGTTTGTGTGAGAGAGAGAGAGGTGTTGATTGGAGACAACGACACAATGATTGTGCCGGGGTATGTCTAAACAAACCGCGACCTGTTGAACATCAGACTTAAAAGATCCCACCTCTACACACACCTACCCCACCCCTACACACATCCAGCCCAACCCTAAACACATCCTACCCCTACACACCCGTACCCCAACCCTAAACGTCCCCACTCCTAAACACCCCCCCCCCCCCCCCGGGTTAGCCACTTCAACTGAGACACCCTTAAGTCTGAACTTAAAGTAGCTTTGTTTAGCTAGTCCAGAGTTTCAAAAAGAAACAAAAATCTTGGAATAACACAATCTGAACAATAATTTGGGTATTAGCGAGCTAAAGCGCTACTACATTAAACATGCACTAGTTCAACATTAACGTCTGTTGATTTAACGTTTAAGATATTTTCGTACAGTTTTAACTACGTTTTGATAAAAAAAAATAACGTTGTATGGAAACGGAATTAACGATGTTTTGAATTCACGATATATTGATACATAATTAACTACTTGATTCAGTGTAAATGCAATGTTTAACAACTTCACCAGTTAAACATCCTAACGTCAATGCGATGGTCAGCAAATATACGACAGTTTAACACCCACATAGGATGACCTCTGATTTAACAGTGATTGTACTGCCAGGATCTGAGACGGGCTGAGTGAAAACAAATTTGCTCATGTCTCACCCACCACTGTCCTCATATATAACGAAGTGTAACACTAACTCAACAACAGACGCACTTTAAAAAACTGCACACGCGACACAAATATTTTCTCTATAATAAAAATAAAAACGACACAGAACAAATAGACTGCCTTCACAAAGTTGAATTGTCTACATTGTATAGACCGCCTTCAGAAAGTTGAATTGTCTACAGTGTATAGACTGCCTTCAGAAAGTTGAATTGTCTACAGTGTATTTGTCCCGACCAGACCCACGCCTAATGACATATTTGTACAGGCGCTGTTTGCTAATTCACCCCCACCCCCCAACCTTAACCCCCCACCCCCATGCAGTCTAACTGATCCATAAGACACCCCACCAGAATTATTGATCAGAATATTGTAGCTGCTCTAAGGGTAAAGATTCCTCCAGTGCATACAGGGGACGCAACCAGCGGTCGACTCTCGCGTGCCTAAGGGAGGAAACCCATCGCTGAGCTCAACTAATCCAACTCACCAGCCCACCCAACGGCCGCGGGTCCTTTTTTTTCATCCCATTCAATTACAATAACGCAAGGTGCATCGCGTGAAAGCAAGGGCAATGAAACGTACATTAGTGATCTAACTATAATTAATCGGTGTATTATTTTACGTCTTTTGAGCATCCGAGGGGTTGGTTACGTGTTGGGACAAATGGACCGCTTGCCTTTTATGTCTTGTTAAGAGTTGCCCTTTGTCCTCGCTGCATTCATTAAAGTGCATAAAGAAGGAGGGCATGAATTATAGATGGGGCGGGAATGTGGTAGAGCGGCTAATGAGGACGAGGGCTTCAGACATGTGAGACGGCCATACGCGAGTCTGTTTGATGCACAGCATGTCGACGGTTCTGGCGTTGTAGCTCACACACACATTGAGTTTATTTATATCTCATGCGAGCTCCACGCAAAATCAGGTTCAGACAAAATTTCTTTGTAAAATTTTTAAAATATTATCTTAAACGGAATTTATTACACAAAGTGTATACGAGTCAAATTATTTTAAAATAAATTTGAGAACCTTTGGATAGGGTAGTCTGCAGATAGACTGGCGGTAACAGAGTAATGTTCATGTTGGTGGCTGACGTGTTAACTTGCTCAGTTAAAAATACGGATCGTTGGTTAGGAAACAAAACAGTTTTGTCGCAAGGTGATTGGGAGACAGTCAAGAAATATTTAACTAGTTGGGGACAATCAAAGCTGATTGGGGACAATTAATTAAACTAGTTGGGTACAATCAAGAAACATTAAACTAAGCATGGACAATGAAATCATTAATTATAGACAACATTAGCAACATTAAATTAATTGGAGAAAATCAAGAAACATTTATCATTACATTGCCTATTGTAGAACTGACACTGAACGAACTATCGATCCTCTGGATAATGAAGAGTTCTGCATGAACATATGTACCCTACAGGCTTGTATCCATATCTAGAGGCTGGGCTACACCGCCAGTGTTCTGAGAACTCCTTAGAAAACTTTGAATGTAAAACCCGAGTCAGTTCCCTGATAGATTGATGTAGCTCTCATTTTGTCTCAGTTCAACAAAAGAAACCAGATGTTTATTTTTTTTTTTATCTTTTAAAGTATTTTTTTTTGTCAATCTAGAGATATATTTCGGATATGTATACAACCGCTCCCCCTTTCTCTCCCCACCCTATTTCACCTCGAAGAAACATTCTTTTATCTTTCCTTCTGAAACACGTTACTCATTTAAGCTGAATGTTTATCCCATTGACAAATATTTATTTTTTAAAATGAGATCTCCTAAGTCTTTAAAAACCGGTTACACACACAGACATACACACAGACAGATGTATTTTCAATTATTTCACATAAAGATGGAGGAGTGGGTGGGATAACAGTCCAATATATTTAAAGAGCTAACGATTTTAAATAACGTGCCATTAAAGAGTTAACTTTTTTTTTAAAACAACTCCTATTGCAACATTTAAAGAGTTATCTTTTTATTTTAAAAAATCTAGTCGTTAGGACCACCTGCGGTTGGAACTCAGGTGAAAGGTGTACCTATAAATAAATGGCTGCCTATTAATGTACTCACCTTTTAGAACACCGTGGAAAAAGGCCCCGGGGTGAGGGGGGAGGGGGTTCTAACAGTGAAGTCTGAAACAGATGTTTAATTCCTACGGGTTATCAAACTACAGACGGAAGTTTAGTCTCAATACAGTTAAAAGCAGTTTAAATAAACGTTGAAAGCTATTTTTGTTAGTCATTTAAGTGATATGGTTTAAATATTGCTTTAGCGGATAATATATTAAATTATTTGTTTAGTGTGTTCAATATATTTGAGATCGTCTTATTTTCCTGTGGACAATATATGGGAGGCTACTAAATGTTTCTGTGGATAATATATGGGAGACTGCTCTGTTTCTTTGGACAATTATGTCTAATAAATGGGACGCTTTAAACAACACGACTAAGCATCTCGATTTTTGCTATCTTGTTGATTTCTAATTGTTGTGTAACCGGCACTTTAGTATGTAACCGACACTTTAGTATGTAACCGGCACTTTAGACCGGCACTTTAGTATGTGACCGGCACTTTAGTGTGTGACCGGCACTTTAGTATGTGACCGGCACTTTAGTGTGTGACCGGCACTTTAGTATGTGACCGGCACTTTAGTGTATGACCGGCATTTTAGTGTGTGACCGGCACTTTAGTGTATGACCGGCATTTTAGTGTGTGACCGGCACTTTAGTGTGTGACCGGCACTTAGTATGTGACCGGCACTTTAGTATGTGACCGGCACTTTAGTGTGTGACCGGCACTTTAGTGTGTGACCGGCACTTTAGTGTGTGACCGGCACTTTAGTGTGTGACCGGCACTTTAGTGTGTGACCGGCACTTTAGTGTGTGACCGGCACTTTAGTATGTGACCGGCACTTTAGTGTGTAACCGGCACATTAGTGTGTGACCGGCACTTTAGTGTGTGACCGGCAATGTATTCCCCGAATTCTTAAACCTGCAGAGCATTATTAAGTGCCGTTTGCTTACCTTTCCTTTCCGACTTCCGGTCCTACACCGCAGCTAATGCGTCAGGCACGTGCGACTTGTTCTTTCCCTCACAGACGTCATTTTGTTTTCCCTGGTAAAAATAACTTATACGAGAGTAACACTTATTTTTAAATTATCTCCCTTTTTTGTGTGTTAAAAAATAGCGTTATTCCCCTTGACAAGATCACCGCCTAAGATAATAAGTCTGGTTAATCTCGCCAGTAATTAGTGGGTCCTGGTTTAAGGCCAGCTTACCGTTGCACGGGATCAAGGCACGCGCTAATGATTTATTTATCGCGGCCACAAATCCACAGCCATTATTACTGTTTGCCTGTGCGGGTATGTTGCTGGGAGACGCTGGATTGTTTATAGGGTTAGAGTTATCGGTCTTGGGTTTTTGAAACACGCAGATACACTATCCATATAAATATGTATTTTGTTGTATTTTATTATTTTCGTTTGTTGGTTGTTTTTTTTTTATATTGTTTTGATAAAAAACGTCAATAACCGGATAAAGAAAATATTTGGCATCATAATGGCGTTTAGCTTTGCATTCATTAAGTCATAATTTGATAATGGAGATTATTTTAAAAATCAAATATGAGGATGAATTTTTTTTTCCAAAAAAAAAAAAGAATTGTAGGAGTTCGACCTTATTTCAATTTCTAATTTCTTCTAGCTCTGATTATGTAATCGCATCCCTGCCTCCCAATGTGATGTATGATCACCCCTACCCCCCCTACCCCCCCCCCCCCCATCCATTCTCCAATAGGTTACGCACCACTGTCCTATTAAAGTGAACACTTGAAACTTCCGGGGGTCGGAAACTGGATAAAGTTTATAATATGTTTCGTCTGTTGTCATCCCCCTTCCCCATATAGATGCCTGAAAGAAATACTGGCCACAAGATGACTATGTGTATCTTTACTTTATTTGATACTTGGAAACATGACTGTGATATATGACTGATGGGCTTTATCTTTAGATTGACCTCTTAGGATAAATCAAAGTCAGAGGTGGAAAAATTATCCCCTTTAAAAGACAGTAGTATAGGGTTAAGATTATTTTCCAACAAAATAAGTATAATTAAAATTGTTTTAATCTGATAGATAGAGACGTGTTATTACTGTTGTCTGAAAAACTGGGGTGTGGGGGAAGTGGGAGGGGAGGGCACACATTTAAAATATAAATGTACTCAAGGCATTCATTACCCTCCATCCGACACACACACACACACACACACACACACAAACACACAAACAAACAAATCACGTCGGCAATGAGGAAAAGGGAAGGCAATTAATTATGTTTGAACTTCTCTCTGCTTCATTAGTTATGTTTTGTAAACTAGCTTGTTATCTTCCCCTGGCATGTAACTGAAGGTCTGTAGCTCGTGCCGAATTACACACCACTCGTGTCGCTCCACGTCATCTTCAGCCCGTTGTTTTGATTGGCTCAAGACAGACTAATTGCCGCCCGCACACAAATCAGGGATTATTTCCCCTTGCTGACCAAAAGCCACGTGACAAGAAGATTGTGGGGTCCCCACACACAAATGAAGGTGTAGCACTCGCCAGCCCGCCTCGGAGAAGATGAGGGAAAAAAATTAAGAGCATCATTGTCAGAGCAGGGAGAGAACTCAAACAATGACTAATAATCTCGTATTGATGGTTATCTTCTGCCGGTTGTTTGTGTAATGGAATCCCACCTTGTGGGGGTGACGTGGAGAAGAGAAAAAGCCACCCAGAGTGAGTGGGCTGAGGTGACGTGCTCAGCAACTAAGACGTATCTTTGTTTGACGTCTGTCGCACCAGTCGGCTCTGGGTAATTTTGAGCAGACGACAAGCCCCACTCACAGAGGAGATTCTTCCCGTCTTGTTGACTTCCTGCCTGTCCAGATTGGTTGATTTGTTTGTTTGTTTGTTTGTTTGTTTGTGCTGTTGTTGTTGTTGTTTTTTGGACAATCCATTTGGTTGATGTGATAACGTTACGGTTCTCAAATAAGAAAAAGTGTTGTTTTTTTTTTTTTTTAATTTTGTGAAGCGATGTACATATAAAATGGTTATTATAACGTGATATAACTTACGACTATAAACTAAAGTGATGTTACACCTGTAATAAAGTTGTTCATATTTTTAGCTAGGGTGAATTTTATTTTTTTTAATTCCTGGTCGTAACATCTTCTTATGTGTAATTTTAAGTAGATCTACAGTTTATGATAAACGATAAAAGTCTTTTTTAACAGAGTTTAATATTTTAACGGACTTTTTTTCAAGGCTTCCGGTTTTCTTTATGCATGGGTTAGAAGTCAAGTTTACCTGTAGAGGCAGTCAGGCGTACAAGTCATAAAACAACCGTAAAATCTAACACTGGTGCTCAACCGTAGCATCGGTGACGGGTGTTTGATATACGTCATGTATATCTCGCAAGTTTACTCTGGCTGTATACGTCTCATATATCACACACTTTATACGTCTTGTGTATCACACACTTTATACGTCTTGTGTATCACACACTTTATACGTCTTGTGTATCACACACTTTATACGTCTTGTGTATCACACACTTTATACGTCTTGTGTATCACACACTTTATACGTCTTGTGTATCACACACTTTACGTTTTCTGTAGTCTTTATAAGTCTTGTGTACCAAATAAGTTTAATGAAGCTTTTATACGAATCAACAATAAATGCCATCCATATACCCATATTTATTTTTAAATTTATTAAAAGACTTACGTATCCATTTATTCAATGACTATTCTTTGATCTGTTATTATTATGTATGTATCCATTAATATATGTGTCATTTGATCCGTTTAATCTATATGTCCAATCACCAGCATACTCATAAATATATGTATTAATATGTCAATCCATCCACTACTGAATCCCAATCATTTATGTATACATAAATTATGGCACCAATGTATCAATCCATCCCTGCACCAATGTATCCATCAATCCATGCACCAATGTATCCACCAATCCATGCACAAATTTATCCATCAATCCAAGCACCAAAGTATCCACCAATCCATGCACCAATGTATCCCCCAATCCATGCACCAACGTATCCACCAATCCATGCACCAGTGTATCCACCAATCCATGCACCAATTTATCCATCAATACATGCACCAATCTATCCATCAATACATGCACCAATCCACCAATCCATCCACCAATGCATCCACCAATCTATGCACCACTGTATCCATTAATCCATGCACCAGTGTATCCCCCAATCAATGCACCACTGTATCCACCAATTCATGTATCCATAGGTGGCTGGATCGCAACGACCGTGTGATAGGGACGAGCGGCAGGATCCACTACAACGCCTTCACCAACCGTCTCGTGTTCGAATCCCCGCAGGAAATCGACTCTGGAAACTACACTTTTATCGCCAACAATTCGGCGGCCGAGAAGAAACAAAATGTCTGGATCATCGTTTCCGGTGAGTGGCTGTTTCACCTTTCATTGTAGGTCGAGCTGGGACTTATTCTCTACCCACCCATACAGGCTTCGACCATAAGCAGGCAGGTCCAAATTGTACAGGTCATGTAGAGAGTAGCAGGTCAAATTGTACATGTCACAATAGACAAGCGTTGATCGGCCTCATTTTCCAGTCGAGAAAATGGTCGAGCTTTTCTTTGTCTTGACCGAATGAGAAGTTTTTGACTCTCAGACTCCTGACGCCATCGACATCCCTGATCAGCTGCGTCACATAACTGCAAACGCCAATCTCAAAAGTTTCAGATCCGAGTTTGTGACTTCCGGGTTTGTTAGTGGTCTGTTCTACCACTATTCAAGGCCGACCACTCAATTCGTCATTATACTGGCTTGCTTACACTAATTCAATCATTACGACGTAATGTAACATTCGAATCCTGCAGGGCCCTTATATAGAAATATGTAATATACGATGTGTTGTAGTGATAATGCAACATTAAGACTTTGCTTTTTAATCGTTGAACTAGTTTTTAATAACGTGGAATTTCACCCAATTTTTCAATAATCCCCGGCCGACATGTTTATATTTACACGTATTCGTTATCTGGTGCTGCTCTTTGTGGTGCTTGGGTAACGTTATAAGGGGTGGGGGGCGTTCAGAATTAATGTAAAATCAATTAGCTTAGACGAAAACAAATTAACAAGTCTCATTGCCTGATAACCCGTGTTGTGCACATGGCATCATTACCTCCTCTTTCCTTGCCATCGTACATAACTATTTCTACTTTGTTGAATTTAGAACTACATGTATACGGTTAGTTAAGTTAAATTAATTTGTAAAAAATATTTTAACGCTAAACTTCAAATCAGGTTAATTAATTTTAATAATTCATCCTAATTACTAATAAACGTCGAAACGAGGACGGCACTTAAAAGTGCAAGCAGCGATAAATTGGAGTCAATCGAAAATAGGTGAGCCATGTGATAAAGTAAATAGTTGCACAGATAAATGTAAGGGGAAATTAATTTGGCTCACATCTGGCTAAAATTATCTGGCACATCATTAAAGTCGTCTGCCAACCCCGATAACGCTGGCCTATCCTTCAACACTTAGACCCTGAACAAAACTTGGAACAGAGGCGGAATCTAGGAAACAAACTTTGTGTAGAGAGAGCCCAGTGATTTTTAAAGTAAAAATAGCAAATGGACTGTGTGATATTCAATATTCAACAATACATTAAAATTACCAAAAGGTTTTTGCAGCCCGTTTATAGATAACCAATAGCCTGTTCTTCTAATAACATGTAGCCCGTACTCCATACCTGTATAACCAATAGCCTGTTTTTAATAACCCATAGCCTGTGTCTTCACACTAGCCTAATTTTCCACCTGAAGAAAGATAAAACGGTGAGTCCCGAATTAAAGTTTGATCCAATCATATTCTCTTATCAAGAAAATCTCTGCAACTGGCGCCCAACAAATAAATCATTTGCTCCTCTTCCGGTTCTAAATTCTCCAGTGCGCGGGTTCCACAATGGGCGATAATTCTAATCAACCCCCGTGTGCAGTGCTCTCCCCTGAACAAAACTTTTTGTGACAGAGCAATTTTCTACATGTCTCTACTCTGGTCTAGGTGGGCGTGCTGGAACCTCGTTCAACAGGGGCCAAGTTAGAGTTTTATCATTAATATAAGATCTACATAAACTCTCATTCTAGTTTGAGCCTTGGCTCTAAGGCTTATCATTTACCTAATCTTCAACTCATGCTTTCTGTTGTTGTTTTTTTTTTGTTGACTTAATTGGGAAATATCTAAACATTTTACCGATATAAATTTCGCTTTGATTTGCTTTGTTAGTCTGGTCTAGAGAGTAACAAAACAACACATTTTACAACTGACCGCAAAATGTTACAACTGACCACACATCTATGGGGTGTTATATCCCACAATCGACGGCCTTCACCTCTTTGGACACACATCGCCACACACGTATTACCCCACACATATCCCCCCACACATAACGCCACACACGTATCACCCCACACATCATTTCACACATTGCCACACACATATCACCCCACACATATCACCCCACACATATCACCCCACACACGTATCACCCCACACATCATCCCACACATCGCCACACACATATCACCCCACACATATCACCCCACACATATCACCCCACACATATCACCCCACACATATCATCCACACATCACCCCACACATATCACCCCACACATAGCCACACACGTATCACCCCACACGTATCACCACACACCTATGACCCCCACACACCTACACACACCACGTACTCACCTGGCCAATGACTTACAGAACTGCACGCACTACACGTCATATCAGCCGCCAGCGAAAACAACGGACATTTCTGTCGGCACCCTCCGCGCCTTTGATGTTACCCTCCAGGGCTAGATACAGCCGAGTGGTTTCGCCCCCTGATAGGGTGCTGCCAACACCCGGGCCGCTGACGGGGGACACGTGATTCACAATTTAAAATGTCTACAGTGGAGATAGCGCCGGTGGGAGAAACACGAGGCGGCCGTGAGGGCCTCTAGTGGGGCCCCCCCTCGGCAGGGGGTCAGAACGTGGCCTTTGTTAAAACTTAGTGGCCCACTCGACGATTGACACCGCCCACGTGACGACAGCAAACAAGTGCTAGCACCTACACGTATCTGGCCAAAGTTATCACATTGTTCCGTGTTGATCGCTGCCTGAGTTTCACTTTTGTAATGGCCCGGTTCTATTTATAGTAACACGCACTAAGTATCAGTTTGTTTCGTTTTCAACGGGCCCGAGTTTTACTTTTGCAATGGCCTGCCTCTATTTATAGTAACATACCCTCATCAACTCATTGAGCCACTCTTTCAATACAACAGACGATACATTAGATAAGTCGCTTCTTCGCATAAAGCACAGGGAATGTGGTTTACGAATGTTGAATTAGAAATCATATCGTTTACATTTATATTCTAAAGTAACCGTCCTCAAATTGCAAAACAACGTTTTCTTTAAAGTGTAATGCTAGTAAAACAAAATCATTAAAATATTACAAAACATTTGTGATCGAATGGTAGAACGTTAGACGACTAGCCCGAATGTCCTGAGTTTAGTTCATAGGTTAGCGTTCATTTGGAGTTTCCTGAGTCCACCAAGCTTTTAAGTAGTACTGACCACACTTTTTTATCGATTGGACTTTTTTTTACCTGAAATGGTAAATTACTTTTTTTTTAAACGAAATAAGTATTGATACCCTTCAGTTGCTGAATCTTTCAATGGCCGCCAAGCCTATGTTTACACATGCCAGTGTTTAGCGAGTCCTTAGAATTTTACCAAGCGTAAAAAAAATCAATGAGATCTCAGATGACATTTTTTTTCCACATTACTTTAAATCGAACTCAGAACCTACACCGGTATTCTGTGCGCACGTTCAGTTCTGGTTACATTTAAAAGAGGGAGAGGGGGACGGACATTAAAAACGGCGAAATATTTTTTTAAAAAAATACAAATCTCAAATCTCTAATTTAACGTGAACAAAACGATCAATACGATCAGAACTATCACTTTCATTGACACAGCCGCCATTATGTAGCCACTGCAAACACCGGAAATGAGGAGAATGATGCCGAGGCTTCTGGTCCAAAGTACCGGAAACACGCCCTTTTTGGTTGGCCATTTGATTACCAGTGGAAAGTGGTCCAGATTGGATTAGCGGAATGGTGTACAATGTCTGTCGTCATGCGAGTCTACTTTCTGTTGTTACTGCTACATAAACACAATGGCAACATATATCAATACCTACCATATATGTCAAAGAGAAATATACTAGATATATAAATGTCGTTTGTATATATATATATATATATATATATATATATATATATATATATATATATATATATATATATATATATATTTATTATACATAACATGTAGACCTATAAATAAATGAAGAAGGAGGGACGGAGAATGTTAGCTCATAATAGCTTCCAGCATGGCAGAAATAGAAATACCACTTAAACCGTAGTCTACTGCCTACGGCTACAGGAAAATGTGGACGCCGCATGCGGTCCAAATGTTCTCGCTTGCTAAAGCTGCATCCAAACTTTTGGGGACATTTATCTAGTAAATCTGTTACCTAAACAGAACCAGCTACTGGAATCAGAAACATGTTGATAGCAGTGTGTTGGAATATTTGCGCTTTGTTTTTATATTTTTACTTTTTTTTTTCACGCGACCACGCAAGACAAAAGCTACTGAAAGTCTGACGACTGAGTGAATATTGTTTCGTCGTTTTCCTGATCCAATACTTAAACGATTATTTGCTATCGCGTTTCATTAGTCTTGTTTGCTTAGTGTCTGGAGACTGGTGGAACGGCACAATGATATGGCACTAATAGCCGCATGCCAAGCATTGATCTGTAGGTCTGTTGTTGGTCGATGGGATAGTTGGTCTTTTATTTCTTGTGCCTGATGGTCAATGGGATTGTTGGTTGTTTTTTTTTTTTTTTTTTTGTTGTTTTTTTTTGTAAATTGTTCATTTTTGCCTGTTGTTCATATGGATAGTTGGTCTTTAAAGCACATTGGTCTATTGTTGGTCAATTGAAGTGTTAGTCTTTTGGTACATGATTCTGTTGGCCTACTGTTTGTCTATTGGATCGTTGAGTTTTTATACATCCGTCTGTGGGTTAGTTAGTCAATTTTGATAGTTGGTCTTTTAATATATTGCTCCGTTGGTCAATTGAAATGTTGATCTTTTCGTCTTTTGGTCCATTCGTTTGTTTTTTTATTGGTCAGCTGACATGTTCTCCTGCTGGTCTGCTGTTTGAGGACCCAGAATCGTTTTCGCCCAGTCAACGCCCCAATAGCCTCACTGACACTGATGGTCATTTGTCGCGAGTATCGATTACTCTCCCTCGCCGATGCTGACACAGTCAATAAGGGCAGCACCATTTTATGAGAATCGACTCTTCGGAATCGTTATGAAGAAGATAGATTTCCCCTCTAGCACGAGCGTAAATGTCATCTTTGTTAGCGGGGTAATTTGTTTAGATAAAACACGAGACGTGCGTGCCGTCCAGTGACGCCGCTGGGCGGAAAGGTAGACAAGCAGACGGAAAGTGAAAGGCAACTCCAAGGCAACTTTCAGTAAGAAGGATTGGGCTTGTTTGTCGTATGGTGGTTTTTTGTGTGAAGGATTGGGCTTGTTGGTGGTATAGTGGTTTTTTGAGTGAAGGATTGGGCTTGTAGTTGGTCGTATAGTGGTTTTTTTTGTGTGTGTAGGATTGGGCTTGTTGGTGGTATAGTGGTTTTTTGTGTGAAGGATTGGGGCTTGTTGGTTGTATGGTGGCTTTTTGTGAGAAGGTTTGGGCTTGTTGATGGTTTTAGATTTAATTTTTTGCATGAAAGGTTGGGCTCGAATTTTAGAAACGTGCATAATTGGTTAAAATGATTTTTTAAAATTTCGAATTTGATTTATTTCTTCGAATTGGATTGAATTTAACTGAATTTCATGATTTTTTTTTAAATAACCAGACGAACGAATATCCCTTTTAGCTTTTGCAATTTAAATATAGTTCTAATGTACTTGTATATAGATGTAAAGTTCTAATAGCTTGTTATTTTAACAATCTCGAACAGAAAGGGAATATGTTGCATTAAAATTGTTGCCTGCTTGACCGTCTGAACTACGTGTGGACATGTTGACCAGCTACAAAGATCTGACTTAAAACGTCTAATATTAGACTGACAGTTTTATAATCAAGTGATTGACAACAGTCTACTATATTTCCTATTGTAGTTACAGTATAAAACCACCATCTTCTCTACATTATAGCACTATCGTGGCACTAAAGTTGTCAACTGGTTTTTTCTAGTTTATCTCATCAAACGCCTACGTTTTTCTTGTTAATCTCATCACATGCCTACGTTTTTCTAGTTTATCTCATCACATGCCTACGTTTTTCTTGTTAATCTCACCAAACGCCTACGTTTTTCTTGTTTATCTCATCAAACGCCTACGTTTTTCTTGTTAATCTCATCACATGCCTACGTTTTTCTAGTTTATCTCATCAAATGCCTACGTTTGCTTGTTTATCTCATCAAATGCCTACGTTTTTCTTGTTTATCTCACCAAATGCCTACGTTTTTCTTGTTTATCTCACCAAATGCCTACGTTTTTCTTGTTTATCTCACCAAATGCCTACGTTTTTCTTGTTTATCTCACCAAATGCCTACGTTTTTCTTGTTTATCTCACCAAATGCCTACGTTTTTCTTGTTTATCTCACCAAATGCCTACGTTTTTCTTGTTTATCTCACCAAATGTCTACGTTTTTCTTGTTTATCTCACCAAATGCCTACGTTTTTCTTGTTAATCTCATCAAATACCTACGTTTTTCTTGTTTGATCTCACCAAATGTCTACGTTTTTCTTGTTTGATCTCACCAAATGCCTACGTTTTTCTTGTTTGATCTCACCAAATGCCTACGTTTTCCCCCTTCCAGTTCCCCCCATCATCAGCCGCAACCCCCTGTCCGCCACAGTGGCGGAGGATGAGAAAATCTCCTTCAACTGTCAAGTGGTGGGGACCCCCTACCCCGTCACCAGCATCTTGTGGGCCAAGGACGGCGCCCTCCTGTCACTGGTGAGTACATCTGCGTGTGGTCCACCTACTTGAGTTGGTGTGTAGAGTGACGTGAGTTGGTGTGTGTAGAGTGACGTAATGAACAATATTGGTTGTGAAAAGCTGAGGTTTGAGTGACGTAACTAATGGTACTGGCTGTGAGTGACGTAACGAATGGTACTGGCTGTGAGTGACGTAACGAATGGTACTGGCTGTGAGTGACGTAACGAATGGTACTGGCTGTGAGTGACGTAACAAATGATGCTGGCTGTGAGTGACATAACAAATGATGCTGGCTGTGAGTGACGTAACGAACGATTGAGTGACGTAACGAAAGATGTTGATCACGTGTCGCAGGTCAACAAACGCTACCACGTCAACCCCCGGGAGGGCACCCTGAACATCACTGACGTCAAGCCCAGCGACGAGGGCAACTACGCATGCGTGGCCAACACCACTGGGCACGCCGTGCAAAGGTCATCCAACGCCTACCTAAAGGTCACCAGTAAGTACCATCAATTACTAGCAGAATTTGCGTTGTAACTGACAGTTCTAGAGCTGGTAGACCTCACTACATGACGGACGTCTGGCTGTAGTCACACTTTGAAATGACACTGACGTCTTTTTGGTACTGTCACATCAGGAGATGGCAGTGGTGGTAATGGTGATGTCACTGAGGTCTGCATCTGACTGGATAATGGATACACACACATGTGTGTGTGTGTATGTATATATATATATATATATATATATATATATATATATATATATATATATATATATATATATATATATATATATATAAGATCTAAATACAATGTGTTTTGTGATGTGCTTGTTACCATGCCAACCTACTCTCCACAGAAAAACTCAAGTTTTCTCCCCCACTGGACAGCGTCTACTACCTAGAACTCAACAAGCCGGCCATACTCCCGTGCAAGGCTGAGGCGATGACCGTCCCCCGGGTGTTCTGGACCCGCGGGGTGGACCCCAGCAAGAAACTGCCGGACCACATGACGGACGACAACGGCATGCTGTACGTGGACAAGGTCCAGCGGTCAGACGAGGGCAGGTACACGTGCGTGGCCTCCCAGAACAAGCAGACCAACATCAGTGTCACGGTCACGGTCAAGGTCGTTGGTGAGTACTTGATGTAATGACGGGGGCGTTGTATGATAAGTCACCACAGGTACAGGGTACTAGTCAGTCAGCCACAGGCTTATAAGTAGTACAACTGATGATTTATAACTCTGAGTTTAAGGGTCCATATTTATCACGCAAATTAAACAACGGTTTTGTTGATGTTTTTTTTTATTAATAAATTAATTATTGGAACTGTTTTTGTCTTATTCACGATTGATTTCGTCTACTAGAAAAGCCAGTGTTTACCATACGACCCCAAAATTTGACGACGGCATACGAGGGCCAGCCTATGATGCTGCACTGTGTGGCCGAGGGCGACCCCAAACCTAAGATCACGTGGGAGAAGGATAACAGAGTACTGTCACCTGCCGCGGCTGTTGCTGGAATTGCCGCCACCAACAAATATACTGTAAGATTTGTTTGTTTTTTCTTAAAACTTACTAATTTTAATCTTTTTTTTTAAACCGATACTGAATTATGCCAAGATTATCATTAAAGCTAAAATTATATTGCCTTATCCTTTGCATTAATAATTAATAACCTGTCTGTAAATTTATGGTCAAAGGGAAACTATCCAAATAATAATTTTTGTATCAGCAGTTATCGTTTTGAATTCTGTTTTTTTTTCTTCTTTTTTTTTCATTCGCGTATTTTACTTTGCGAATTTATAAACGTAAATTATCATGACTATTTAGCATTTGTTGCTGCCAGCTGTACAGTTTTACTTATAAAAGTTATTGTTTTGTTGATTCCCAGCTTTACCCCAATGGAACTTTGCTGTTAGATAAGGTATTGATGGAGGACAAGGGACGCTATGCATGCACGGCCAACAACTCCGCTGGTGTCATCCGAGCTGAGTTTAGTCTGAGGACTACACGTACGTTAAACCAAAAATACATTTGGTTGGTTCTAAATCACTCAACCAATGTATCCGTTTTTTTAATTCATTTTTCTTATTAAATTCTTTAAGCAGCTTTTTTATCAAAATTATTTTTTTATATGCCTACTAGATCTAAATATATTTTAATTTTAAAAAAAAAATTTTAAAATCTGGTCTGATTATTTTGTTTTGTTTGATACCTCTAGCGCCAGTGGAGGAGGACGAAGGTTTTGACATGGCCAAAACTGTGACCATCGCTGTATGTAGTGCTGGAGCCTATCTGGCACTGGTGATTGGGCTCACAGCCTACTGCAGTTACCATCTACTGATGCAGAGGAAAAACAGGAAACAGCTTTGTAAGAATACATTTTATTATAGGCTAGCACTTCAGGAAAATAAACCACAAATATGTTGCAATATGTTGCAAATGAACAGAGGGAATTAGCCTTTAACAAAAAAAGTATCATTTTTTTTTAATGCAAAAAAAAACATCATTAAGCAGTAGTTATTGATAATTATTTAATTCGTTTTAAATAACAATTTGTCTTATTTTTAATGTTGTCATCTACCAACAAAAAACACTATCAGTATTTTATTTTTTTAGTCAGAATTATAAAAATCTTACTTTGTGTTATATGTTTTAAATATGCAGTAAACACCAAGATTTTTAAGTTTGGATTATATGTTTTCAAATTAATTTACAGTAAACACCAAGCATTAAAGTTATACATTTTAAATTGACAGTAAACACCAAGCATTTAAGTTATACATTTTAAATTGACAGTAAACACCAAGCATTTAAGTTATACATTTTAAATTGACAGTAAACACCAAGCATTTAAGTTATAAATTTTAAATCTACAGTAAACACCAAAAATCTGAAGCTGGGCACTGGAGAGTTCCACCACCACAGAGAACAGCATGAGCTCCTGATGAAAGACAGGGACTCAGGGCTGCAGTTCCGCAGTGACAGTGACAACCGCTCCCATGTGTCAGGCATGAGCTCGCACCCATCCCACTCATCAGCCTCGGCCTCCGCTGCGGCCACCCACATCACAGCTTCAGCAGCTGCTCGTTGTCGCAGTGCCAGCCTCGACAAATTTCACTTTCCCAGGCAGGATTTGCAGACATTAGGAATTATTGGTTAGATACTTTTACAATATTTACTTGTTTTCTAGCCACTGGTGATTTCTTGCCATAACATATGCTCAAAAACTAAAGCTGTTTTAAAAGGCTGTCTTTTAATAAGGGTTCACTTGTTTTTGTTTTTTTTTGTTTGTTTTTTTTTTAATAAGGTTGTGTTTTGTTTTGTTTTTTCAAATAAAGATAATAAAATGTTATTTATAGCCTCTATTAAAATACCAAAAATGAAAAAGTATGGGAAAACATATTTTCACAACTGAAAAATTTTTTAAAACTACCATTATTGTTTCTCATAAATCTTTTCCTTTTGAAATTGATTCAGTTCAACTGTTTGATGTTCTCAGGTAAGGGTCAGTTTGGTGATGTTTTCTTGGCCAAGGCCCGGGCCATCCGTCCAATAGAACCAGAGACGTTGGTGGTGGTCAAATCCTTGCTGCTGAAAGGCGAGGCAAACAGCGTGGAGTTTCACAATGATATGGAGATGTATGGAAAACTGGAGCACCCCAATGTGGTTAGGCTGTTGGGTGTCTGTCGTGAGATGGAGCCGTACTTCATGATTACTGAGTACTGTGATTGGGTGAGTACTCCAACTTAGACATTGTGACATCTAATATGGCTAAATTTAATAAAAATCTATTGTCTATGCTATAAATATTTATTTATGCTAATTTGTTTTCAAATTAATAGTGAAAAAAAATGTGTAGAGGTTAACAATTTTAAATTTTAACCATCTAGGGAGATTTGAAACAATTTCTGCTGGCAACACGTGGTGATAATGGCCGCCGACCAATGCAAGCCAGAGTTCCTCCCCTTTCATCACTTCAGAAGCTGAAGATGTGTCAACAGGTTGCCATGGGGATGGAATACCTTGCTGGGTACAAATTTATTCACAGAGACCTGGCTGCAAGAAATGTCCTGCTGACTTCAAGATTGGATCTAAAGGTACAGTCGTTTATACATTCATACATTTTTCTATTTGATCTAAAGGTGAAATCATTTCTCAATGTATAAAGTAGCTGGAATTTTTAAAAAATTTCTAAAATTTACTAATCAAACTGATATGGCAAAACAAAAATATTTTTTAACTAAATATTACATTCCTCCTATATCTTTGAAAGAATTTTATTTTTATTTATTTTTGAATTTCAGGTCTGCAGTCTGTCCTTGAGCAGAGATGTGTACGTCAATGAATATTTCCTTCACCCGGCCAAACAAACACTGGTACCTCTTCGGTGGCTGCCCCCAGAGGCCATCCGCGACTCTGAATTCTCTTTCCACACCGACATCTGGTCGTACGGTATTTTCATGTGGGAGGTGTTCCACCTGTGTGACCTCCCATACCGTCTCCATAGCAACGACGACATCTACAAAGCAATCTGTGGCACCGGCACCACCACCAACACTATACCACGTTTAGACTTTGCAGAGCAGTGCCCTAGTCAGATGGTGGACATAGTCCGACAGTGTTGCATGATGCCCCAGTCCAGTCGACCAACGTTTTCAGATCTGGTGGTGACGTTGGGGCACATATTGACTAATGGTGACTACGTTTAACTTAAAAAAAAAAAAATGAAGCAACCTTCAACAGTGATAATGCCAAGTGTTAATGGAAAATTTTATGTCCACAAACTTACATGAGAAAATCTGTAATAACTGACTTAATGTGATCAAGCGCTAGGTTCATGCAGTTTTAAACTGAGGACAAACTTGTTCTTACCTGCCATATGAGGCCCTACTTTCTACCAAGACTCTTATGCCTGTAACACAATTCCATGACAAAAGATGTGTTTATAACTGAAGGAGAAACAGAAAGCAAAGCCCCAGAGCAGTGTCAACTTATCCTTGTGTATTATTTTTCTTCATGTAAGACATTACATGAAAAGGTATTTATTAGTTCTCAAATCAAGAGAATTGCTTCTAGATGTAGCTTTTATTATTACATAATTATGATATTATTTTTTCACCACTGAACAGAGACTCTGGAACAATTTATTCATGACTTGAGTTTCTGAACATTGGGTTGTTCAGTAGAGCTAACCATTGAGTTTCGACTGTTTTGTTATAATAATTTAACAGAAATGTTATTATGATTTGTATATTTTCTGTTGTAATTTAGCTTATTAATTACTGTGTGAAAGAATAAGGTGAATTTTTTTATGGTTGGGACTCAATTCTCTGATTGGCCTTCAAGTAAAATGATGAATGGGTTGTAAATAATTATTCATTAACATTATTTCATGTTTATTTCCATTTTTTTCTATATCTCATTTTGCCATTATTGTCAATGGTTAACTACACTGTTGGTTCATTTTTATTGATGTTTTATTTTTATTAAAGTTATTTGCGCTCATAGGTGTGTACAAAAAACCATTTTTCTCACCATGTATGTGCATGTTGTGAATAATGATCAATGAAATATTTTACAGTTGTTTCTCTAGAGTTGAATAATTGTGATCTTTCAACCTTTATAGCTGAGGCTATTTTTTTTTCTTTTTTCTCAAATCATTTCATGACGCTTGTTGTCTTTCTTCACAAACTTTTCTGCTTCATGCACTTCCATTCAATTAAAGACAAAAGTTGTAATGCGTGGAAGTAATTAAAACTATGAAAGTAGAGGTACTTCAAATTGTGAAGATAGACTGTAATTCAGAATGTGACCATGACAATGTAGTATTGTGATGTTTTTTGTGTTACCTTTCATCTAGAAATTGTTTCACTGCTCTGATTTAATGACAATCAAAAATTATAGTCTTGTATTTCATCTTTAGATATCTAGTTGCTTGTGACAAAATGCACAGGCATAGCCGAGGTCTATAGTTTGCTGCTAGAAAACTCAATAAAATATTAATTTTCTATTGTAGGATTAGTACATATTATAGTCATTTTTAAATATACATTCATTTTAAAATTTAATTTTTAAAACAAAGTGATGCTCATAGTTTTACTAGGAATTAGTTTTTAGGTAAAAAGTGCATGTTCATATAACTGAAAGATTGGTTTTGTTATGTTAAAAAAATAAGGTAGTTTTATTTAAACTATCAATTTTAAAACAAATCTAATTTAAATGAGGGTAGTTTTTTTTTAGTTTTTACATGGTTCATTTGTATTCTTTACAATATAGAGTATTATTTTAACTTGATAATTTACTAGCTGCAAAAGGTGCTTGAGAAGGAAATGGATTGTGTGATGAGGATGCTATTAAATTTATAAAGTACTATTCAGACTGACATAAAGATATGTTTGTTGTAACAGAATGCTTTGATATTTATAACAGTAGCTGTATGACTCAATGACTTATGTTGTAAATACACATGTATACCATATGTATGCTACACTTTTTAAAGTTTACATATTGATACACTCATCTCTTCATCCAGCGTCAATGATAAAGTAGACATTGTCAAAATAAGTGTATTAAATTTACAAGCATTTGTATTAAAAGAAAGTTTTCATTTTGTACGATTATTTGTGGCAGTGTGGATGTGAGAAAACTTTTGGGGGTTAATTTGATTATTTAAAAAACACAATACGCATTCACAAATTAGATTTTGACAACTCATTGCTGTCCACACAAAAAATCAGTCTACAATTTCATGGCGTAAAAAGGGTAAGTAGTACTGAAATGAAGTATCCTGTGGATGTAGGGAAGAGCTTCAACAAAATGTATACAACGGATCACATCAGTTTTTAGGTAATAAATATGGACTATAAAGATTCTTTGAACAAGCAATTTTATTCAAAAAGAATTATATATATGTATATCAACAACAAACTTAATAAGTAAATCTTTTACCAGTAATGAAAACATTACTCATGGCGCATAAAACACAAAAATTCAACACAAAAATTCAAATGCCATTGTATATATACACACAAGTGTAATAAACTTAAACTGACACCCTACAAATTATATGTTGCAACTACCAGGTACAAATCAGACATCTCATACAGCACATACTCTTGCATTGAATTTTGAACATGAGCAATTTACTCAGTGACAGGCTTCATCTATTTTAAAAATATGGAAGGCGGTGGTATGCTTTAATGTCCTTGTTAAAACTGCTCTAAAAGACTTTCACATGACAATCATGGAAGGATAAGGGTTAAATCATGTATTTAGGAGGGCGGGGGTTAATATGTGCGTAAGTAAATAGAACCTGACTAAAGAGACTAGCTAAAAAATAAAGAGTCAAATCAACTGATGCATCAGAATAAGATTTTGGCTTACATTTGTTCTATCTGCCCACTTTTCCAAGTTTAGTATCAGTTTTTGGATTGGCTGTGATTCCTTGTACAGCCACAATTGCTGAATTGATCTTTGTCTGCAAGTCTCTCAGATCTCGTAAGTGAAGGAGCCGTAAAATCTTTGCAGCATCGTTTATTATATAGTCTGCGAACATAGAAAATGTCTATTTACAAAAACTGATAAGTATATAATTTATAATATACACACACAAAAACTTTGGGTTTAAATTAAAAATTGTAAACATATTTTTTTTAAATAAAGGATGAAGGTTATGCTTTCAAAGGCAAAGGAATCATTTTAGACTGATCACATTGATTTTCTTAGCTTCATAATTCTAAGTTGCATATCTCATACCTCCTGCTTCAAATCCCAGCTCTGTTTTTTCCAGGGGTATATGCTCATCCTAGAGATAAAAAAAAATATTTCTGAAGTCCAAACAACAAGAAATAAAATGTTAAGTGTGGCTAAACGTCCTCATACCAACATAACACCAGAAACAAGCAGTACAGCATGTGAAGACCATGGTGGTCTACTCACACAAATATTTGTATTTTAGTGCATCACTGTCATAAAAAGTTCCCTCTCATACCAGCAAGTATATGGGGCAGATGAGGAAATGTTCATCTGTTATCACATCACCATGTAAAGGGACAGTTCTAAGCCCAGCTATCTTTACTTTGCCAAACTGGAACAAGGTACCCATTAGAGCTGGATAAACTCATGGATGCCCTACCATGTACTGGTGCTTATCTTTAACTTCTGTCAAAATTAAGCAAAATTCTATTATGGTACCATTTCACGGCTTTCAAAATAAAATAGCCTTTATGTTTAAATTTCACAGTACTTAAAAGTAGAAAAAGTGGATAACTGTAGTTAATCCATGGACAGCCTAGTGTTATTTAAAAACAATTTGTAATGCTTTATACAAAAAAGTATGTAAACTTACCTTTTCCTTATTTACTTTTTTAGAAGCTTCAATGGCTTCTGTTGAAAATTTTTCCTCTATGATAAGACAAATAGCCTAAAAAACAAAATACAAAAATCCTTCAGCACTTTATACAAAAATATAATGATTTACATTTCTAAGTTCCTGTAAGCTTGTTGAAATACAAGCTTGTATTGAAGCAAACATTTGTTCTTATTAATTCAGCATTAGAGCTAGAGGTGTTTGGTTATGTTTATACTGGTTAAGTTTACATTTTTATTGACTAGTTATTTTCACGATTTAAGAACATTAAGTTAAATAGCATAAGCACTGGTCAATGAAATTTTTGTCATTTGCTGGACTGTTTTTTCATTGGGTAGGCCTCATTATCCTCTGCATGTGTAAGTTAGTTTAATCTGCACTTTTATGTTTAAAAATGATACCAATAAATAAAGTCCTGGAAAAATTGAAAAAAAAAAATCCCTATCACCTCTATTATGAATGTGTTAGTAACAATCTGCAACACAAAGGATTAAATGTAACTAGTTTTACACGTGTCAGGATAATGATGAATTCCAGAAAAATGTGCTAAATCTCTATGACAAAATTTATGGTAAATACCAAAGAAGGTCTCCTACCTCTAATTTACCCTAGCAATAAACCAAATGTGTGACTATGTATCTAAACAACTACCTTGAGCTGTTCCAAGTGATCCTGATGGGGAGGTACTTGAAGAAGCATTGCCAATGATGTTACACCTGCCTTAAACTCAGCACTATCAACTGCAGGTATCAAACATTTAAATGTTAAGTTAAATCAGTAATTAGGGATGTGTTGGTGCTGACTGTTTAGTTAAGGAAGGATATCATCAATCAAACAGAGACTGAGATAATGAAGTGTTAATATTGTTACAGTCTCACAACAATTACTTACAGTCTAAGCTGTCTAGAGGATTAGAAGATTCACCCTGCAGCTGATTTTTTCGTTGTTGGTATTTTTCAGGTGTAACATTTTTATATTTTTCCACTAAAACAAAAAAGTAATTGTTTTGTTAATAAGTAATATGGCTCCATAGTTTAGTAGAACATTGGGGATTGTGCATTGGAAATTCTCTCTACACACAGCTGATGTACAGGATGTTACCATTACAACTTGGAATTAGTAGTGACATATGAGCTTCCAAAAGCAAACCAATGTTGGTAATACTATTGGCTAAATGGCTGCATTCTTGTTTCATTTAAGAGTTTTCTCTCCTAGATGAGTGGCTATCCCCAGCTAACGAGATTCATCTGCCCTCAGTACACAAAACTTGGGACTTTTGGGTTAGCACCCCCTCCCTTGTCAAATGTTAAGTATATTACACATATAACTATTTATAAGTCAAATTCCCAAGAGATTATTTAATCAATAATTTGATCCATATTTTAATCTGTACAGGTCACTTAGTAACTACATCATTATATAAGACCACATTACATCAACTGTTTCCATCTAGGTTCCATCATCCACTCTTCTTAATCAAGCATTCTATTCCATACCCTTAACCTAAATGATTTATGTAAGAAAAAACTTACATCCATCCCCATACTCCAGTCTGGCAGCATAGCCTAACAACCAGTCTAACAAAACAGGTTTGTTTGTTAAATCATAAGGACAATTCAGAGACTTTAAATACTGAAAATAAATTGTAAGATGTAAAATCATAACAATAACAGCGAAAAAATTATAAAAAACTATTCATACAAATTAATAAAATAATAGTCCACTTAACAAAAAAATATTGCTCATCTTTTGCGAAAAGCAAAAGTAATTAATTGCAATATACATCAAAAATTTATTTAATTATTGTTTACCAACTTTTACCTCAATAAATTTTATTTTTTTGTTAGAAACAGAAAGGTAAAACAAAAATTATAATTGTTTACCGCTTCAAAAGCTTTATTCCATTCTTCACCTTGTCCTCTCAAGGGGGCTCGGTCTTCAATTTTTAAGTGTCTTATTTTCTGATCTTCAAGCCATAAAAGTATGGAGTGAAATTTGGATTCATCTACAACAATAAGGGTTAACAAAATTATTTTTAAAATTTAGGCTACATATTTTATAAACTAGAAAAATGACACACATTAAAATGAAAGTAAAATAAGGACAATAAATAATCAATATTATAAGTGAGGTAGTTTCAAAGAAAATAACTACATCTTGCTGTGGATTTGGTAAATGAAAATTCATTTGAAATCATAATTAATAATAATAAGTGACTATGCGGATCGCCGAGTATTATTTGAATTCCCTAGGGCACATTCTAAAATTTTGAGATTCGCCATCATCTGATTAAAAAAACTCAATATTTTGTTTGCTAGCACATCTGGTGTGGTAGAGTAAACAGTGCAGTACTTAAGTCCATAGCCCTGGAGCTCCGAGTTTGAACCCGGGGTTAGGACGATTGGTGCCTTTTGACAATTATTTTTTTCATATTGAAAACATCAATTGTGAATTTTTTATTTTTTTTGTACTTTTATAAAATTTCCAAACTTAGTCACTTGTGTGATTGCTTGCTTACGTTTACTAGCCTGTGGGTGAAAATTTCAACCACGGTCAGGAGATCACTGTGAGTTCAACAGGCATATAGTCATACGTCAGAATGAACCCAAATTCTATTTGAGATCGTCTGTGTCTTCACTTCTCACATAGGCTTATACTTATAGACTTAGATCTAGATCTACTACCACGCATGCTAGATAGCGGTAAAAACAATTTAATAAAGAACAGTTTGATCTAGATCTAGCTAGATCTAGGACTATCATCTGATCTACTAGATCTAGATTCTATTATATTCTATTTTTTTAACCTGCGCCTACCTTAGGTATTGAATAAAACACTTAAACTTTATGTGACCATTGAGATGCTAAGAAGACAAAAAAATATCCTGATATCTATTTTTAGATCCCGTGCTACCTAGAGAGAAGATTTAACAGACCGCAGAGCGATCCACGCAAATGCTGCCTTACTAATAATACTAAATAACTAGGCCTAATAATATTAATTAATAATTAGGCCTAATAATAGGTCTAGAGTGAGTCTAGACTAAAAAACTCTAGACCTAGAGTGAGTTTTAAACCTTATAATTATAAAATAATATTGAGCCCATCACTACACTTATTCAGTGAACTGCTGGAAAACTAAACTAAAACATTTTTTATTTTAGGTTCCAATTTCTGATTTAAAGTTAATATTTTTTTTTTAATTTAAATATTTAATACTAATACTTGTAATAGTAATAGATCTACTAGATCTTAGATTTAGATCTAGACATAGTCTACATTTTTTTGGTGCACCGGCAAACAGTAACAGTTAACACTACTCACACACAAATCCATCAGTCTTCAGTGGCATCAGCAAGCCAAGAAGATCTGTTACGCGAATCGAAATGAATTCGAATCAGTTACCTCTTTGATTGAATTCTTACTCTGTAACTTACAGTCGGTTAATTAATAATTATTAGGCTAATTATTATAAATTCTTAGAAAAAGAACAAACCATTCAAATCAAAAGTGTCTGGATCTGGAAAGTCAAGAGCCAACAATTTCCTTTTAAACATTATAAATTACGACTTGTAATAAATGTACAAGTACGAGACAGGGACTAACAAAAACGACTATAAAAACAGAGTTATCTTTCTTCTTTAACGTGTAGGCTAATAGAACAAATCAACGTACACATCCGAGACACTTCTTCAATAAAGACCAGAGCAAGTGTAGATTCTAGTTTACAGAATCTAGTCTAGACCTAGGCGAGATTTTAATAAATAGAATAGACGAAATATACATAGATTTAGCACTTTCAAAATTCAAAGACATCGTTACATTACATTATATATAGACATAGACCCCCCCCCCCCATAGTAGGCCATAGCCTATCCTATATTTTATTATATATTTAACATAACTATTCCTTGGTCTACTTTTTAGATGTGGTTTTTTTGGAAGGTGTAGTGTAGCTCAAGTTCAAGTAGCTGTAATGAAAAATACCATTCTAGCAAGCAGTGCGGGGACAGGGTGACAACTGGCTCTAAAAAATAATAATAGACTTTGAACTTGCCTATGGCCTATTATGGCCTATGCCATGCAGTTTCTTTTTTTTTTTTTTTGTTTAGCATAATAAATAAGCCAAGAGTTAACTGTGTTAGTGTTAAGCATATTGTAATAATTATAATATTAATACTTTACTTAACTACTTTACTTTACTAGTAGTACTGACTATAAGTTATTAGTTAGCTATAGAATATAGATAATTATATCAATATGCCTACTTTATTACTTATAATACTTACCAACATAGCCTAAAACGTTTTTAATTAAAATAATTGTAAAATAAGTTTAATAGGCCTATACTGTGGCTATACTATACTATATATTCTTCTTAGGCTTATATATTAATTTTTAATAATAACTTCACAAATATTTTAAATCAACATAATGATTTTATTTTTCAGAACATAGGCTTGCAATATATTTATAAACTATTGTTATGTAGGCCTAATAATAATTTTTTTAATTTTCAGATTTATAAACTACAAACAAAATTTCCAGTTGAACTCAAATGTTTGTTTGTAAATGGCATCCTTAGCAGAGCTTCTTAAAATGTGGCTTTTAGCATTGTTCTATGGTGTGCTAGTTGTTTTTCGGACCTTAATAAGCTGTTTTACCAAGGGCTTCAGAAAGGTACTTTCATCAAAACACAGAGAAAGGCCATCATGCATAGATGATCCAAGTCTGGGAACCCATGGCTTCTTAAACTTAAAGGAGGTAAAGGTTGTCTCTATTTTAAGGGTCATCAATAAATAGCCCTCCTTCCCCCCCCCCCCCTACACACACAAACTGATGTCCCACACCATTCAAAACTGTGGTTTTTATTTCTTAAAACATCAATTTTTCTCTAGAATTTCTCGGGCAGATGAGGCTCGTTAGCTGGGGACAGCCACTCTTCTAGGAGAGACAACTCCAAAATCAAACAACTGCTGCCTTATAGTTTGTTCTTGGTTGGACAAAGGCTATGGAAGCAAATCCAAAAAGAAAAGCTGGCTAAAATCGGAGTCAATGGCCTCAAGGGCGCATAACCAGTTGACATGTAATCCTTAATTTTGATGGAAGCATGGTCGAGTCGGCAAAGCTTATTGTTGATAAATTTGAAAAAAGTCTCGAGTTCAAACCCTCTGGCAGATAAGGCTCGATCCCTCCCAACACTAAAAATTAAGAACGAAGAAGAAGAAGAAAGTCTAGAATATTTACTGGACTCGGTCAACATTGAGTACATTAATCAATTTCTATAACAATTTGCAAAAAAAGAAGTTCTTTAAAAATGCAAATTAACAGCTGAAACTGAAATTCAGTCTTTAACATTACTTTTTTAATTGCAAAAATCAGCAACACACTTTCTGAATCTAACTCACCCTTATCATGCATGGTCAACAAAGTTTTTAATTTAATTCTAGAAATATTAATGTTGCTGCCATTTACAAGGTGATACAGAACTTATCTTTTAAATTTTTTCTTTTAGCATCAGTTCTTGCGTATAATTATATAGGTTTAAAGATAATAAAAAAGGCATAGTTCTATTTTTAAATGATTTAAACTTATCCAATGACTCCTTTTTTTAATGGTAGCTTTTTTGTTTTGTTTTTTGCCTCCGGAGACAATTGATGCCCCCCAGCTAATGAACTTCTCATGCCCAGGTGTCCTAACTAATGACATTTTGGGTTAGCAATGGTGCACTCTCCCATATGACCATGCCTTCCTCTAACTTATTACAAAAGTCAATAGTCATTTCCAACTTCATTGTGTAATTATTATATAAAAACTAAATACCCATTTTTAAAGTATATATGCAATTTAAATTTACCTTGAAACAATCCACAGGGTATTAGAATACATTATGTAGCCAGTGGACCAGAAGATAAGCCCCTTATGCTGTTTGTGCATGGATTTCCTGAGTTTTGGTATTCCTGGAGACATCAGATCAGAGAATTTCAAAAAGATTACAGGTGTTGTTCAGGATAAAGATTAGGTTTAATATAGTGTTACTACAGTTCGTTTACCTGTCATGAGTTAAATGGTCTCTGTGTTCACTTATTAGACATTTGTGTATCTATTAATAATATAATTTTTTGCATGCATAGAGTAGTGGCTATAGACCAGAGAGGCTACAGTGAGTCCAGTAAACCTTCAGGACTAGACAACTACACTGTAGAAAAGTTGATGTCAGATCTAGCACAATGCATTCAGGGGCTAGGTGAGCTTTGTGCTTCAATTTAAACAATCTTCTGGTAACTTAGGGCTATGGTATTTTTATATCAGTAACTGACCATATGTATCATTCTAATATTACTTTCTAGCCTTAACCCAAACACTAATAAATATTACTATAATAGAACCTACTAACAACACCACTATTTTTTTAATTTTTTGGACAAATTGACAGTTTTTTAAAAAATCTTCTATAGAGATAATTTATTATAGTAGACCTAGTCAGTATGTTAAACTGCCTTAAAAAAATAAGTTCCTTCATTATGTTAGGTTACAAAAAATGCATTTTGGTTGGACATGATTGGGGTGGAATTGTAACTTGGGCATTTGGAAGGAAATATCAGGACATGGTGGAAAAACTGATTGTCATGAATTGCCCACCCATACCAGTATTCCAGACTATATTAAAGACATGTAATGAGCAGTTCAAGAAATCATGGTATTATTTTAATGTAACGTACCTTATCCTTAATTACTGACTCATGCATATATTTTCATTTTATTTTTGTTTCCTTTGTACATTATCTAAATAATAATAAAAAATATATGCACTTGAGAAACAATGTTAAGAGTAATATGTTTGCCATCACATCCTACAGGTACATGTATTTTTTCCAACTTCCTTTGCTGCCAGAATTTACTCTCAGCACAAATGACTATGCAATATTTAATACAATACCAGTAGTTTCAAAGTCATCAAAATCTGAGTCACCACTGCAAGATGGACAAGAAAATGAACATCTCGCAGCTTACAAATATACCTTTTCACAGCCAGGTACTGTTTTCTTGACTAAGTAAAAGTTATTTCAATATTTTTTTAATCTGAAACATCCAAGCCTTAACATCTATAATAATAGTTTCGCTGTCTGTCTATCTATCTATGTATCTGACAAGAACGCTCTAGAGAAAACACAAGCAAATTAAAAACATGCACAGTAATTCGAAAAACGAAGTATGACGTCGTCACATTTAGCATAGAGTAGAAAATAATCTCAAGCCGGAGAGTGCACACAGTAATATGACGTCATTGATTCTCGAGTAAACATTGAATAAAAAGGCAATTTTGTCTAATCTAAATGGTTTGCGTGAAGAGTTTCTTGCATACAATTCTTCGGGTAGGGGCGAAGCCCCATCCCCGCGTAAGAACGTCTGAGCCCCCCCCCCCCCCATCCCTAACTCAAAAGAAATTTCTTCATCGATACTCTATAATAAAATTACCGCCTAATTAATGTGTCTAATCTAAAAAGTGGTTTTCTTGCAATTTCTTTAATGCAATTCTTCGGGTAGTGGCTAAGCGCGACACCAGTGTTTCTTTCAGACTTTTTCCTCCCCGGAGAGGGGTGGGGGTACTTGAAATTTTCGGGGGCGGGGTTAGAATTTTCGGGGAGGGGGCGGACACTGGAAAAAGTATATAATTATATTTCGTTGAATGGGACTGTAGACATGTTTTTTGGGGGGTGGGGGGGTGGGGTGGGGTGGTTTTAGTTTAGAGAAAAGAGACAGCACTATCAGCCTAGCGCCCGTTGTATCCTTCCTCAACGGGCCATTTTTCTCGTCCCAAATACTTTTCTAGGTTCTCTTTTTATCCTCAGGATATCCTTTGATGTATATATCATACAATGATATTTTTATTATTTATATTTACAGGAGCTTTGACACCACCTCTCAATTACTACAGAGCTTGGTTCAGAGCCAAGCCTTCTTTTCAGCATGACTTGGAATACACCATGCCCGCTCTTCTTATATGGGGAACAAAAGACAAGGCCTTAGACATTGCACTGCCTAACTACGTGGAAAAAAATGCGCCTAAAATTGAGGTACAAAAAATTGAAGATGCTGATCACTTTGTGCAGAATGATGCAGCTGCTGCTGTCAATCAGATCATGAGAGATTGGCTGAAAAAGATGTAGTCTGTTATTATATATATGCATATTATGCTGCCATTTATAAATGTAAATCTTTTTCACCAGTACTAAAGAAATTATCATTCTTATTCCTTATTATCATTCAGCAAAATGTGGTAATATTTTGTAACGCAACATTTCTTGGATTAATTTTGTTGCCTGGTGGCATATATTGATCATACTGTTCTACCTGTGTAAAAATATGCACAGTACTTGAATTTAGTTTTTCCATTTGATCAACATCCGATCAAGAATTTTCTCTTAAATATTCAAAAGCAAGAAAGGTAAATTTATGTTAATTACTATTTCATCTGTATCAGATTATCAGCTTTTAAAAAAAAAACTTGTGATAGATTTTTGTTAACTACCTTTTTGGTCAGTAATAAAATGTGTTTAGCTTTATTGTTTAAGCTTTTCATTCACTGGAATATTTGTCATTCCTTCTTCATTTACTTAGTTTTTATTTTTAACTACTGATTATTTTTATCTCCAACCAGCTTGAGTGGTTTTCCAAAGAATTTTGTCCAATTTAATTTTACTCTTTATATCTGTAAATTGTTTCTTAATCAGTTTTAAATTGAATGTCTTTTATATAAAAACATGGGACTGTAATTGCAAACAGTGCAAGCCTGTAGAACTACATCCAGTATGCCTATTTGGCAAAACCAAAAGCAGCTGGACATTGTGCTGATCACACAAACCCTTCATACGCGTATACCTTAAATAATAAATTCTACATTATCTACCTTATTGTTTGAGATTTAAATTGCACCCCTTTACAATATGCTGATGTTTAATTTCAGCTTTTTGGTTTCTAATTTTGCTTTGTTTGTACTTTGTAGCTCAGCTGTTATTTAACTACAAATCTTGATCAGAAAATAAATATTAACACTGACAATAATTTTTTTTTATGTTCAGTAAATTAAATCTGTGTAAGATTTTTCAGCATTCAAGGAACAATGTTAAAAAAACTCAATTTAGTAATGATATTTTAATTTCAAATTCTAATAACAACAACATTCATAAGAGTAAAAAAAAAAAATTTTAAAAAGAGTAAAAAAATGTATTGGACACATTTTTTAAGTGTGTGTCCATGAATAATAAAAACTTTAAATTTAAACAACGAATCTTGTAGCACAGTGTGCTTGTACCAAGTAACAATAATTAATAACTTAAAAAATCACAAAAATAAATTTACTATTTGAATTTCAAAGTAAAACTAATTTATTTGCTATTACAGTAAAAAATATATCCAATTCTTACAAGCTCTGGAAGAATGAAATGAAGTAAAAAATTTAAAAATACAGAAACGAAATATGAAGTCACATTGGAGCATATAGTAGAGAATAATCTCAAGCCGGAGAGTGCATACAGTAATATGATGTCATTGATTCTCGAGTAAACATTGAATTAAAAAGCCAATTTTGTCTAATCTTAAAAGTGGTTTGCGTGAAGAGTTTCTTTCATACAATTCTTTGGGTAGGGGCGAAGCCCATCCCTCGCGCTTTAACGTAGCCCCCCCCCCCCCCCCACCCAACTCAAAAGAAATGTCGTCATCGATACTCTATAATAAAATTACAGCCTAATTCATGTGTCTAATCTAAAAAGTGGTTTGCGTGAAGAGTTTCTTTCATGCAATTCTTCGGGTAGTGGCTAAGCGCGACACTAGTGTTTCTTTCAGACTTTTTTCTCCCTGGAGGGAGGAACTTTTTCTAATCGATAAAAAGTGTTTAGCGTGCACAGTTTTTTTCATCCATCTCTTCCGGTAGGGGCGAAGCCCCGCCTAGGTTCTTCCTTTAGTTTGTATGATCTACAAATGCGACCAGTGTTTCTTTCAGACTTTTTCCTCCCTGGAGAGGGGTGGGGGTACTTAAAATTTTTGGGGGCGGGGGTAGAATTTTCGGGGAGGGGGCGGACACTGGAAAAAGTATATAATTATATTTCGTGGAATGGGACGGTAGACATGTTTTGGGGTGTGTGTGTGGGGGGGGGGGGGGGGGGGGGTTGGTTTTAGTTTAGAGAAAATAGAGAGCACTATCAACCTAGCGCGCCCGTTGTATCCTTCCTCAACTGGCCATTTTGCTGAGTTTACATATAAGTACCAACATGACACTGACAGATGTTACAAATCTGTTGGAAGTATTTTTAAAAAAAGATTCATGCCACCTAAAATGTGGCCATTACCAGTGCATATGCTTGAAAATACTAAAAGGTGTGTATAAGCTGCAGTATTAATTGTTTTTTAATTTTGTAAAAAAGATACATATTTACTAGTATCAAGGGGTCGGCATGGTCGAGTCGGTAAAGCTCATGGTTGCTAAACCGTAAAGTCTCGAGTTCGAACCCTCGGGTTTATACATGTGATACATGTGTTTATACATGCAAAAAGTAAACAAATATCTTACCTAACAAACCTGTATACCAGTACCATAATCAAGAATGTGTATTTTTTATAACATACTATAGTTTAAAATCTCACAAAGTAAAAAAAAACATGAGTGTTAGAATCAAGTGTAAGAAAATATTCATTAAAATATGAATTAGTTACTTAGGTATCTAAGGCTGGGCAAAAAGAAGCAAAAAATAGTGTATATTAAAAATATTACATCTTGCTAACATTCCACCTTGTGCTTTGATTTTAAATGACTTTGTAAAGATGCTTTATAATTAAAACCCTGACCACACACTTCACAACAGAAAAGCTTAAGAGGGCTGTGAAGTCGCATATGTGTTTTTAAGTTATGTTTAAAAGAGAAATTTTTACCGCAGGTGTGACAATCATAAAACTTTCTATTTGTATGTATTGTTGATATATGATAAGTTAGGTACGTCTCACAGCTGTACTTTTTTGAGCATTTAGGGCATACAAATATTTTACCACTAGACTTATCTTCATGGATCCTCATATGCTGAACCAAACCAGCCTTGTTTTTTAACTTTTTTTGACAAATTGAGCAAGGGAATTCAAGACCTGGCTCTACGTGAATGTCACTAATATGTTGATCTACTCTGTATACCATTGCTCCACATTTGGGGCATTGTTGGCGAATCCTGGTTTGATGCATGCGTTCATGTTCTTGAAGTTTATCTGCTGAAGTAAACCACATTTCACACTGGCTGCACTTATGCATTTGTTCAGAATGTTCACTTTTGTAATGTGATTTAAGGAGGCTAATAAACTTTAAATCAACATTACAAAAATGGCAAACAGTCATATGTGTCTTTAGGTGTTTTTGAAAATCCTTCCTGTTCTTAAACACCTCTTGACATTTTTTACATTGAACATTGCATTTTGGTGTTGTTATATGCCGCTCACAATGCTTCCTGAGTATGTGGAGATTGAAGCAAGAAAAAGGACACAGGCAACAGGTGTAAGGATTTTCCTGTGTGTGCATTTGCATGACATGCTGGCGTAAAGCAAATGTTGAGACTTTTAAGGAGCACACAGGACAAGACATATATTGGCCTGATGGTATCCTGCGATTTTTTCCACTGTCTTTATTCCTTTTGCTTTCAACATTTGAATCTACAGGAAAATCTTTATCTGGTATATTCAGCTTGATTTTGTGAACCTCCAAGTCATGACAAATCTTTGAGGCTTGAGAGGGAAGCACAGCATCACAGATCTGACATGACAGATTTAAGCTGGGTGTGTCTTTATGTGCTCTAAGGCTTTCCTCTGAACCAAACATCTTTTTGCAATATTTACATTGAACACTATCTTCTTTTGTCAAGTCTTTTGATAAAATGTTTTCAGCCATTTTATTTGTAGTTGGCCTATATCTCTTTTTGTATTTTATTTCTGGGATGGAAAGTCCTTGAAGATGATATTTGCAGTGTTTCAAGTAATCTGCGTTTGTTTTTAATGTATCACCACATGAGCAACATTTATAAGATAGTTCATCAAAATGTAACTTGACATGACATTCAAACCCTTTACGCATAACAACTTGAGAACAAATAGGACATGTTAGCCTTTTGTTATACGCAAATCTACATGGTTTCTCCAGCTGAAACTGAGGAAACTGAGTTCTCAGGTAAGAAAAATCATATGACTTAAATTGATGAACAAACAAATCACCTTGACTAGGAAAAACCAGATCACAACATGAACACTTTGATCGACATGCAAGGTTTCTTTTATGTATACTTTGATCCATTTTTCTGCGAAATTTTTTTTTACACAACTTGCAATAAAATCTAGCCGGTGGCTTTTTCTTTAATTTTTTAGATACTCGCAAAGCTTTAGGATTTTCTGTTTGATTTTGTACCTGCTCATTTGATATAACTTCAACAGCTTTGTCACATATTTTGGGGATGTGTTGATTAGGTGCAAAAATACTTTGCTCTTCATCATCCACAAATTCTATCTCCATGTCAAGGGGTAGGCTCATAGTGTCATCTAGTGAATTATTCTCCTGTGTGGTTAGGTTTTCTTGAGATTTGTATTGTAATACAGCATCATCCAAAGATGTGTTGGAACTAAAAGAACAAAGTTCTTTTATATTTCCAGGCTCTGTATCCATATCATTATCTTGAAAGTATACTTTATTATTGAACTTCGATTCACTACTCTCCAGTAGAATTAGAACCTGTTGATCAATCTTTTCTGGAGTTATTGATTGAATTGAATCATCAGAAGAAGAAGCAGAGATAAAGCTATTAGTGCAACAACTCTCTTGTTTCACCTGCACAGGTTCTGTCTGCTTATCACTATCTTGAAGGTATATACCATCATTGGTTAGGTTAATCTTTTGTTGAAAACTCTGAATAGTCTGACTTGGATACGTTGGATTTGTTAAAGAAAACTGACCATTTTCCTTGTAACTTTGTGTTGAGCTAGTGTGTACTGTATTCGTTTTTTTCAAACAATCGTCTAAAACAAAATTTATTTTTACTGAGCGAAGAAAGGAAAATTCAAGGAATTCTTTATTATCTAAATATAACAGTACAGATCCTTTAACATTAGAAACTTCAACAGTTTGCAAAGTTTTGTTGAGATGGATGTACTCCATTTTTTTATGATCACAAGAAGACTTACAACTGAAATTGAAAAACAACATATGCTTTGTAATAACACTACCATCATTAAAAAATAACATATGATAGTTTAGAAATCAGCAGATAACTATATTAAATCAACTCAAAAAGTCAGTTTCTAAGGATAGGCAGTTATTTTAAATAGCTTAATTGTGGTATGATATTGAACCAGAATCACAAGTCAAAACCCACTACATTTGATGACAAAACCAAACAAAACCCACTAAATTTGATGACTAAACCAAACAAAACCCACTACATTTGATGACTAAACCAAACAAAACCCACTACATTTTATGACTAAACCTAACAAAACCCAGTGACTACATTTGATGACTAAACCAAACAAAACCCACTACATTTAATGACTAAACCAAACAAAACCCACTCACTACATTTGATTCTAGATCTAGGTCCACATTAGGTTGTTCAGTGAAAAGGAACACTGAAAATAGTGAAAAAGCGGCTATAAAACTCAAACTGGTGGCCACTGGTGGGGCTCGATACCTCCCAACTCCACGCCAAAACAAAATGAAAAAGGTAAATTCACAGGTTGGCTAAAAACTTAAAAAGTAAAAGAACCTTCAGAGTTGCTTCAGGCATCTCTTCCCGAACGAAATGGAATTTATATAGAAAATACATAATAGATCTAGATCTATATAGATCTAGAGCAGGGGTTCCCAACCCTGTGCCTGCGGGCGCCAGGGCGCCCACTGAACGATTCGTATATGCCCGCCTCTCACTATTCGACAGAGACATAATTTTTTTTATAAACATTATTTTAAAATATGATTTATTTTTATTTATTTGTTACAGTTTTAATTTTTTTTTTGACTGCCTAGGTTTATTTAATATGTTCGATACTTGTCCCAACTTGTCTAGCGGCAAGCCAGACTGCACTATTTACTTTTGGAATACAGTGGATAGAGAAAACTTCCCATTGTTAAAAAAAGCGGCATATAAAATTGAATCATTTTTCGGTTCGACATATTTATGCGAATCATTGTTTTCAAACATGAACTTAATAAAATCAAGATATAGATCTCGACTCAACGATGAGCATCTTTATGATTGTCTGCTAACAGGATTATCGTCATACGCTCCTAATTACGAAGCTCTGGCCAATAAAATGCAATGCCAAAGATCACATTGACTTTATTATATTTTTTAATTTAATGTTTTCTTTGTATTTATGTGTTTTGTTTACTTTCTTTACGTTTTGTAAATACATTTCTCTGTGTCCTGTCTGTGTGTATGCAGTTTGAAAAAATATGCCAAATAATTTTATCATTTTGAAACATTTTTGTTTATTATTTATTGATACATTATGACTATAAGAAAATAAGAAAATAAATTATGGGAAAATGACAAGTTAATGAAGTTATGGAAGGAGTTTGTCGATTTAAATTATTTAAAATAGGTGGTGCCCGCCACCCTACCGATATTTTAGCATGTGCTCTAGAGTAAAAAAAAGGTTGGGAACCCCTGATCTAATAGTAATACTATATAGACTAGATCTAGAATCTATATATTATATATTAATATATTATAATATAATTATATAATATATATTATATAGACCTCGAAAATTTCAAGTGCCCCCCACCCCCCCTCGGAGAAAAAAAGTTTGGAAAAAACACAGTCACTGAGAACCACCGCCTAAGTAAAAGTTAGAGTCTAGAGTAGATCTAAATTTAAATCGTGTGCGGTATTATCATAATTAATATCAAGACAGATGTCGTTATAAAAACTTGATTGCGTGCTTTTTTTATGAGTTCAATGTCACTTAAAAATTAACCTAGAAATCTAGAAAACTGTTGTTGTTTTTATTTTTTAATGTTCTAAAGTAAAGGTTTATAACTCCGCAAAATTCGAAACAAAATAAAGCGAGAGTGAGCTCCCCTTAACGTTCTCATATTTATTCGAGTCTAATTAAAAGTTTTATCTAATTATTAATTAAATCTGCAAATCGCCTCATTACTCAACGGGCACCGCCGAGAAAAGTCACTCTAGATCTAGATCTATGTTCCATTATTAATTTTTTTTTACTTTCTCGTATATACGAAGTATAGAGAAAGTATTGTAATCGTGCAAAAAAATCTCTTGAAATTTTAACAATTTTCACCGTATTACACCTCTGTCCTTCAACACATCTGAAGTATAGAGGACTTATTTTAATCGGGCACAAATTATCAATCCAGATTTATCAAAATTAAGAGGTTTTATGCGTAATCCATTCTGAAAAACTGGGCTTTGCAATCCTGTCCGTATGTCTGTGTGTGTGTGTAATCACGATTACTTGAGTACCGTTACAGCTAGGTTGATGAAATTTCATATAGACCTATAAGTATTTTATCAAAATCGTAGATCCTGATCAACTTTTGAGCGATTTCCGATAACCGGAAGTGGTACTTTTTCTACTTTGAATTTTTCAAAAGCCTATAACTTGAGTACTATTTCAGATAGATAAATGAAATTTCACATGTGAGTAAAAGATCTAATTTTCTACCTTCTGTTAAATTTTGAGTAATTTCCGTTGACCGAAAGTAGTAATTTACGCTACTTCCGATTTCTCAAAAAACTTATGTAAATTTTTAAAGTACTAATAATATTGCGCAATATTATGCACTTTTTTATTTGGCGTTCACTTGGTGTGCAATTCTTTTGTCTACGAGATTTTATTCTATTTTTAAAACTTTAAGTATTTAAAATGGATAAAAAATCATGTCTATAGCCCGAGTTCCAATCCCCTGTTGTTTTATTCGAAGAATATTCGAGAAAGTTTAGGGGAGATCACTCCCGGTTTATTTTAGAATCATATTCGATGTTATTAAAATAAATGTGGTTGAAAAATGTGACTCTTTGGTTTTTATCGGACTTTATTCAAGATTTGGCGTAGTTGGCTGCGGCAGAAAAAGTCTACCCCCCCCCCCCCCCCAGAGGCGTAGTGGGGGGGGTACATATATCCACGGGCGCCGACCTTAGGGGGCGCCTAAATGGGTTGGAAAGACAAACTGAAATAAACGTGGTTGAAAAACGTGACTCTTTGCTTTTTATCGGACTTTATTCAAGATTTGACGTAGTTGGCTGCGGCAGAGAAAGTCTACTGCCCCCCCCCCCCCCCAGAGGCGTAGTGGGGGGTACATATATCCACGGGCGCGCCGACCTTAGGGGGCGCCAAAATGGTTTGGAAAGACAAACTGAAAGTTTGAGGGGGGTGCAAATTGAAAGTTTTCCCCTGGGCCCGGGAAAGGTCGCTACGCCTCTGCAACAGTGTCCACCCACCACCACCTCGAAAATGTTAGTTCTCCACCCCCCTAACCCTAACCCACCCCCCCCCCCACCCCCCCCCCGAGAAAAAAATCTGAAAGTGGTATTGACGACTTAACAAAGACATTGTGCTGTTTAATATGATGTTCACAATCACATACAAAGACAAGATAGCAAATTCCGACTCAAGACAGACGTTAAGGATGCCAACTTGCACCCTACAGCCCCTCTTAAAAAGAAACCTTCCCATGAGTATCTGTAACAGCTCCCTTAAGTTTCATAATGATGCAACATTGCAGAATGACCCACTGACACACACACTTTATATCACGGGTTCCCAACCTGGGGGTCGCGACCCCCAAGGGGGTCGCGAAGGGCTTTCTGGGGGGTCGCCAACTGGTATACTAAACCTAAGCAATGAGAAACAAAACTTAAATATTTAGAAGAATATCTTAAATTTGGCTTTACTAACATCACTAGAAATGGAATAGAGAAGAAACAATGCATACTGTGCAAAATTGTTCTCAGTCAGGAAATCTTCAAAACTAAAATCTCATTTTGCGACGAGTCATTAGGAATATACCAAAAACGATATGAAGTACTTTAGTCGGCGTGAAGCTAGTCGCAAACATTAGAGAGTTAATCGAACACGATGTTTTCACCAAGGAAACACAACATCATATAAAGTCGCGATAGAAATTGCCAAGGAAAAAAAAAACATTTAAAAAATCACCAAACCATGCATGTTGAAGATGGTGAAAATAATTCTTAGGGATTCCAGTGCAGTAAAGGTGCAACAAATATCTCTGTTTTATAATACTATTCAGCGGCGTATAGCAGATATGTCCGTAAATGTAAAAGAACACATTTTGAATTAAATCAAGCTTTCACTATTGTTTGCTTTTCAAGTTGATGAATCAACAGACGTGAGTTCGTGTTCGCAGTGCTTTTTCTCTGTAAAATATATTCATTCAGATCATAGCAAAGAAGAGTTGCTATTTGGTAAAATAGCATGGAGAAAATAAATACGTTTTTTGAAACTGGATGATTAAAATGGGTTTAAACGGCTGTGGGGTATGTACGGATGGTGCGCAATCGATGTTTAGGTCAAAATCGGGCTTTCAGAAAACAATAAAAGATTTAGCTTCCTAACCAAGGGTTATTTTCTGCATTCTTCACCGGGACGTCCTCGCCAGCAAAACTCTTCCGACTCTTCCGGAGCCCATAAAGAACTGCGCAAAGACATTAATAAAGATCACGAGGTTTTTCTTTTCTACACTGGCAGTCAAACGAAATGTATTAAATCGTGTTTTTGAATTGAAAGACAAAATCAAATTGTTCTTGTAAGTGCAAAAGATATAAGACCTTTTGATATACTTTAACGACAAAGAATGGTTGGAGGGAGCAGAGTTTCTGCCATGTTTCACTCCAACCCCCCTCCCAGAAGAAAGTCTACCGCCCCCCCCCCCCCCCCGAAAAAAATGGAATTTATGTAGGAAATATATATATACTTTTAACAGAAAATTTTTGTCCGCCCCTTCACCAAAAATTTCAGGTGCCCCCCCCCCCCCCGGAGAAAGAAAATCTAGAAGAAACACTGGGAGAGAGTGTCATACATAAGCTTAACCTGAAGCTTCTGGGAAAATGAACCAATAGAAAATAATATTTTAGTGCTTATTAATTTCCTTCCTAATTACGACTTTTTAATTCTATGGGGGTCGCGGGTCACTTTCTTTTTATAAAAGGGGGTCGCCACTCGAAAAAGGTTGGGAACCACTGCTTTATATATATATATATATATATATATATATATATATATATATATATATATATATATAAACCCCTAATACAACATTACAGCAACCACTTACTTCCTGCTGTTGTTCAATTTGTTATTTTTTTATCAGTGGTAAAAATTCACAATTATTTTTAACCATTTCATTAACATTCAGGCATTTGAAGTCATGATTAAACACAAATGAGACAGAGCACCTTTTTTTTAATTAATGTTTCATTTATTGCACAACACATTTTTAAAGTAAATTGATCTTATATAGGCATACAGTAGAAAAGAATTATATTAAAACTAAAAAAAAAAACTAGCTAAAACATCTAAATTATTTTATTATGTTACCTTAAGTTCAAAAAGTTATTTTTATCATTTATTTAAAAAGTACTAATTATGCCAGATCTGTCATTTCACAGAACAAAAGTGAGGTGTATCAATTAATTTAATTAGCCTAAACAGCATTAAAATCATTTGTCAAATTGATCCTCTTGTATTAGAACAGAAGCATATTGATTTTTACCATCTTTATTTACAACTATTTTCAATGTTACTAAAAACATTGAAATGTGATTTTCCCAAAGATTCTTTATATTAATTATATAATCATTAACGAACTTTAAAAATCAGCACATAATATCAAGAGAACAAAATGTAACATGACTAGATTATAATAGATATTAAAGATATACATATTTTTTTAGTGAATGCATTTCACTAACACTCAAACTTGTGCTTTGACTTCAAATGACTCTGTAAAGATGCTTTATAATTGAATCCTTGTCCACACACCTCACAGCTGAAAAGTTTTTGGGCTGAGTGAATTCGCATATGTATTTGCAAGTTATATTTCTCAGTGCACTGTTTACCACATATATGGCATTCATAAAGCTTCCTATCTAAGTGTATCTTTATATGATCAGTCAGATAATCCCGACATCTAAATGTTTTTGAGCATTTGGGGCAAGAAAATGTTTCACCACTACTAACAGCTTCATGTCGCCGCATATGGCTGTTAAAAACTAACTGGTTTGTAAACTTTTTTGGACAAAGTGAACATGGGAATTCGGTGCCTGGCTCTGGGTGACTGGCACGCATGTGTAAAGATAAACGATACACCATAGCTCCACATTTGGGGCATTGGTTGCGGACGCTAAATCTATGGTGACGTTGGTGCTCTTTAAGTTTATTCTCTGCAGGAAATCTTTTATCACACTGATTGCACTTTAACATTTGTTCATAATGATCAGTATTATAATGTGATTTAAGAAGATTGCTATGTTTAAAATCCACATTGCAGAAATGGCATATAGTCTTGTGTATGACAACATGCTTATGAAATTCACTTTTGCTATCAAATACCACAGGACAGTTTGAGCATCGAAAAATGCCACTTTTTTGTTTTCCTATATGCTCATCACAGTGTTTTTTATAGATCTTCTGAGTGGAACAGGGAAACTGACAAAGACAACAGGTGAAAGGACTTTCCTTTGTATGCATTCTCATAATATGCTGAGGTAAAACAACTCTGGTAACTTTCAGTGAACACACTGGACAAGACACATATTGTCTCGATTTTGTCCTCTTCCTTGTGTCATCGCCTATACTTCTTTCACGATTAACTTTTGCATTTACAAGACAATCTTTCTCTGATACATTCATGGGAACTTTGTGCACTTCAAAGTCATGAATAATCATCCAAGCTCGAGAGGGAAGCACAACATCACAGATCTGACATGAAAGATTTAAGCTGGGTGTTTCTTTATGTGCTCTAAGACTTTCCTGAGAACAAAAAGTCATTTTGCAATAACAACACTGATAGGTTTTTTCATCTTTGACCTGCTTGTTATTATCATCATCAAGTAGTTGGTCTTCAACATTTGATACACAATCAGAACCCATTGGATCATTGCTATCAGAGTCCTTTTCTTTCACTGTACCAGATATAAATTGTACAAAATTGTTTTCTATATTGTTTTTCAATTTTACAGAATCATCAACCTCATATTCTTCTATCCCTTTTTCCTTACAGTCTTCTTCAGAATCTTCTTTCCCTGTATGCAAGTTAGTCTTTTTTATTTTGGGTTCTGTTTTGGGGACTACACTCATTATTCTTTTAATTCTTGACATTTTAGACAACTTTCTTTTTATGTGCATCATTTCTGAGTGAGAAACACCTGTAAGATGATCTTTGCAATGTTTTAAATAATTAACAGCTGTTTTTAATGTATCTCCACATAAACAACATTTATAAGATGGTTCATCAAAATGTGAGTTGATGTGGTATTGAAACTGACGAAACACAATAATGCTTTCACAAATAGGGCATATCATCTTATTTTTATCTGCTGGTGCATTCACAATTTTCCCCAGTTTGATTTCAGGAAACTGTGCTTGTAGGTAAGAAATATTATATGACTTGTATTGATGAATAAACAAATCACCTCTGCAAGGAAAATCCAGCCCACACCGCAAGCATTTAACTTGACATGTAAGATTCCTTTGATGTTCCCTTTCTTCCTTTGTTCCTGGGAACCATTTTTTACACAGTTTGCAGTGTCGTCCGGCTAATGGATTTTTTTTAACATGTTCATCATACAACTGCAAAGAACTAGAATTTACTGTTTGTTTCAGTGACTGCTTCTTTGAAGTAAATTTGGTAGTTTTGCCATGTCTTTTAGGAATATGTTGATTAAGCTCTTTATGAATTACTGATTGAAATGAGATATCGGAGGAAGAAGCTGAGGTGGAAACAAAACTGCTCTCTTGTTTCACATGCACAGGTTCCGTCACCTCATCATTATGATCTTGATAAATTACATTGTCATTGGATAAATTATTTTTGTGTTGAAAACTTGGTATGGTCAGACATGGGTAATCTGAATTAGTTGTGGAAAACTGGTAGCTTTCATAGCAATTTTCCACTGAGCTACATATTGCGGCAGAGTCAAATCCATGTCCATGTTGTTGTTGTAAGTTATTTTCAACAGAAAACTGTACTTTTACAGAGTGAAGAAAAGTAAATTTAATAAATTCATTGTTATCTAAATACAATAGTACAGATCCTTTAACATTAGAGGCTTCGAGAGTTTGCAATTTTTCATTGAAATGAAGGTTTTCCATTATTGATGTTTTATTATATCTAGATTCTTGATAACATGATGAAGATAACGCACACAAAATAAAAACAAATCCATTTAGTCGAGATGTTCGTTTTTCGAATAATTTCGACTCTGATTTTTTGTCAACCAAACATAAAAACTAAAAAGAAGCTGTATGCAAAGCGAAACAATACACTGATTTAAAATTAATTTTTTTATCATAATATTTGCATTGAATTACTGTAGTGTATAACTATAGACTGTGTAGGGCTATATACTATATAATATTTCCTTATAAATCACGTTATATATAGATCTAGGTCTAGGCTTTTAGCACAAATACTTTTACAATGCCCTCTCTCAGAGAAAAATAATAGTCTACGTTTTAGTTTACGGACATATAGAAATATTTCCACTATGGAAATGCTATTAAAGATAAGATTTTCACTATTTAATTTTTAAAGGGAAGGGAAAAACAACGGACCATATTTTTTTACTTTGCCAAATTTAGATCTAGAATTTAGATATGTATTTCTAGAGAGAAAGATTGCACAAAAATGCGCTGAGATATGGGGGAAATCCGATTCTGTATACTGTCGCAGTGCGAATAAGCACGTCCGTTGGAGCACTGCGGCTTGTAAGCTATTTGTATGAAGATACAATTTAAAAAAAAAACAATATATCTACTTCAAATTTATAGCAATCTAGGGTAAAAATAGACCTTAAAACTCAACTGGTTTTGTAGCGTTAGTAAAATTAAGAATTGTGTTTTTAGTATTGCAACCTTTATTTACTTTTTAGCAGTAGTTGTGTGATCTAAATATTCATTCGCTGTGTCGTGACTATTGTCGATTCTATGCTGTCTTATTCAACATAGGCCTACGTATTTGCTACATCAGAGTGTCTTTCTTTTAGCCCATCATAGCTTAGATAAATTTTGATTTTGCAAAAATTCGGTTTATCGTATTTATGACATGTGTTGGCCGACAGGATAAATAGGCCTACTACATCTAATATGTCTACAGTATTGCATGGAGTTGTTTCTCCAGGCTGTATGTCTACTGCTGTACGTAGTGTAAGAACCAGGGTTAGTGAACATAGGAGTAAAGAAAACAAGTTAATAAAAAGTCTAGTGACAATTTAAGCGCAATTTCCTTATGTTATTAACGAGATTGAAAAAAAAATTAATTATCAAAACCAAATAGAAAAAATATTTATTAACGAGATTTTAAGAAATATGCGGACGTGTAGGGGGTAATAGAAAATATCAACGGAAATAGTTTTATTTTAACGAGTAGGCCTACACAATGTTCAGTTTAAAATATCATCTTAGGCCTACACGATGCTCAGTTTAAATGTTCTTAATTAATTTTTTGTGACCGAACGAAATGATATTTTTGAAAACTTTCTTCGGCAATATTGGTCTAAATTATGACAGGGATCGATTGGTAAATGTTTCAAGTCGCTAAGTGGTCTGGTTGCCGAGATATGGAGCAAAAACTGCATTTGTTCGAGGTTTTTTGGCTTTTCCGGGAAATCCAGGAAGGAATTCCGGGAATTTTTTTGACGAGTTAATAATCGCAATCCCAGTATGGAAATTGCGCTAAAAAAAGACTATGCCTATCACGTGCTCGAGACTTACTCGAGGATATGAATATTTTTTTTAGTTTCACCATGAAAAATCTATTTCCTAACAGGTTCACCATGAAAAATCTATTTCCTAACAGGTTCGCCACGATGAATCTATTTTCTAGAAGCTCCGGCAACAGCCCGAAGGTCAACTTTGAGTCGGACATCAACTATCCCCCCTTCAAGTTCCACAACCTACGGAAACAGTCCGACACCCAGGCTGGCAACTACCCGGCATGGTGTAATGTTGAACATCTCTTTCCTTCATATTTCTTTGACCTTAATAGCATAACTTAAGACCTGAGATCATTGAATTACCCAAAAGAAATGCGGTTATATCTGTGTATTACTCATCTCTCTCTCTTTCACACACACACATTATATATATATATATATATATATATATATATATATATATATATATATATATATATATATATATGCGCCAGAGGCGTAGCGACCCTTCCCGGCGCCCGAGGACAAACTTTTCGATTTGCACCCCCCCCCCCCTCTCGAGACTTCGATTCGCACCCCCCACCCCTCAAACTTTCGATTTGCACCCCCCTCAACCTTTCAATTTATTTTTCCAACCCATTTTGGCGCCCCCTAAGGTCGGCGCCCGGGGACATATGTGGTCACCGCCCCCCTCCCCCTCGCTACGCTACTGATATGCGCACGCACACACATTTTGAAATGAAAATATTTTAGCCATGCCACAATAGCATGGCTAAAATATTTTCATTTCAAAAGTACTCCCGAACCACCGCTTCACTTCCTACTAACGCCGCAACTGGTTAAGGATTGGTACGAAGTAGGCCTATATTCGATATCTTGGTAAAAGCTAAGGAGGAGGGAGGGGATGTAGAACCCAAAGTTTAAGGTTAGCGTTAAAAGTAAATTAATAAGACACATATGGCAGATGAAGTAGAGTTCATCCGATTCAATGACCTCAGCAATGAGGTCGGCACTATGCCTAGTCGCCGTTGCTTCCCACATACTCTAAGGCGACTGCGCGTTTAGTTATTCTTCATCGACTAGACGCTGTCTTCACGCGTTTTTTCAGACCATCAGCGAGTCCCGGAAGATCAGAAGACACAGTTCTCACCCAAGCGGGAGCCTTCCAAGTTTCGCAGCCCGTCCGCTCCAAGTACGCCAAAACTGAAGAAAGTGAGTACTCTATAAGGGGGGGGGGGTTGCCGTACACGGGAGTGATCCAAGTTTCGCAGCCCTTCAGTTGCAAGTACGCCAAAACTGAAGAAAGTGAGTACTCTATTGGGGGGGGGAGGGGGTGCCGTACACGGGAGTGATACAAGTTTCGCAGCCCGTCCGTTGCAAGTACGCCAAAACTGAGACACAAGGACATCCTGACTCACTCAGACTTGCTTACTCACTGTTAATTTAAATGTCATCACAAACGTTGTTTACTAATCTTATGCTGATGTCGTATGACAAAAAAAAACTATTACTTCACCTCACAAAACAAATAGGCCTTTACTGTATATTGTCATTAAGGATTTACAATGAATCACTCATCTAATGAGTATTAGCGGATTAAACTTATTCCAGTGGAGTAGTCAACTAATAATATTATCGTGCATGGGCGCTACTTTGAAGGAGGATTAATTTACGTAATAGTAGCTATTGCAAATCTCGAACTGAGATCCGTCCACAAATAACTAAGATTCCCTAGGTGGAGAGGGATTCAGCTGTTTGTGATAATGTTTGGGGGGAAGGGGGGGGGGCATTTAAAAAAAATCTTAGTTTCAGCAATCATTACGCAATTTAAATATTTGTTTTTACTGTAAATTGTAATTAAAATTTATCAGTATGGCTGATACATCAATCAGTGTTTCTTCCAGACTTTTTTCTCGGGGGGGGGGGGGGGGGGGCACTTGAAATTTTCGGGGGGGGGGGGGGGCGGACACTGTTAAAAGTATATATTTTCTATATAAATTATATAAATTTCATTTTGTTCGGGGGGGGGGGGCGGTAAAAAATTTTACCTGGAAGAAACTCTGACATCAATATTAGCGAGAAATCGCTGTGACCACTATAGGCGTGTCTAACTTAATGTGACCCTGTATGACGATAGGTAGGTAAAAATCGTTCAAAAAGCTTATTTTATTTTTTGACTATTCTCTCTATACCTCATCCAGCTATCCACGAGTGTACACTCTCTATCCCATCCAGCTATCCACGATTGTTCTCTCTACCCATCCAGCTATCCACGATTGTTCTCTCTCTACCCATCCAGCTATCCACGATTGTTCTCTCTACCCATCCAGCTATCCACGATTGTTCTCTCTCTACCCATCCAGCTATCCACGATTGTTCTCTCTCTACCCATCCAGCTATCCACGATTGTTCTCTCTACCCCATCCAGCTATCCACGATTGTTCTCTCTCTACCCATCCAGCTATCCACGATTGTTCTCTCTACCCATCCAGCTATCCACGATTGTTCTCTCTCTATCCCATCCAGCTATCCACGATTGTTCTCTCTCTACCCATCCAGCTATCCACGATTGTTCTCTCTACCCCATCCATCTATCCACGATTGTTCTCTCTACCCCATCCAGCTATCCACGATTGTTCTCTCTACCCCATCCAGCTATCCACGATTGTTCTCTCTCTACCCATCCAGCTATCCACGATTGTTCTCTCTACCCCATCCAGCTATCCACGATTGTTCTCTCTCTACCCATCCAGCTATCCACGATTGTTCTCTCTACCCATCCAGCTATCCACGATTGTACTCTCTATCCCATCCAGCTATCCGTAGTTGACCGCTCCGGCTTTGTAGACCTGCTTCAGAGAAAGCTGTCTAGGGCGATCATGAGGTCTAGACAGAACACGGCAACTATCTTCGACATGAACAACATCCCCCAGATGACCCAGATGAGAAACTTTATGCTCATAGTCTGCACCAGTTGTTTTTTCTCGGCACCTATGGTCTACATGCCTTTGGGATCAATACAGGTATGACTTAGTGCACCTATGGTCTACATGCCAATGGAATCAATACAGGTATGTCTTGGTGCACCTATGGTCTACATGCCTTTGGGATCAATACAGGTATGACTTAGTTCACCTATGGTCTACATGCCTTTGGGATCAATAGAGGTATGATTTGGTGCACCTATGGTCTACCTGTCTTTGGGATCAATACAGGTATGATTTGGTGCACCTATGGTCTACATGCCTTTGGGATCAATACAGGTATGATTTGGTGCACCTATGGTCTACCTGCCTATGGGATCAATACAGGTATGACTTGGTGCACCTATGGTCTACCTGTCTTTGGGATCAATATAGGTATGATTTGGTGCACCTATGGTCTACCTGTCTTTGGGATCAATATAGGCATGATTTGGTGCACCTATGGTCTACCTGTCTTTGGGATCAATATAGGTATGATTTGGTGCACTTATGGTCTACCTGTCTTTGTGATCAATATAGGCATGATTTGGTGCACCTATGGTCTACCTGTCTTTGGGATCAATACAGGTATGATTTGGTGCACCTGTTTCTTACCGGCATCTATGGTTTACGTGTCAATGGTATCACTACCGATGTGACACGCACCTGGCCTAGTACAGATGCAGTTTTTGTGATAGAAGTTGGGGTAGTTAATGTGTTGTATCCTTTGAGTACCGGTATTTTATAAATTTTATATAAAGGTTTCAATCCAAACTTCAAGTTCCATGTTTTGTTCTGTTGTCGTGTAGTAGGTTCATTTTGTCTATATTTAAATAACTTGTTTAATTTGCATTTTTCCCTATATTTCAGTCCGAATTTAATCAGAACTGTTTTCTTTTTACAAATATAAAACTGATTCACCTAAAACAGGCGAACGATTCTGTTGGAGATAATGAAAAAATATCGTAAGATTTACGTTGGCTTACATTTAATTTGAATTGAAATTAATTTTTGAAAGCCTCCTGATTCAGTAAAGGAGATAAAACGTTTATAATTATTTTTTTATTTAATGTTTTTGGTGCTTTTCCGCAAATTTACCAGAATGTTTCTCCTAAGAACCCATCGTATGATTAAAAAGGGATAAGGGTACAGAATCTTATTTAGTCTATCCATTGTACGATGTTGCGGGTTCTAACAATCTAATAAAAGAAGAAAAAAACGTAACAACTAAAACCAAAATTCAAAGATTTTAAAAAAATGTAAGCTAAACCACCCACATGAGCCATCTAAAAACCAGCCATCGTCACATAACAATAACATTATTAGAACTAATTGAACTGTTAATTTGATAAAAGACAAATCATTAAACTTTGTTATAAAATAACTTGGCGCTACTCTGCGATGACAAGGCAATAAGTGTGAGAGCGCGATTCATTCAGACACAAGCCGTAAGGCTTACGGTGGATCAAAACCTTTTAAATCTCAACTTCCAAGTTACACTGTCAATGTCACACTCCCTCCTTGTCTTTATTGCCACCATTAACTGCCCCACACATCAAATTTAACACTTCTCTCTCACTCGCTCACTACACACCCGCTGTCACTCGACCAGTAGCTTCCCTTGTTAACCTCGTTCACTCCATAAAACAACATAAACATACACATCAACAAACCTAGCCAGACTCGACATAGTCTAAAGATACAACAGCTAGGGTATACACCCACCCACACACACTAACGCAGAATTTAAAGTACTTTGTTCCACATACATACCTTTCAATATATTTCACATCACCTCAACAAAGTGTGTCTTACCTGAGCAGGACATTGCTGCCTCATCAGTTACCCACCGGACATCGGCCAACATTAATTAGCCCTGAACAATTAATTCATACACATCTGTTAAAATCCCCTTGGGTCATTTTAAGACAGAGATAGATAATGGATAATTTACGGAAAGGACAGGGGTAGGAATGGAATGGGCCGCCAGAAAACCGGGAAAAAATCCCGATAGACCACCAGGATCGGTACTTTAATGGACCTACTAGATGTTTTCAAAAACATGTCTTTTTTTAATTAAACCTTCTGATTAGTCGTTTTGTTATTATAGCATATTGCAATTTGTAAAACGACCATAGATTTTGTAGGCATCGGCCCCCAGACTTGGATAAAAAAAAAAGTTCTATGAAAATTTAAGTCGGATAGGGGCCGGTTTTAAATTTACTTTTATTCATGTCCCGTGTCGCTTGGGCACATCTAGTCAACCCCTGGATATGGATAGGAATTAGGGATTAGTGATAGGATAAGGGATGAAGTTTGAATGGGGGCAGGAATTAGTGATAGGTATAGAATAATGGATAGAGTTAGGGATAAGGATAGGGAATGGATAGGGATATGTGTTACATGCCTACTGTAATGATAAATCCCTAGAAGTGTAACGTGTACCCCTCGTATATTTCAGGTTTGACCCAGCCAACACAGTGTGGGGATCCCGGTTTTACTGCGACTTTACGACCTTTGTTCCCGTCGCCGTGGCCATCTCTTCAGTCATGGTCGGCTGGTCCACCTTCACTATATGGCCAGCTATGATGTCCCTGAAGTGAGTATCCGATCGGTGCACGGTCTTCGCTGGTGGCGGATTAAGGTTGGGGGCTGATAGAACAGTAGCATGGGGCCCATGTTTATAAGTATAATTTATCTATGGGATGAAAGTGGAAGTATACATAACCGTTGGACTAATATACATTATTTTGAGAATGATGTCTTTGTAGATTATCTGAATTGAGAATGGCAGTTTTATATAATTGATCTGAACTAGTACAGTAATATCTAAATATGTCAGAGTTTCCACCACTTATAACAAAAATGTCACAAATATTTCACCACATATTTGATTCTTTAATTTCATGATATGCGGGTAATTATGTTTGACTTCTATCCCGTGATGTATTTATTTCAGCAAGGGCGGAACACTAATGGCTCTTTACTTATCGATCTCTGTTGTGTCTCTCTGTGTGGTGTCGGTGTCCAGCATCATGCTTAAAGAGGGCTACAAAAACACTTGCGATTTACTGGAGGCGCAGGATGAATTTAAAGGGTAATAACTCGTAGTTTGAATATCATCGTTTTCTTAAACTTAAAGTCTAGTAAAATTAGGATCTAAGTAGTACGTTATTAATATGTTTTTTAAAACAAGATGGTTTTTAAAGCTATTCAATGTACAATATATTTTTAAACATTGGAGCAAAGAAAACATCATCTGAGTTCTCTGTACTGCTTAAGTTACGGCCGACAATCCACAACTCTACAGAGTTCTCTGTCCTGTTGGAGTTATGGCCAACAACTCATCTGATCCAGCTGTTTCTATGTCAGACCTATTTCGTTGCCCGTTGTTTTTGTGACGTATTTTCCGCTTACCTTGAGTGTTTCATTTCAATCATGCCTAATATCTTTAATGGCTACTAAGTTGCAATGCCTTGGCCGTCGAGTTGGTCCATCTAGGTCCACCAAATTCCGTTCCTACGATTTATGTCAGGTGTCTTCATCGGCATCATCCAGTCTAAGTCAAGAATGAAAAGTAATGACGACAACAAACATGCATGCCATACACAGATTCACACCCGTTTTTTTCCCCCTTTGTTAAGTTTGATATCGGTATCACGCAAGTCTTTCTTATAGCCACAATCAACATGATTGTTTCCCCTTACCCACAGGTACTCATGTAAACACTTGAACAACAAGGACATCAAGCTTCCAGAGTCCCAGCATGAGCACAACTTCGCCCAAAATATCAACAAAGCGATGTCATTGGCGCTGGTTGGTTGTTTTAATTTGAATTTTACGTTTGTTATTAAAAAACAACATAGTTCACAAGTATGTCACGCAGTACATTAATACCTTCTGAACAAAAGGAAGTTCTGTAAACTTAGTGATCGTTCCCTCTCAGCTTTTGGATACCGGTGCATGTTAAAATAAAATGGCAATCCATTTCTAACAAACAAGTAGTATACTCAACACTAATTAAAAAGAATTTTTACTTTAAAGAATCGGTTAATTATCAACCGTTATATTAGTAAAAGTGATATATTAATATCTAATTAGTTGAATTTTCCCCAAACTTTGGAAGTACATTCTGGAAAATCTTCAAATAAAATCGTTAAAACAGGAGCAGTCACTTGCAAGAAGTCAAGCATAAAAATAAATATTGAGTGATTTCCCTTTGCATATCTTTTTACAATAGATGGGTGGATGGTGCTTGATTGGATTTTCTGCTTCTCAAGTTTTTATTTGCATCTACACCTGTGTCATTATCTGGTTCTATTACCATTACGTTCCTAACCTTGAAGAATCTATTGACTTGGGCTCGGATCTTAGTTCAACATAAACTAATATGGTAGGTTCAACAACAAAATCATCTTTTAATTTAATGCAGTAAAATAAATAATAAATAAATCTCACTTCATGAAAATTTCAACATTTGTTATTTTAAAGATGTAGGCAAATGTGAAGACAATTAATCTAATATTAGCTTGACAAAAACCATTTCTCTAATGTATGTGTTATTTTATTAGTAATGTATTGAAATCTACTCCGCCCCCCCCCCCCCCCCCCCCTATTTTTCAGTGACTGCAAGAAATGCCACTTACTATCGCTCAAAAGGCTATACATTAATACAGATCAAGTGTTATTGTTGACTGTTTGAATTTAATTTAGTGTTAGATTTAAGAAATAGTAATTTTAAATGTTTATGTTTTCTAAACATTACTTCTTTTTCTTATTTGCAAATTCTAAAATATTCAAAACAACTAATGATTTCTTTTTTTGTGTCATGTTTGAAAGCAATTGCTCTAAGTGGGTGGAAAATTAACAACAAAATTCCATAAAAACACGTGAAAAGAGAAAGTGAAATCAATTTGAACAAAAGCTTATTAAAAAAGTACCCTTTTTCTCAATTTAGCATCAGCATGTACAAAATTCTGAACAATACTAAAGTATGTCATTCTAGATTATATGAAGACATGGTTTATAAACTGAACGCTCACTGTGTTCATTCATCTTTAAAATATAGTATAAATTTCATATATTTAAAATTTACTAATCAATATCAAAGGTAGTGAAAAAGATGAAAATATTTAACAGACATGCAGTATTTTTTCTGATTGTTTTTTTTCCCTCTTTGCAATGATGGAATTCTAAAGATAATGTTACAAGTTTTAAAAGTCTGCTTTATCACAGAATTCATTTTGGTTTCACAACACTACAGTCAACTATGTACAAGTTACTCCATTTACTTCAGACATCCCAACAGACAACTATGTACATGTATATTTACATTCCATCATTTGACAGAGATGTGGAAACTGAGTGAATTAATTTAACCCATAACAAAGGCAAGGCAGCCTCACATTCTGTATCACTGGCCTGTAAAACACCTGATCATGACACCAATTGAAAGACTAGAACTAATCCTGACATGATGGAGACACACAAACATGGTCCTATGGTTGTGATTATACTGTGCTGAGTTGTTTGAACTCTTTTAGCCACCTGAAGGGGGTGTCACATGACAAATGATATTTTTATGGACACAAAGTATGACATGTAAAAAACTTCAACTTAAGTTTTCCACTCTGTCTCCACCTGTGATTCAATGATGTGAGAAGATTACTCTTTTTCAAGTCACTTCTGCAAGAGAAACAGAGCAGAGTTAAAAGCTACAAAAATTATTAAATAAAACTATTAATATCTGTAGACATTACTTAGCATGTTTTTACAAAAAGTATGTACACCTAAAAATACTGTATAGATCCAGTAAACATTTACCCTAAAGTTTTAAAGAGAAAGATGCTCCACAAGAACAACCATGGTCTGCTTTAGGGTTATCTATAATTCTAAAGGCCGACCGAATCATCTCCTGATAGAAGTCAACTGTTGAGCCTTTCACCAATTCCAGAGAGTCTTTGTCAATAACAACTTTGGCTCCATCTTTCTCAAAAACCCTGCACACAAAATCATACAGAGATATAAACACTAAACAAAGTTAAGTTGTAGGCCTACATTTGTTTAATATTTTTTCAAGTACTAGTGTACCCATCATGCACTGCTGCAATCTCAGAAGAAAAGAAGTCGTAGAAACTGGTTAGGACAATTGTCAATTGTTAGCAATGATGTATATTTGGACAATGTCCCAGCTTTGCTTCTGCCCACACATACTGCTATTGTTATAATAACAAATGGATATTGCAATGAGAAAAACCCAGACCAGCATATGTTAATCACCCTTTGCACGGCCCATGTTGACCGCCCAGGTGTCTGGAAATCTGGTTCAATTTAATTAACTATTATAATATTCCAAGGAATCTATAGTATATGGCACTCTTTAAGGACATGGGCGGGTGTACTTTTCGTCATAAATCCACTAAATCATCGATTTCCCACTTTTACGTGATCTATACAGAAAAACCATCGTTGAATCTAAAAATGACATTGTTATGACCCTAAAAACAGTATTTATTTATAAAAAACCGGGTTCAAAGTAGTGTGTACAGGGTCATTTGTTATTTTTTTGGTAAAAATAGCCATTTTTCGACCTAGAAAAGTACTATTAGGCTTCACGGAAACCTAATGTGTTTCATATCAATGGAAAGGCCGTGATCTCCTTTCTTTATTTGTTCTAAAATTAAAGGACCAATCAAAATACTTATTTTAATGTGATTATTTTTCTACGTCATAAAGTTGTTTATTTTATTCAGTCGGGTTTTTCCGGTATGCAAATTTTTGACCTCAATTTTTTCATTGGCGTTCGACGGCGGAAGCTAGTTAGCGATTGGTCGTTTTGCTTCGCAAGTAAACATTCCCTTAGTTTCAGCGCGTTGCTAAGTTTGATCTAGTTTTGTATCTCTAAGCTTCTGTGAAATACTTACATTATTTTAACTTATAATTATTTCAATTAAATATACTATTAACAGTTTAGATTAGTTTGTGTGAATTATCATAAGCAGTGAGACGATTTAATTTGTTTCTCTTTCGATAATGGGTAGAACAAAACACTCGCTAAAAATAGATACACACAAACATCTAACTAATTTACTAAAGCAAGGGCACGTCCGAATGCAACTGATTGCAGCTACCTCTACTCAATCTAGCACTATTCAGACAAGCACTGGTGCAGATGTAATATGCACATTTACTAAGAAACTGCGACAATGTAAGACACAGTTTTTACAGACAGAAGAAAGCACTGTTACATCTAGTACTGGTAGTGCTAATTGTAAACCACAGCCATGCAGAATTATTGTCGAATGTGATTTGCTTCTTGATGTTATCAATACATTTCCTCGCCCACTGTGATGTAGTGGCTACTATTAATGAAAACAGTGTAAAGGGTTTGCTTCAAGCATGGTGTGGCAGTAATAAAAATGTTGTAAACCGTAAGTATACAACTGCAAAAGAATCCAGAACAAGGCCATTCACAATAAACAAAGACATCGTCTTATCATAATTGGCTTTAGCAGTGGCGTAGGCAGGGGGGGGGGGGGGGTTGGGGGGGGGGGTCATAACCCCCCCCCCATAGACCCCTCGGTATATATAATCGAAAGTTTGAGGGGGGGGGGGGCAAATCGAAAGTTTGAGGGGGGGTGCAAATGGAAAGTTTGTCCCCGGGTAAAAATTGGAACCCCCCCCCCCTTGAGACGATCCTGGCTACGCCACTGGGCTTTACACATGCGACCATGCAAAATATACTGCTGTTTCTGCGATAGCATAATTCAATTTTGGGCCCAGGCATGTTATGGCATTGCTGTCAAAAGAAGGAAACCATAGTCGAAGACTCAATGAAGGACGCCAAAAAAGACGCGTTGACAACAGCTTTTCTACAGCTCTAGGTAAAACAAAGAGCGCCAGAAAAAAAGAAAACTAACAGCTGAACAAGCTCAGAAGGAATATATTCAGCAGCACCATACTTCAGGCTATGAATGTGGTCGATTTTAGTGACATACAGCTGTAAATTTTCATTTTTTGCAACTTTTTGTTGGTTTTTTGCGTTTTTCTCAATTTGATGTTTTTTTGTACAATTGTTGAAATAACTTTGTTAATAATTATCAGAACTGAACTAAATTTGCTCCAGTTACTCTGTATATATGTTCAAATAAAACGTATTGAACACTTTTGGAATTTTTGTAAAGATTTTTTTTTTATTGTTTAAATAGTGAAAAAATTGGACGAAATAATGACATTTTTACAGTGATGTATCAAAAAAAAAAGTAAAAAAAAAACTATCCTCTTTTTTTAAAATGTAATCAATAAGAAGTCTTAAACACATGTGTCTGCAGATTATATTAAGTTTTCATAAAATTTGTACAAACCATTTTTGAGTTATTTCCATTTAAAAATCGTCAATAAAATCCAATATGGCCGCCGTCACCATGGCAACGGAGGATTTAAAAAATTAAAAAAAATATTTTTATGCTTAACTCTTTGAGTTATAACTATTAGCCAAGTATTACATCTTTAGACTTGGAAATAAAGAAGTTGGTACTCATCACCCGCCCATGCCCTTAAAACGAATGTATGGTAAGCAACATAGTGCAGAGCACCCAATCAACAGACACCAGAGCTAAGATAGCTGCTGGGGAACTGGAAATCACACCCTACATGGGCACCATCCCTCCCAAAGTTAATTTTTTTTTTCTTCGTAGAAACCTTCCTAGGAATATTCTCAACAATTTCCCAAAGTTTCATGCCGATGGGATGAAAGGTGTAGTAATGCACAGACACACATTCTTACATTTATATATATATATATATATTTTAATTATTCAACTATGATAGTACTCATGTAATGACCTAACGCTACAACTCCTTTGTTTTAAAACAAAGTAGATTTGTAAATTTGAGCTTCAAGATATAAAAGTAAAAGGATTTTATGACTAGCACAATGCACAGAGAACTTCTCCTGATCAAATATTGGATACTCATTGAAGCTGATTAGGCTCAGCAATATCCAAAGAAATCCAAAACATAACAAATAGTTGACCCCCAAATAACATGTATTGTCATCATACAATGTGACACAATCCAATTTTTAAAGAATTACAAAATTAATGTTAGCAACTCATGTCAGGAATTTAAATAAATTTTATATAATTATAATAATTATTAATTTAAAATAAAAGAAATGAAAGCAAAAGTTTAAAAAAATTATTTTTTAGTTTTAGCACAATTAGATAAGCTAACCTGTCATCTTCAGCAACATTTGAATCCAGCTCAAATTTATACTGAAACCCAGAACACCCTCCTCCTTCAACTAGGACTCTAAGGTGGTTCACGCCATCTGTTATTTCTTTTAATCTCTGTCAAATACATAAAAAATAGTAATACTGGTCCCAAAAACCTGTTAAAAATGGTTTACGTTTCTAGACACCAATGTACTATTCTGTTATGATCAGCACATACTCCCTAACTGAAATTTTAAAAATAGGTTTTTTGTACTGATGTGGAAGCCACTAGTAAAATGCTTTAAGTCTCTATGTATAGCATTGTATATAGAAGTGATTTGCGATTAGGAGATCAGACACATTAAAAGACTATGAGTAGCCATAATTACTACTGTATCATCAGAAGTACTACATTTCCTAAGCATGTTTGGTTGATTAATTACATGTATACATCTGAATTAATTTTTGAAGTGAATAAATGCTGCTTGTAGGTGTAGCAATTTGCTATTCAACTCAATAAGTGTTTGGCTTTTGTGAAGAGGATTAAAATAAATTATCATTTTGTTTGTACTATAGGCCCCTATATCCAAAAATTTAAGTTATTAAGATTTAATAAGCTACTTATTGTGGAGACATATCTATTGTAATGGGATGGAATTAGTTAGTGTAGTCTGGGTTAAAAATTTATGTATAAAATGTATCCATCAAGTTAGAAATTTCAGGTTATTTTATAAATTTTATTACCTTCACACAACTATCACTTAGTTTGAGTTCTTCTGCTGTTTCACTGTTGAGGTTTACTGTAGATGGTTTTGTAGAGGCGTATAATCTGGTCACTGATGCTTTACACAATAATCTATCCTTTAATGACTTTGTAAAAAATTCACAACTTGACCTGTTGATAAATATTAAACTGAAAGTAATTTGCTATATGATAATTACTTTAACAATAGATCTGAGTAAGGTAGTATAGATTATTCTAGCATCTAGATCTTGACCTAGTTGTAGAAGTAGTAGTACCTATAACTATAGAAGTTTAATATAGAATTTACATTAGAGCCAAGATATAGTTATAGTAGATATTATAGAGGGTACGCATGCATATATCTGTGTAATAATAACAGTGTCTGATTATGCTGCAATAATGAAAGCTTCTTTTAAAAGGGGTGTGATTAATGGTAGTATAAATATAACTGACTTAGACCAGAGACCAGGCATACAGCTTTGACAGCATATCAGAATCTAACTGTCTGGCTGCCCAGACAGGCTACACCCTAGCCGCTAGCCCTATGACCTACTATAATAACTATAGTATAACTATGGTAACTGATCAATGCGGCACGAATCCCTACATTATTTTATGCTACTACTGTGACTACTAGTAGATCTATAACTAGATCTATGTTAACTTATTAACTAGGCCTAAACACTAGATTCGGTAATCTATCGTTTTGGGTACGTAAAATCGCCAGCGGCTAGTAATGTACGAAAAAGTTACCTCATTGTCAAGGCTTTAATAGAAGTATATTTTGATATCTTTGTGTCAAATATTATAGATAAATGAATAAATAACCTAAATCAATAGCTAAATATATCAATATAGGCAAGAAATTAACTTTTAACAGCAGTGTTTGCGAGCAGGATTTCCTATATAAACAGCAGCCATTTGTAAAATAGAGTTGCCTTCCCCTGATCTCGCGCTATAAGTTAACAAAGAAAGAACTTAAACAAGATGGCTACTATAGTAAATGAGCACAGTTGCATCTGTTGGAAACATCGCTAGTATTCATTTATTATTGAAAAGTTTTAATTCAATTGTTTGAAAACAGGTACACAAATGAAACAAGGAAACATTTTTGTATTTTTCAAAACACAAATCCTCCTCAAAATGTGAAATAATTATGAAAATTTAAGGAGTCACCTGTTTTTCACATTACTAGTCGCGGGCGATTTTACATACCCAAAACGATAGATTACCCTAGATTCTAGATTTACTTCTATTCTAGTCATACTACTTACTACTTACTTAGTACTTACTTACTTAGTCACTAACAAGAACTACTCACTGACTTAGTCATTAGTGACTTACTCAGTATTCAGTAAGTCACTGACTAGCAGTCACTAACTAACTAGATTCTCTACTACTACTAGTCTAGATCTAGATCTAGTCTAGAATAGTCTAGAGTCTAGAGTACAGAACAGTTGACTCGGCTTGAGACTTGAGGTGAGTTGAACTTGAGTGACTAGTGACTTGAGATTATATTTTTTAGGCCTAGATTCTATCTAGATCTATATTTATTATATTCACTATTATATTGGGATGTTAAAACTTAATTTTCAGTATGTTTAAAAATTGTGTATTATTTGTGTTTTTAATATCATTTATTGAATTTAATTGGCTAACCTTCTGATGACGAAATTTGTTGCTTTTCGTAGAACAGTCACCATTTTTATTTTTCTCACAAAAATAAGTATCAGCACTTTGTACTGGCGTAGAAAGTACTCGAAAATCGAGTAGACATGGATATATCTACATTCTACATAGTACATAATCGACATAGGCCTAATGTATGTCGCATTGTAACATTATTATTTTTTTCACTTTTTTTTCTCCTGCTGATAATAATAATTGCAAGAACAATTTGATAGTACATAGTCATATATTCTTTGTTTTAGCAAAATAAAGTGGAACAATTTATTCCTGTTTTATGATCTTCGTGTTAGTAGTTCAGATCTCGACAGTATTTCGGTTTGGGGGGGGGGGGAGTTATCTTATAATTATTAGGTTAAAAAATATAGAAAAAAAAGATGATATATGAACTGTTTTTATAGTCATTGCGGTATATTATTCATAAAGGAATGGGTGGATCAGAATTTCCATATTTTTGTTTTGGCTGTTCCTTTATTAGACTTCATGAATTATCAATTATTAACAGAGGTAGGGCAGTATTTCTTTAAGGCATCTCTCAAAGGGCGGGGAGCCAGTGTTTCTTCCAGGCACCTCTTCGGGGGGGGGGGGGGGGGCTCTAGAAAATATATACTTTTAACAATGTCCGCCACCCCCCCCCCCCCCCCCCGCCAGAAGAGAGTCTAACCCCCCCCCCCCCCTCCCCCGAACGAAATTGAATTTATATAGAAAATATATACTTTTAACAATGTCCGACCGACCCCCCCCCCCCAGCACCCCCTGGACCCCCCCCCCCCACCCCGGAGAAAAAAGTCTGGAAGAAACACTGCGTGAAGCGTATCTCGGCAGTAGCGTAGCTAGGGGCTAGGAGGGGCGACCTATGGGACGCCAAGAGGGTTAGGAAGAAAAATTAAAAACCAAATTTTAAGCTAAAATTTTGAATTACACACAGTCAACGTTTAAAATTTAAAACGGCTATAATATCTTTGCTGTAGTTGTGTTATCCCTTGATTGTGCGGTGACCGGTTAAAAAAACGCTCACCAGCTTTTCCCGAGGAGGGGGGGGGGGGTGAAAAAATGCAATTCACCTTTAACAAAGTACGCACTTAATTAAAGCTGTCAACAAATAGCATATGCTTCCACGGCCATTATATCAATACCATACCTAACATTTTAAAATTACTCACTCCATGCATTCTTCAGCGCCTTATAGTGGGGGTGTCAAAGCAAAGATATGGCGCCTTTTAACACAATGTCAGTCCACATCTGCAATTTTTATATGCTTTTGACATCATCCTTGCTGGACATGACCGTCACGTACAGATCCCCGCTGTACTGAAAGTTACTCTCTATAGCTGATAACACTTATAATCTTTGCAGGGTGTTTTTTTTTACATTGTCTCCGAGCCGGCGTAGGGGGGGGGGAGCATTTAAGATTTCAAGGAGGTACGGACGAAGACAACGGTTAATGTATATATTTTCTATAAACTTTTTTTTCTTTCTAATTAGTCCGGCGTGCTCTGGAGGATGTCTGAAAGAAACACTGGTTAAATAAGAGGCCTATTTTCTATGGTCCTTGGGTCTCTAAGGTCAGTGCCAGGCTGGTGACATAGGTTATCAGTTTACTTAGCATGCCCCCCCCCCCATCTTCTCTTTTATATGTCCTTTCTAGCAGGAAGTTGAAAGGTCACTTACAGAGGCGACACCTTTTCCTCTGCTTAAATAAGTCTTTAATGGCTTACATTTTTTTAAAGTTCGTCTTATTCATAGTAATGTAAATATGGTGGCGAAATTTGGTCTGCTCTAAAGATGTATTACAATTTACAGCTACGACACTTTGCGCGGATATGCGTCATCCTGCCTCTACAAAGCCAACCCATAAACTACGATAAATTCATCAGCCGGCTGCTTCACTGACTAAAACGAGCGTGCATGTTAGCATGTTTTTTTTTTTTAAATGCGTTCTGAAGTGGGTATTTGAGCACTACCTCTGTTTAGTAGGCGTTAGAGTTGGTGGCCGCAACGGTTTGGACGAAACGGGGATTAACTAAATATAAATAATGGTGACATAGGGAGGGGCCACAGTTGTTGATAAATTAGTTTACTTACACAAAACTACACACCCATGACAGCCTAAATTATTTTAGATCTGCTGACACTCTAGGATTGCTACTGTAAGCTTATTTTTACAACAACTTAAAAAAGAACATTTGCCGCACATGGTGGTTTTTTACTTCTTTTTTTTTAAAAAAAAAACGGATTTTATCTATACATAATATGCAAGATAAGGAATTGCAACTTTATTTTTCTTTCGATTAATATGAGTATCCAGTACTCAAATATGAAGTCACACTCATATGGAACAAAATTCAACAAGCCGAAAATTCAAAATTGTTGCAGAGGATGGGGAAGGGCACGCTTTGTTACCGCACCCTGTGACACCCGTCCTAGTGACGCCAATGTATACAAAAAAAAAGCAAATTTTAACGTTCCTGGTACATCGTTTGAGGTTATATAGCGTCCTTAAATATATCCAGATTTTGATAGGCTCTACTAGAGCTATTAGTCTGCGACAGTCTAAGTCAGAATAGACGTCATAAAAACGATAAAATGTTGGTTTCAGATAAGGCAATGTACCGGCCGTCCTCCAAATGTCATTCTGTATTCAGTTTTTTTTTCCACCATGGACCACATCCTTGAAGATTCAGCCACTTAACCGTGTGCACGCAGAAAACAGCGTTGGCTTGAAGTACTTTGGGTCAGTACTTACTGGCAACTAACACAGAACACTTTCAAAATAAACATCTACATAAAGTACTGCAGTTGCGATACAATCCTGTTTAGTTAATCCACTTAGTAAGTATTACAGAGCAAGACACAGACAGAAAACCAGTAACACATAAATATATTATGACCGGACAAAAACTAGGGGAATTCCAAAAGTTATTTTTACCTCTTTTCTCGATAATTACGGCTTATTAAACATTTAAAGAACTGTCGGTATAATAGTAGCGCAAAATGTAAATTACATTTTGAATCGGTGTAAAGTATACATAAGTATATATATCGTAACGCATCGTGTTTAGTTGGGTTGGGCTATATCGGGCTGTGTCCATCTTTGTCCAGTTATGCTGTTTGGTTATTGAGCTAAAAGGTTGCGTTTTTTAAATTGGGTTTTTAGTTTTCTTTAGAGGTACACGTTGTTGTGTAGTTTTATGTTGTGCTTGGTTATGTTTGAAGTCGCGGTAGAGCAGACATGAAATTGTCACGTGGTTAGGATCAAACTGTTTACATGGGTCTGACATCATTGACCAAATACATCCATAAATGACGTCACGCTTTTTTGGGACGATTTTTACCTCCCCCCTTCCCCCCACGTCCTCACAAAAAGCCAGACTCCTACCCTACCTAAAATGACATCACACCTCAGCCTACACCCCCCCCCCCTCAAAATTGCTGTTGAATTTTTATTAAAACTTCCATATTTTTCCAAAATCTTGTGTGAACTCTGTCAACAAAGTATTTTGATCAACGCATAATTAATAACGGCTAAAACTCGTTTTCTAACATTGCTTTTTATAATGCAAAAAAGTGACGTCACACCATCTGACCCCCCCTCCCCCTTACCACACACCGTCACAAAATAACGGACCCCCCCCCCCTCCCCTCTACGAGTGTGACGTCATTTATGGACGACCCCCAATCCCAGACAAGGATTATCAACATCTAAACCCGTCTGTATCTAACCCATGATCATGCAGACCAGTGTTTCTTCCAGACTTTTTTCTCCGGGGGGGCACTTGAAATCTTCGGGGGGGGGGGAGGGGGTTCGGGGGGGGGGGGCGTACACTGTCAAAAGTATATATTTTCTATATAAATTATATAAATTTCATTTCGTTCGGGGGGGGGGGGGCGGTAAAAATTCCCCCCCCCCCCCCCCCCCGAAGAGATGCCTGGAAGAAACTCTGATGCAGACCTTTTAGGATCTCCCCGCGGTCACCAATATTTGACGGTTCATATCGTATGCAGCGGGGGCGGCGTGGTCGAGTCGGTAAAGCTCATGGTTGCTAAACCGAAAAGTCTCGAGATGAAGTTTAGGTCACATATTTCTGTGTCGTCCATTATATGCCATGTCGCCTTAACTTTCCCTAACCTAAGTCAGGTACCCATCAGCGTTGCTTTCCCTAAGTCAGGTACCCATCAGTGTTGCTTTCCCTAACCTAAGTCAGGTACCCATCAGTGTTGCTTTCCCTAAGTCAGGTACCCATCAGTGTTGCTTTCCCTAACCTAAGGCAGGTACCCATCAGTGTTGGGTGAACTCGGTGAGTGTCTCGATCCCGGGATCTCAACTCGAGACGTTAGGGTTAACAGGCGCGTGCTGTTCTGTCCGACCACGCTATCCCATTTGTTCCTCTCATGACCAGCCACAAACACATTTGAAAAATACAACAAAACAGGTCATTTCACCGCGTCCTGTGATAGCAACAGTTGATAATCATAGAAAAGTAGAAAACTGAATACCCTATAAAGCGAGACCCACCAGCGGGACGGTTCTTTAAATATGTATGCATTTTCCCCCTTTAGTACTTTCTTTTCTTTATTTTGCGAGTATCGATAGGAGATTTGCACACGGTGTTTCTTCCAGACTTTTTTCTCCGGGGGGGGGGGGGGCACTTGAAATTTGGGGGGGGGGGCGGTAGACTTTCTTCGGGGTGGGCGGACACTGTTAAAAGTATATATTTTCTATATAAATTATATAAATTTCATTTTGTTCGGGGGGCGGTAGAATTTTTTCTGGGGGGGGGGGGGCTTTGCCCCGCCCCCCCCCCCCCCCCCCCCCCCCGAAGAGATGCCTGGAAGAAACTCTGTTTGCACAGTGTTTCGTTTAGGCCCCACTCCCGGCTCCCGAGCAGGGGAGGGAGGAATCTATGATGAAAATACATACTTTGATCAGCGGCGTCGCCCCCACCCCCCACCCCGGAAGTTTCAAGAGTCCCTCCCCTGAACCAAAATTGCAAAATTTCTGAAAGGAACCCTGGATCTGCATTCGGCAGCAAATATCCTTGCTACGCCACTGGTGATAATCACCCATAATGTTAGTCAAAGAAACTGATCATCTCTGGCTCGTCTATGTTACACTCTGAAACTGAAATAGCAGGGTCAGTTAATATGCAAAATATGCTTAAGAGCGTGTTACCTTAAAAGGAAAACTCCTTTAAGGTGTGTTAAAAATACGAATAACATTGTTTGTGCAATTTGTTTATTGTTTACATAAATATTTTAAGTATAATATATCTTTAAAGATTTACTATGTTTTTAAATGTTTAAAAAAAAGCAACTAAAAAGGTGAATCGTAAGAAAACAATTTTTATGAAAAAAAAATAACATCAGGAATTAACAGTTGAATATTTGTTTGCAGTTATCCACTAAAAAGGGAATTAAATGTAAAGCAGTCTATATGAGAAAAATGTTTATTTATTTTGTGGTTATTTTATTACAGTGGCTTCAACTAAATTTAATGTGGCCGTTAATAATAATAATAAATCTTTTTATTTAACAAGATAGTTTTAGTTGCCGTTTATAAATATAGTAAGGTAAACCGAAGGATGGGAGAAGACAGACACTGTTCGATTATGTCAAAACAGGAGGAGGGATTTACCACCCCTCACTCGGGTCTCAACGCGAAGCCGAGTGATCCGGGCTCGAGGGCTCTTGGGTCGAAGGTATGGCACTGAACAGTGCGCATGCGCAACATCTATCTGCATTTTCCTGACGGCTGTGCTAAATGCTAAATTCGTATTACAACTTCCGTGATATTTTTTTGCTGTGATATTCTAAGTTTATTTGGATTAAATTTATATCGCCAGCCTCTAAATGATTCCTCGCACGGCGGGCTTCGGATAACTGTTCCCCGATCGTCTGCAAAGACCGGTGATCGGGCCTGAGTGCTGAAGAAGACCAAAAATGGTCTTCTTCAACGGTTCTGTGAAAATTAAGATCTGCGAGGCAGTGGATCTGAAGCCCACTGACTTCTCGTTGCGGCTGCAGATGGGCTCAACGAAAGAGAAGGCCTCGCAGATGATCGAACCGTACGTCAACATCGACGTAGACGAGGTGTACGTAGCCAAGACCACCACCAAGCCCAAAAGTGTCAAGCCGCAGTGGGTTTGGAACGAGGATTTTACCTCGGAGGTTCACAACGGGCAGAACGTGAATCTAACTGTATTTCACGACGCCGCGATCCCCCCGGACGAGTTTGTGGCCAACTGTACCATTCCTTTCGACGATGTTAAAGGAAAATCTGATTTCTGGGTAATTACGTACTGATACTTGTAAATTGTTGTATGGTTTGCCGTCTTCGATCGGTACTGTCGCGAAACCCAGAATGGTAGCCATTTTTTTCTCTCTCGGCTCGCCTCGGAATCGGGGCGCCTCATCCGGACATTTCCCGAGTTCATGTTCTTTTTAGCATTGAAAATTATTATTAGAATTTTTTGTTTATTGCGGACCATTCTGCTTTGAATTTTAAATTAAAAACTATTTGGCTTTGTTTTAAATCTAATTCCTCATGTGTTTCATCTGGTGTACGTTTTTTAAAGAGTTAATTCTTGATAATTGTGTCTGGTTTTTTAGATCGATTTGGAACCAAATGGAAAACTCCACATTGTTATCGAGCTTTGCGGCTCGGCAACTGAAGGTAAGACTATTTTAACATTTTTCACCCCAATTTAAACGTCTTTCCTCAATTTTCGCCATCCTTGTAAGATCCAGAAGTACGTAATTTGCGTGTCTGCTTATCTGTCCGTGTTGTTGGTCTTTGTTTTCGTTTTCCATTATATAACCGGAGACATTATCGCTCTCGGGAATGCTCGGAACTCAATGCCAGAATGACGTCGTCAGTGAGTTGTTCCTGTAGTAGCGCTCGTCCAAGTTTATGCTAATGAGCAACCAAATCGTAATGTCAGTTTCGGTTTTCATGTAGGCCCAATGCTTTATGACCCAATGTAGTTATGCCTGGTTTTCCTCAATTCAGCCACCCCATTTGGCACCACTTCCATCCAATTATTTAAAAAAGTAAATAGACTAGGCCCTACATTTAATGATTTTAAAGAATTTGGCCTTGAAATGAATATCTATTATCTAATATCTAGATATTAGTCTAGTAGATATCTACTAGTCTAGATCTAGACTAGATCTCTCTCTCACTCTCTAGCTTCTAGATCTAGATTCTAGATCTAATCTAGATCTAGATATTCTAAATCTACAATAAGATCTAGATCTAGATCTAGTTTCTAGTCTGGATTCCAGATCAAGATATCTTCAACAACTAGAGTAGACTTCTGCAAGACTGAAATATTTAGAATCTAGCTCTAGACTCTAGTCAATTTTTACAAATCTATTTAGTAGTTAGCCTACTTGACTAACAGTAGATATTAAGAAAATGAAATAAAAAAATAGCCTTAGGGCCTAATTAGTTAAAAATTACTTAAAATTAGGAATGTGCCTATAAAGCCCTATATATAACAAGGCCCATAACAACTAGATTTACAAGACATAAATCAATTGACAATTTTAAATTATATTTAACACAAAAATAGACATCACATAATCCTAGGCCTCATGAATTATGCATTTGTGTATTATACTTCAGACTTAAGGCAAAGGCCTAATTAATTGAAATAGGCCTATCTAATCCCTTATTTATTGTTTGGCCTACAATCCCTCTTGAAACTGTTGTATTGGATAAAACTGTTTCAGGGCACCATTGTCACACAATGGCAGTATAATTGAATTTTCAAAGTTAACAGTTGTTAGACATCTAAATAAATAATAATAGACCTAGCTAATGCCAACATTAACCCTTTCCAAACTAATTTACTTCTGTAGCCCTAACACTAAACTTCATATTACAGTACTACTTACACAACCTGAAACATCTTTTATTCATACAAGTTGTCTCCCATTGGTACCAGGCAAGGCTTTTAATGATTCTAGAACACAATGAAATGATGTTCCACCACCATTTTTGGAATTTATTCTTCTTCATTTTTAACTGTACTAGTGGAAAAGATTTCCCCAACATAAGTATTAGTGTAAACATGTTATGTGCCATAGGATGACTGCGACTTCAGCCTGCCTTTCTTTCTGGATTTGCTTCCATACCCTTTTTTCCACCCGGACAATCAGCAAGGTAGCAGTTGTTTGATTTTTCTCTCCTAGATTCTAGATGGGTTGTTGTCCCTAGTTAACAAGTCTCACCTGCGGGGTCTGAACTTGTTACTGTTGGGGTCAGCAATCATAAGGTCTCTTGCTCTAAATATGAACTATGGTTTAACATACTTGTAAAATATTTTAAATCAAAGTAATGTATTAAATACGAAATAGTATTTTTAGTAATTTGATTTTCTCAAAAAGTACTGGTGGCATCAATACCTTTCAAAATTCTAATAACTTAAATTAGCCTTAGTTTACACTGTGCTGGCATATGACTATGTTTAGACTAGAACTGTGTCTTTGAAATTGGATATGTTTAAAGTGTATCCTTAAACTCTTAATAGCAGTGGATTTAATTACCTAGGCCTAGTGATTATAATATGGAGTAATGGTATTATCAGTGTCTAACAATAGAATCTTCCAAAAATAAGTGTGTTAGGTTTTTAAGACAACCCAGTACAACTATTGTAATCAGGCCAGGGTAAAAAATTAGGGTAAGGGCAATGGTATGACTTGGTTTTGTGTTAAGGATATAGTTACAGGTTAATGTTGACATTATCAAGTTTATTAGTATTTCGTTCACTTTTCAGACATTGTTAGACACTGGTGTAACACATGCTCTGCTTATATTAGATTTAAAAATAAATTTATTTGACCTGAGTATTGTTATCAACAACCTTATTCCCCCTTTAATTGGGACATTCCATTGTCAAGCACTTGCATGTGAAATACTCCCCTGAACCTTTGTGTGTTAAGTTGTAATGAACTCTGAACTAGTGTTACTAGGGCTCACAAATGCTAACTCTATTTGTAACTACCCCACCATTTAATAGTACAGACTATTGTTGTAAATGTAGACTAAGAACTAACATTTAAAAAAAAACTAAAGTAAACACTGGGTTAAGCATATTGAGTCATCTGTAGTCATCTGTGCATACTCATTAAACAACTAATTATTCAATTGGCCTTTGGGGGTCAGATGGGGTGGGAAGATAGATAGGCTATATTGGTTGTTAGGGTTATAGAGGTTTTTAATAAATATGATAAATAAATTTTGCCTTTTATATGCTCACAGGAGGAGGGCTAAATTAAAAAAAAAAACCTGTGTAATAAATTGTTTTTGAAATAGTTTGTCAGGTATATGGAATAAATAACAAAAGTACACACTTTAATTTCATAAAATTTTAAATAAATTATCAGTTGTAAGGAAGTTAAAAGCAACCATTGTATATAATTTATATTATTATGATTGACTTACTTGACTTAGTCCTCTTTGCTCCTTATGGAGCATAGGGCCTCCACCATTTATTATGATTGCTGATGTTTAAAACAAGGTGAATAGTAGGATGTTTCTCAAATTACTTTTTTTAAATTAAAAAATGATGTTGTGGCTTTCCTATCAAATTAAAATTTTCCTTAATATATATTAATTGTTTTTACAGTTTTGTTTGCTAATTTACCAATGATTATATGTGTGGAGGAATAAGAAAAAACACTTTACTGACATAAGAATATTAGTAAAAAAGTTAATTTTAATTACATAGCCTATTATATTTCTAGATTAAATATCTAAAAAATTAAGTATATGGGCCATGCTTCAAAATTTAAGAACTTAAACTAGGCTCATTGAACTTAAATTTTAACACAAAAAAATGTTTTTTTACACATGCAGCATAAGATCTTTTAAAAGATTACAACTTATCAACAGGCGTCACATTGACTTACCTGAAATATACTAAACACCACTATTTACCCTATTTTTTAGGTTCAGGCAAAACAGTTATTTTAGTAGTCATTGAGATAATCTCATAATTAATTACTTAAATTATCACTGGAAGTTTCTTTACCCCACCAAACAAGAACATCTGGAAAATATGGTTTACCTTTCCTTCTCCCCTCCCCAATCACTCTATTGATTACTTACAATAACAACGTGAGACTTTTTTTATTGCAATTTTTTTTTAATGGATGCTTCAATCGTTATACAATTGAATTTAATGAAAGTTCTTATAAGTACAACATAGAATTCTCTTTACACTTCCTCTAAATACATTAAATATTTTTATACAAAATTAGTCTTTCCATTGCAAATCATTACAAATTTCTAGTGATTTCTAAGTTTGTGTTGTACTACATCTTTAAACCCAATTGGACCAAGTGTGGAGGTAGTGGGACTTGATATGTAAAATATTATAACTTTAAGCATGGGCTAAACCTCAAGATCTGCCCATAATTTTATATATAGATCTATATATACATTATTAAAAGAACATTTTAATCCAATGTCATACACATTTCAAAGAGAATTCTTAACTTAACATAGGCCTACATTTCCTCTACAATATGTTTTCTTCTTACTCTTGGGTAGGAGTAGGTGCCAAGCCCCACCTAGCAATCCATATATATTTAAGTTCTTACTGATGAGAATTAAGATTTTTTTATTTAGACTATATATTGGAATGTGATTTTTAATAGCTATATTGTGTTTGTGAAGATTTCACAAGGTAGCTTTTAGTTCTTTTTCTGTTTAAAAAAAACATTTGTAAAACATAATTTATAATTTGCAATAAACTTCTTTTGTTGGCAGCCGCAGAATCGACCCCAAAAGAGAAAGTGTTCAAAGAAAAAGAAGGCATGCTCAACCGACGACGTGGTGCCATGCGAAGGCGTGTGCACCAAGTCAATGGACACAAGTTTATGGCCATGTTTTTTAGGCAACCGACATTCTGCTCACTATGTCGAGACTTTATATGGTAAGGCCATTTTATCACCATCCTGATTTTGGTATTTGTAAACATAGTGTGTTCCATAACAGATGATTTTCACCTTCATTTTAAAACTTTGTTATAAAATGTTGTTTGCTTTTTAAGATTTTATTTTAATCTAGTTGAATATGGTTTTGCTGTGCATTACAGTTCTATCAAAATAAGTTTATTTAAAACTTTTCTATTAATAAATTAAAAACTTTGTGTTTCAGGGGTCTTGGGAAACAAGGATATCAGTGTCAAGGTTTGTGAAAGCTATTACAAAATATAAAGTACAATAGTGCATTGAGTTATCTTCACTCTAATTTTTTATCCTTCTAGAGATAGTCACTATTATTTTTATAGATTTAAAAAAGATAAATTTATTTTTGCAGTATGTACTTGTGTAGTCCATAAAAGATGTCACCAGCACATAGTCACAAAATGTCCAGGATCACGTGATGTCTCTAATGATGAGGTTAGTAACTAGCATTGAATTTTATGCTTTTTTTTTTTTAACTTTAAGTCAGAACTTAATGATTAAAGAGGTACAATTAATCTTGAAAAAATTATAAGGGAACTGCTCTGCTAACAGCAACATGAATTTCTTACAAGATGAACATATTGTACACTTTTTGTAATTTGCTGCACTGTTTGTTACAACAAGAATTAAAATTTAAGTATTAAACATTATATTTCTTTAAACAGAATTTGTACACTGAGTTTTATTTGCATGAGTAAAAAAAAGTAAGAATGAAATAATTGGGGGAAAAAATTCATGTTTTTAAAGAAAGTGTTTTTCTTTTATCCAGGTGACAGGAACAAGGTTCAATATAAATGTCCCACACAGATTCAATGTACACAACTACAGAAGACCAACATTTTGTGACCACTGTGGCTCTCTACTATACGGGTTGCTCAAACAAGGATTACAATGTGATGGTCAGTCGCTGTTAAAATATTACTCTGTGTACATAAATACCACACTTGATGATATTATTTTATCTTTGTATATTAAAAAAAATTATCAATTTAAAAAAAATATTTTCTTTTAGTATGTAAAATGAACATCCACAAACGATGTCAAAAAAATGTGGCGAATAACTGTGGAACAAACACAAGGGACATGGCTCAAATCTTATCTGAGATGGGCATTTCAGGCGACAAGCTCAGACCTAAACCCACCAAAAAGCCAGTAAGGAAGCTTTTTTTTTTTTAAACTGTTTAACTAACCAAAGACCTTTTTTTTAAATATAAAGGTTAATTCTACTAGAATTTAGGACAACCAGGTTGATCATTTTAAAAATGCTATACATTTCAACATTAAATAGTTCTAACATTATAATTCACTTTCAATTAATTATTGCAATCTTTGTTTGTTTCAGACATCAATAAGTGAGTCCCCAAATAAAAATAGCCCAATGCATGAGAGATCTTTTTCGTCCCCCATACCTGTGATACAAGGTGAGTGAGTGATGGAGTGAATGCATGACGCCCACCTGCAAGACATTCAGTGCAGTACCGCTTGCTTCTGTTGTAATCTCATCACTTGTATAAGTGGACTTGTGCATTCGCTTTCTAATGCTATTAATTTGTAATAAGTTAACACTCCAGTGGAAGCAAGCATCTTTCTAGAAGCTTTTCTAATAAAACGGTGTATAGTCACTTCAGTCTGCATTTTCTTTCATTACTAATAAGTGTTTTATTTTGTGTGTTCAAGTACATAATAGGCTTTTGAATTGTTAACTGCTAAATAAATTTTATTTTGTTTAATCTTGGCTATAGTGAGCTTTTATGGGATATTTGCCATATCAAAATAATCTTTTTTTTTTTAATTTGTAGTTTTTTCAACCAATTTTGCTACTAAAGTAAAAAAAAAGAGTAATGCACTTATAATTTGCTTTGACAGTAAAGTTTTAGTTTTTCAATAATGGCATTTCAAAAGGCTCTGTATAAGTCAGTGTCACCTAAATTCTTGCCCATCACTAGTCATTTTTAAGAAGGCAAAGTTTAATAAAAAATCTTTTACATTAATAAGAAAACAGAATACACATAATTTTTTTTTAAAAACATAATAAAGCTTAAAGTGATACATTTGCTTTTATATATAATTTTTTTGCTTAACATTTATATTGTTTACATAACTTGAAAATGTTAATATCTTCATATTAACTTAATAACAAACAATACTAAACCAATTTTGGAATCTTCTGATTAGAAACTTTTGTAATGTTTGAAGCACCATTGTTTCTTTGTTTCACCACATTGTATTTATTGTGAGGTCACTTATTAATGTTGAGGAAGCCATTTGCTGTTTTGTATTATTGCATGTTTCTCAGTATAAATATGGCATTTTGAGCCAGCTGGAAAACACAATAGTGATGGCTAGAAAAATAAGTTTTGTTGTGAAGTCCAAATTTCCTATCTTTTACTTTAAAGATTTGACAGAAGTTGCGTACCTTATTACTTGCTGCCTTATAGGAAGTTAAGTTTCTTTGCTATTTCTTTGTCATGGAATATCTTCATTTGGTTCAGAATTTCTGACAAAAACTTTTGTGGGAGATTCAACAGATTTGTTGTTGTGGGTTTTGTAAGTTTCCAAATGTATTTGCCCACGTAATATCCCTGGAAGTTGCCAGTTGCAGATAAAGGGAGTTTTAGCAAACTGGCAGCTAAAGCTGTTATCCTCATTGGTATGTACTGTACTAATTACTATTTGAAGATGTAGGTCTACTGACATTCATTTAATACTATTTTGAAACAGCAACACCTAAGTAAATTTATTTTTAAACTATGTGGTCACCATGTCGTGGTTGAATGTATGAAAGTTGTGCTTCCCCATTTGTCTGTAATTTATAATTTATGTCACTTAGAAGTTAATGCAATTCAATTTTAGTATATTTTTTTAAATGGATAAACTTATAAAAAGTGTAATTTAAACTTACAATTACATTAAGCACTAAATTAAATAGTTGAAGATCAAATTTAATAAATGAGAAATCTTAATAGTAACTTTAATTGAAATTTTTATTTACATACATATTTTTATTTTGTAATTTGTTTTTTGTAGAAAAATATATTAGCAACTGCATATTGCTAATAGTTTGTGTAACAGTTTTAAAGTATAGATAATCAAGTATATAACATCAATGACAACAGTTAAAATTTAAATGAATATTTTTCAGATCCAGATGACCCTAATTCCTCTGATGTTGGTGGTTTTGACACAAGTAATGATCACTTAGGGTCTAGAACTCGCAGTCCTTCTGGGGACAGGTCGCGATCTCATCATAGCCGAATCAGCTTAAATGATTTCAATTTTATCAAAGTTTTAGGAAAGGGCAGTTTTGGAAAGGTTTGAACAAATCTTCTATAAGCATAACATGGTTATCTAAAGAGACTTTGCTATCATGCTTAAATTAAAAAATATACTTAAAATTTTTGCTTTTAATTTACTTTAAAATTGTAGGTGATGCTGGCAGAAAAGAAAGGTACAGATGAAGTTTATGCCATCAAAGTTTTGAAAAAAGATGTCATCATTCAAGATGATGATGTTGAATGTACCATGACTGAGAAGCGGATACTAGCATTATCAGCTAAACACCCTTTTCTCACAGCGTTACACTCATCATTTCAAACTAAAGTATGTTTTAACCATGTACCTCAACTTGTTGGAAAAATATCTTTTAAAATAAATTCATTTAAAAAACTAGGTATCGATAATAATCCCTGAATGGTTATCAGTTTTCACATTTAGACATAGTTTTTCCAAATAACACACTGTATAGTTTCATTTTAATTCTTCTTAAATGTTCTATTATTTCCTTAAATTTCAGGAGCGATTATTTTTTGTCATGGAATATGTCAATGGAGGTGATCTTATGTTTCAAATTCAAAGAGCCAGAAAATTTGATGAACCTAGAGCAAGATTTTATGCTGCAGAGGTCACATTGGCATTAATGTTTCTACATAGGCATGGTATTATATACAGGTGTGTGACAGTTTTCTTTCATTGTGATATTTTTAGATTTTGAATTTAAGCACAGTGATTTATTTTAGGATTGGTTAACTTCTATGTAACTTTCTAGCTAAAAATTATTCCTTTGGATTTTCATTGGTGTACTAAAATGATAATTTTGCTGTTATAAATTGTATTTAAGATCATATAATTTTGCTGTTATAAATTGTATTTAAGATCATAAGCTGTGTTTGAAAGTGTGTGTAAGATTTGAATTTCTGTTAAATTTAGATTAAAATCAGAAGTAGACATATTCAGATTGACTTCTTAATGTGGTATGTACTTTTATATCTTGATAATTGTAACTACTTTTTATTTTTCAGAGATCTTAAATTAGATAACATATTATTAGATGCAGAAGGTCATTGTAAAATAGCTGACTTTGGTATGTGCAAGGAGGGGATGACTGAAGGCAAACTGACACAAACATTTTGTGGTACACCTGATTATATAGCACCAGAGGTAACCAAAAGAGTAATTTAATGAATGGGTGGTTAGGTCCAGTTAATTGATTTTAAATATTTATGAAGAAATAATTATTTCAAAATAAAAATGTATTACATTTTGAAAATGTTTAAAAAAATTGTTTGTTCATCAGATTCTTCAAGAGCTAGAATATGATGCTAGTGTAGATTGGTGGGCTCTAGGTGTGCTTATGTATGAAATGATGGCTGGACAACCACCTTTTGAGGCTGACAATGAAGATGATCTGTTTGAATCTATCCTCCATGATGATGTCCTATACCCTGTCTGGCTCAGCAAGGAGGCCGTTTCTATACTCAAAGGGGTGTGTACTTTACTTACTTGTTATAGCAATCAAAACTTTTTTTTTTGTACTCACTCAAAGGGGTGTTTACTTTACTTACTTATTATAGCAATCAAAACTTTTTTTTAACTCACTCAAAGGAGTGGGCACTTCATTATATCCATTCACACAAATGGGGTGGGTTCTTTATTCGATATACTCAAAACAGGCTGTTTGGTAATAACTTTAATCATACACACACAAATTCAAGAAAGATCATTCGGTCTGTTAAGTACTTACACTAATGATCTCATTAATTAAATTGTTTTTTAAAATTGGTTGTGTTCACAAAATTTGTATGTAGAATTTGAGTTTTCACTGTTTATTAACTTAATTTTTATATTCAGTGATAGAAATATGCATATTTTTTGTCTTTACTTTTTAGTACACTAATTGAATGTACCTATTATTTATGTAAAGGTGCAACATTATTATTACTTTATTTGCAATCTTTAATTTACATTTTTTTTTGTGTACATGAAATTTCCACCTGGAAGAAACAATATCTTTGGTTTAAATTGGGGGGGGGGGGATTCCGATATATGTCTAGATTCATTTTGTTTGTGTGAGATGAAGATACTGTTCCTTACATCAAGCACCACCTTTGTGCTTCAATAAGTTGACCATTTGAATTTATATTTTAAAAATACTTAAATGTGACCCAATTTAGATTAATAACTATGGAACTGCTGTGTTTGTTAAAAAAAGCTTTATTTTCTTTTTTCCTAATTGTTAAACAAAGAATTTTTGATGATTAGTAAATGGGTAAGTCAATTGGTTTTATAGTTAAAAATATATTTATTTTCTTTTTTCAATTTCCATTAGTTCATGACAAAGAACCCTGCCAAGCGACTAGGCTGTGTTACTACTCAAGGATGTGAAAAAGCCATCCTTCTTCATCCATTTTTCCATGAAAAAATAGACTGGGAAGCATTAGAACAACGTAAAGTGAAGCCACCTTTCAAGCCAAAAATTGTAAGTTGTTCTTTTAAAAATTTTAACTTCATTTTCTGATTCATGAATGTCATAAGCTAAATATTTAAAAATTTCCATTTACATTTTACACATAATTTTCTTTTGTTTGTTAGAAAAACAAGACAGATGCCAACAACTTTGATAGAGATTTTACTTCAGAAGATCCTGTGCTCACACCTGTTGACCCAGCAGTGATCAAAACTATCAACCAGGAGGAATTTCGCGGTTTTTCATTTATTAATCCAGAATACGGCAAGTTGGAAATGGAGGCCAGTGGTCAGACCCACTGACCAAGCTAGAGAGGCTGTTCCAGCCATGCTCAGTTTTTGGACCATACTTGCTTGTGGCTGTGTTTTTATTATTATTTTTAACAAAAAAAAAATTCAATTTGTGGATGGTTTTCTTGTGTTTTCTGTGAATTCACAATGTGGTATGATTCAGTGATGAGTAACCTCCCTTGAAATGACAAGATCAGAACTTCTTAAATTTCCTTTCTGGATCCATTTGTTGAATTTCACTGTTCTTAGGTCCACACTTGGTATAGTTTTGTTGCATTTAATGGATTGTCATCAATTGTTCTCGCACTGTCTCTCATTCTGTCTGCCATCTTGTTTTTCATTCACTTTCAAAGTAGACAACAGGAAGAACAAATATTTCTTCCCTCACAAAAAAAGTGATATTCATTTTAGTTTCATTGTTCTGGCATATCTATGTGTATCTGATGTTGTTTGGGATTGATGTCATTTGCACTAAGCATTTGTTTGAATGAAATTTGTTCTGTATAAACATTAAACTGCACATTTTTGCTAATGTTTATAGAACTTATATGAATCAACAATCAAATTCTTAATAGTATGATATAAGTTTAATACTTTTATGTCATAATTTTTAACTCCATGACTTTAAATGATTTTAATATATGTGGATATATAGCCATTAAGTGAGGGTGGAATCTCCTAGTCAGGTCTTAAATGTTGTTTAACTTACAATTATCATGTTCATAATTTAATGTTTTTATTTTAAATTTCAGGCATTGGCTTAAGAAATTTAAAACATCTGTGAGAAATGAACACTCAAATGACAAATCATAAATGTCTAAGTTAATCAATTTTTATGTTGCCAAATTGAATTTCAACCATTTTATCCAAGTTCTATTTTTAAAGCAATTTGTGTTCAATGAATATAATCTATTGTTAGCATAACTTGCTTTAAAAAGTTAAATCCCTCCCTGTTTAGCAAATAAAAGAATAGAATTTTATTTTCTGAAATGAAATTTTCCTCAGAAATTTTATATAAAATTCTTACAAATCTGTTAGATTTTTATATTAGTGTGGTCTTCAGATTTAATAAAGCTTTAACAGTTTTTTTTTCCTTGCATTAAGGGGTATGCAAAAGTTAGTGCATATTCTTTTATTGAAATTTAATATTGTTCTTATTTAGCAAATAAGTGTAGGGAATTATGTTTTAACCAACCTTTGGTTAATGTGATTTACTTATACAGCAAACTTTAAAATAGTTTTGGGCACCAAACTGTTAATATATTTATATATATATAAGTGTTGCTATGTGTGCGTGTGTGTTATAATGGTATTTGTTTTCTGTTGTTATTTTATTAATTTAGAGATCTTAAAATAATTTATCAAATAAGTATTAGATGGGTAGAATATTACGTTCAGTTTGCTTTTTAATTTTGGAAGGGCTTACCTAATAGTAGTAGCCTGATATTAGGAAACCTGTTTATTTGTATGCATTTTCTCTCTTATAATAGTTGCATTAAGAGTATTACAAAATAAAGTTTTAAAATTTTGTTAGGAAAATACCATACAGAGATTCTCTTAACCTATGAAGTGTGGATCCAGGTTTGTACACCCCAAAGACAATTTGTCTTATTCTTTGTTGTACATTTATATTCAAGAGCATCACTTACTACACAAAAAATCTCACAAAGTTGAAAATAGAATTTCTTCTCAAAATAAGGCTTACAGTATCTGAGTGTTTTAAAATTATAATTGTGAGGATTTTAAGTTTGGTAGAAACAATAACATTTTTTAAACATGTATTCATCTACTTGATGAATTCTTTTCACTCAGCTGTTATTAATTTTTGTTATATTTGTAGTGTGTATTTTGCACAGTTGCTTTTATATTTATATCTTTCATAATGTTGTTTGCCATTATTTCATCTGGTTTATCTTTTCACTTTTATATTTATCTCCTATCTTCATGCTGTAGTTCCATCTTTGCATATAAAGCTGCATAATTTCTGTATTGGCCGTTTGCCAAAAAAATTTCCAGACATTTCTTCAGAATTTTTTTGGGGTGCTATTTCAAAAAATGAAAATTTTCCAGGTGTGTGCTTGTGCTTAAGACAGTTTTTTAACATGTGGTACTAAAATTCAAAATCTTAAATGAAGTCTAGTAAGTATGCTCAGACAATCATCTTATGTAAAAAAAAAATTCTAAACAAAAATTATACACTTCACTTAAAATTGCTACTATTCTCAGAAGAAATAAAAGTATTGTAATCCAAGCCCAATTAATACAATTTTGTATCTCTGTTTTAATTTCCACCTTTAATTTCTAAGGGTAATATGGATATTTTCTGTTACTTTTTAAATTATTAGAATGAAACAGTAAGTCCTAATCACTCCTTACTTAAGAGTATTAAAAATCAGTTGATAACAAAGTACTGATAACTATGTTGGAAAATAAATAAAAAATTTGTACACTGCAAAATACAATTTAAAAACGAATGTAAAATAATCCATCAAATAAATTCTGTTGGTGAAATTTTCATGCTGAACTGTCAAAATGTGGCTTAGGGAGAAAATGTATACAAATTATACTGGCTATGATTTTATAATTTTATGTATGTCATAAGCATGAAACTAGTGAACATTTTTTTTTAAAACAAATTTTATTACTGACTTTTTGCACTTGATATGGATATCCGTTATTTATGAGTTTTCTTCATTGTAAACATTGTCTAATGTGAAAAATATTTAATGAATTGTAAAAATGGTAACACAAGCAACAAATCCATTGTAACTTTCATCGGTTTTAATGTATAGCTGTTATTATTTGTTGCTTTTTGGTCAATCATGTTATTGCATGAAACTTAAACCAGTCTTAGCAGTATTTAGCAACAGGATGAGAAAAATCAGGTGACTGAATACATTATTTTAGAGAAAATTATTAGGAAAATTAAATAAGAAATAGTGGTAAGAGGATTGTGGTTACAAGAATAAACAAGCTAACATTTCACATAAATAATTGGCCTCTTGTTATCAGGTCTATCAGAGGTAATGAGCTGTGTTCATATGTCAATTGTGCAATACACATCTGTTCATATGGTTATAATTTCATGTTCAATTTTTGTCTTTAGTTCGGTTTTCAGGCAGAAGGCCTGTTTACTATTTAGTTTTTAAAAGCTTCAAGTAGCAAACCAGTTATTTTGCCAAAAAAAATCAACTGGTTTTGACTCTCATACTGTGCAGCTTCTAGTTCAAATGGAATGGGTTGCATCTGACAAGTTACCAAAATTAATTAGCTTATCATTTACCATAATGTATGAAAACCATAAACATCTACTTAGAAGTTGCTTACATTGTGAAACTGACTGTGATATATATTTTTTTTTTATTTTTTACTATCTTTTTTTCAAATCAAGAACATGTATAATTAAGTATCTGATCAATGGCTTCTGGAAAAGGTTTTTTTGTAATGAATTAGAAATAGTGTATCTAATTAGGTAGAACATTTTATTAGTATTGATATATTTTTAAAAAAAATTTCTTTTGATTTAAATATTTTTTTACCTGTCCCTTTTTTTCTTCAAAAACACACCAAAATATTATTTTTTCACAATTTGTTAGATTTTAAAAAATTAAATTATTACTTAAAATTTTACCAGTTAAGAAATTCCTTTAAGTAGGCAATAAATGCCCAATGTACCATATTCTTCTAGTCAATCATTGCCTTGTTCTAATTAGTATAGACTTCAGAAGTGTTTATAATAGTTTGTGCCATAACATTAACCTTTCAGGGAAAGTAACATTTCTGTTGCTAAAATGATTAAAGTTATTTCCAAAATAGAATACTCTTTCATTCTAACTTTTGTGTATTCAAATAGAGGCTTTCAATTTTTTGGACATAGATCTACTCAAAATAACAAAGGATTAAATCTTTATTAGCATTGTTAAGTAAATAAAATTGAGCAAAATCAAACCAGTTTTTACATTTGTAACTATAATATCAGTGACTAGTGTTGTTCATTCAAAAAGCTTCACTATTTAGGCGGGGGATAAACCATGTAATTTATTACAATATCCAATATGAGGCTTGATTCTGTATGAAATTATCTTACAATTGGACATGTTTAGAAATTGAATTATCATGAGACTTTTGAGTTTTGTAAGCATTATGCACTTAACAAACTAAATAAAGGATGTCTTGTATGAATGTCATTTATCATTTAACCTTCCATTTTTGCATACATATGGAGTAAAAGATAATCATTACTTACCTAAAATATTTTTTTAAAATTCAATTAGACATAATGTGTCATACAGATTAAAAAATTTAGTTAAGCTGCTAATTAAACATGAAATTATCAACTAAAGGTGATGCTAATTGAATTTTTGGAAAAAGTAATCTGTAAGTATGAGGCTTTTCATTGCCAATATTCTATATTAGAATTTTGCAATGATTACTAATGTAATTTTATTATAAGAAGTAACATGTGTAAAAGAGATACAGATCTGATATGGAGTCTCTATAGATATAGATTCAATTATATTATAAAATTCAGTTAAAATACAGATAATTTAAGTTGTGTTAGCTGTCTTTTGATGGTATTATGTGGTTTTAGTTATAGAACTATGTAAAGTTACAATCTTTAAATTTAAATGGCTTTAAAAGGTTCATAAATGAAAAATGTATCAACAAATGCACTGCACCTTCATAGACTTGCTAATATGTTTGTAGTTGTAAATAATTTAATTTATCCATTTTCTCTAAAGATAATTTGTACAACTGTCACCCACTTCAGTTGAGATGACAGTAAAAAAAAACTTTGATAATTTTTTAAAAACACCTTTGTTTGACTTTTTAAAACCTAAATGTATGTTATCTCTTTCTACAAGCCTACAAGCATACATGTAGTGTTTCCCACTAGAAATAATTTCTTTTTACCTAAAATAAACTAAAATTTTGTTAATTGTTATAATGTTTCTGTGTATGCCTGAATAAATCATTCTTATGGGCTTATTAAATTAATGTTGTCGTTATTGTAAAATAGGATTTTAAAAATACACATTTAGATAGAAACAATATCAACTTGTTTAAATTAACAAGGGAAGAGTTTTAGAATGAATGGAGTTGTCTTGAGATTCTTGCCTGCGATATTGTACCTTGATCAAAATGTTTCTGATTTTGTCTTTGATTGTTTTGGGCACATCCTATCATTAGAATAACCTGTTTACCATTCCCTTCAAATGTTGTAGAATTGAGATTTCTGATAATGCCATGCTCTCTCTGTCATTTCTCTTTAATCATGTGGATAAGATACGCACAAGGCTTAGTATGATCAAAGCTTTTATCAACTATTCTTACTCATCACTTTGTTCACTCTTTCTGAAACTGATAGTTATACCATAATGCTTCTTCTCTTTATGCCCCATACATAAAGACAGTTTTATTCCACGTTATTATATTCAACTCTTGTCAGCTTACCTCCCTTTATGTTGATGTTTTGATGTGTACAACAAATATTGACTACAATTAAATAACTTACAAGCTTCCGTGAAAGCATGTTTCATGGCTAGACATTTATCAAGAGCTTAACTTATTAACATATTTCAATGCACTAGGCAAATTGTTGTGTAATATATGAGGTTGAGTAAGACTTGTGAAGATGAAGTTAACATTTAACAATGTTCTCTTTGCAAAACTATTTTAAGATGTCAAGGGATAGTGTCATTTTACAAGGTGCTGCACTAGATATTATTTAGCCTCTACATCTTTATTTTTAAGGCAACAAACTATAAACTATTTTATTAAAGAGGTCGAACTAGATCTGGCAACTGTAATATAGGCTTCAGACTTAATTCTGTGTCATTACACCCAATAGTCAATTATAATTGTGTTTATGGTTTAATATTGTGACACTAGTCAAGATTTTATCCAAAATAGCAGATATAGCTTAATTTTTAATCCCTGTGAGCTCATAATTTCAAAAGGATGTCATTTACTCAGTAGGTTAGATGTCTACATATTGATTGCGCTTTATAAGGTTTATCGTATCATCATTAGATAGCACATTGTTATATCTTAAATCAAGTTAAATGATACTAATTTATCCTGGAAGAAATAGTTTTCTAATATTCTCTATGATTATATAATTAAAATACACTTTTCTTCAGTTCAAAGAGTGACTAGGATTTTTTTTTTAAAGAGTGACTAGATTAATAGATTTTTGCAATGAGATGAATCAGATCACTGAACTAAGACAAGCTACTAGCAGTTTTTTCTCTAGTATTTTTTTTTACCCGAGCCACATTGCCATTTGGAAAAGTGTGTCTGTCAATTTATTTGCTATTTTTTAGGTGTTGAGATCAATCTCCACATAACCATTGGAAAAACTACTAAGATAAGGAAAAACAAAATTAAATGTGTTATCATTATTGTTGTCGTTGGAAAGGTTAACATTGAATTTACATTAAAAATAAATTAATGAAAAACATCAATTTCCAAACACCTGAAAAACATCAAGCTCAAATGCACTGCTCGTTGCTTCCGTGAACTGTTTTGACATCTGCACTTGCCCAGTTTATTTCTCGTCAGTGTTTTTTTTTTTAATTTTCAACTTCCGTTTTTGTGTTGTTTTTTTTTCTTTATTATTCATCTCAGTCTGACTTTGTTGTCAGTATCTGAATTAGTGATCATTGAACAAGTGTAGTGCTATTCAAAAATTCTTTTTTTTTAAAAATCTTTTTTGACCTAGTCAAATAACTTGACCAGTCATATTACATTTTTTATTATCAGATTTAATCATGTTTCAGAATAGATAGCATTTCATTTCAAAGCTTTTATCATACCTCTTGTGTACAAGCTCTGTTAAATCCCTTTTTAAAAAAAAATAGATATTTTTTTTACCACAAAGTGAAGACAAAATGGTTTACTTTGTTAATGACTGTAAACTAATGCTAAAATACAATATTACTAATAAAACTTATAAAAATCTAATATAAAGAACTGCAGATCTATTTCTTATTTACAGTTCTCTAATTATTATTGTAGAAATATTGTGTAGTACAATTTTTTTAAAGATCAATAGATATAGAGGGTTTAGAGTGTTACATAAATCTTCTAGATTTTATATAATGATAATCATACTTACTTTTTTTTAAAATATTGTTTGAAAATCCTACAGTTGTGTTTAATGCTAAGTGATGTTTTTAAAAAAAATCAAATTAACATTAGTGGAGAAGAGTGACTGCAATTTTCTTATGTCTTGCTCTAATTGTGGTTACCGTATTTTTGTTTGTTTTATCTTTTTCAAGTTGTATTGTTCTTCTAGATCGAATTAAGTCAATAGTTTTTAATGGGTGTAAAGATATTATCAGTAATTATTCATCAAATATGCATACAATTTGAATTCAGTAGAACTTATAATTTTGGGCCAATTTTGTAGATTTGTATACTACTTTAATTTTCTCTGTAGGAAATATTTAGAGCACTATACATGACATTCAGGTTCATTTCCCAAATATTAGGTATTTTGATTTTTAATTTAGTTTAGTTTTATTAATAATAATAATAATAGCATAATACATAAGGCAGTCCCCAGTCATATACTCTATTAAATATTTCCTTGACATAAAACAGAGGTAAAGTGCAATATAAATTATTACAAAAAGCGCTTTTTTTTTGTAAATAAAAATATGCCAAAAAGCTTATAATTTTGCTCAAACAATACCAGTTCACAGAAGTAGCTTAAAAAGTACACAATACGAAAAAAATAGCAATGTAATAAGTGAAACCACAATTTGATAGCTTGCGGAAACCACATTTTAAAAAAAAAAGTTTTTTAGGATCTCATATATAAACTATAAGCCTTTCATGGTCTGGAAGTGGTAGCTTTGTATTGTAAAAAGTTGCGTTTGCTAGTTCCTTCATCTTGGTCCAGTGATTCTCATCTCTGAGGTTTTGAAAAATGTAATGTTTGTTTAATTTTTTTTATATATATATACCAAGGATCATATGAGCCTACAGAAAATTAAAATACTATTAGAATTTGGTTTGTTTATCAATCATTTTGATACAGAAGCATTTTATTTATACTGTTACTTTTTCCCTTCTAAGATAGTGAGGTGCAGACTGCACTTTTTATTTGCGTCCTATCAACTATCCCTGTAAGAGAACTGGTGAGAGAACAGATTGTTCTCGTTATGTATTCAATACAAACGGATGTAAGAGAAGTTGTTGATGTATTTACCTCATGATAACATTGTAGCTCACCTTAACTGGTATGAATGGTCTCAATCTAAATCAACACGTTGGTGTATAACACATCAAATTGGACTTATCCATTGGTACTCTAAAATATATTTGCCAAGACTTAAGAATTTTTTTTTTTTTAATTTAGTTCCTATGACACATAACAGCAATATTGTTTGTTCTTTGTGTTGCCAGGCTGTGTAATGTCATGTGTTTGACTTTCTTGAAATGCTAGAGCAATTTATCAGTATTTATATGTGTAGTTTCATTAATAAACAATACTTGTTAATTTATCCTCATGGTTTGTTAATTTTGTTAACTCTTATCTTCGAACACTCTCATCTGATATGATTGAATTATGTAGCGTATTCATCAAACGTTATATATACTTCAGCGTCAATGAAAATAAATATTTATGTCATTGAAGTAAACACCTTCATAGATGATACTCTCCAATAAAAATATTAGGGTGCTAGTTCAAGTTCCTATTCCGGTTAAGATTGAAGATTGGTTTAGGTTAAGAAAAAAAAAGAAACATCAGCCTATACCCATTGTATTTTTTCTTAACCGGGTAAATTATCTTGTATATAAAATTGTACAAACAAGATGGTAGTGTTGAGTATACAACATTGATGTGAAGGTGCAGCACTACAGAAAGAAGACATCTGATGGTCTACCTAATAAATAAACACTATACCTCTGCAATATTCTAATGTACTGATATGTGTTCTCACTGAAAGCACTAGTATCACAGAAAATTAATATCTTACACCATGTTTTTCACATAATATAACCCTCATTGGGTACTACTAGGAGTTTTTTAATTTTCTCTCTGCCATATTTTATAGGTATATAAAAAATTAGTGTTCTTGTTTCTCAATTTTGTTTATTTCATTTAAATATACTAATAAAAACTGACAGCAAATCAAAGATTTTTTTCAAATAAATGGGGTTAATACTTAATGTTAAAACTATGTTCTTATTTACATTCAAAGCAAAGGTTTTGACTTTCAGACACGCAAAGACTTACACAACATACAAGATTCCCACATTTAAAACAAAATTTTATACTGATCCATTTATTGCATCAACATTGATCAAACACAGAAATATAACATATAATACCTTTGCTATATTTATCATATATATATATACAACTATTTAATAAGTAAAAAACATCTTTTCAGACAAAACAGTCCATGGAGGAGATAAAGTACATTTCCTAAGTTTTTCTGACATTGCACATGAAAGGATATTGTAGTTGGCACTTTGCCCAGCCACTCTTACGTCCCCTGACTTGAGACCCAGCTATGTTTGATTTCTTTCATTTAAATATTCATGAATTTGAATTTATCAACAACTTATTAAAATTAAATTTCTTTAATTACAATCAATGTTCCCCCAGATGTTACATATCTCACACAATCTTAAAACTTATAACAGTACATTAATAAGATTTTAAAATCCGTATTAACAATATAAAATTTTTTAAAGAAATTCCAACATGAGTTTTAGTGATAAAAATATTTGAACGATAGAGATTTATGCCATAAGTATCAAAGTTTGGAAAAGACTGGAGCCGTTTTTTGTAATGCAGCTGCAATAGCTATTGAGACATCTTCTGACTGAACCATAGCAGAATTCCAGATATTCTGTGAAGAAAAATATTTCAAGGCATCAAGGTTTAACTGACGAAAGTTATGTTTATGCAACATAAAATTTACTGCCCGCATTACCCACGTGAATGTAAGGCTGCATCTTTACTTCTACACATTATACACATCATGTTAAATTAGGTACTAAAACAGCCTTCCTTAGTATTCTAGAATGACCCACATGTAAACTTATACAAAATTTTTATCTAGTCCACAGTATTTATAACAGCTCAAAAGCTTTAACTGCCTCCCCCACTAGTGGATAGAGGAATGCCAGATATGGTGGGTACCCATGAAATAAAATAGCAAGGATGGATATATTTTATATATGTATGTATGTATATATATGTATATATATATATATATATATATATATATATATATATATATATATATATATATATATATATATATATATATATATATATATATATATATATATATATATATATATATATATATATATATATATATATATATATATATATATATATACATGGGAAAAGACAACACATAAGTCTGAGTGGAAGAAGGTGACGAAGCAGAACAAAGTCCACCATGGGTTACAGAGCCACAGGGATGGATGACTGGCTATTAAAGTATCAAAGTATCCTCACCATATAATTCAATCCTTGATACACTCCATGATCCCTTGAGTACACTATGTTGACCTTTGACCCCTGAACCCCAATAGGACTTTTAGATGCTATTACTTTGGCAAGCTCAACAGCGGCTTTTATCAATGTATCTTTATCTGGAAGGATTCGGCTGTAAAAAAAATTAGATAATTTTTTTACTCTGAACCCGTCTGTTTAATATTAGTAGGATGTAGTAAGACAAATTACTTACACAAGTCATATGCAATTACAATCAATCTATCACAAGTATGACATGATTTTACCTGACAAAACCCATAGATTTTGCCTCATCAGCAAGAAACTTTCTGCCTGTGTACGCCAGCTCTCTGAACAGGCTGTCGTTTCCAATAACTTTTGGCATCCTTTGAAGAGTTCCTACATCAGCAGCCAGACCAATATCAATTTCCTGGAAATAAAATGAACAGTAAATTGAATTAAATTGATTTACTAATTAGCAAGTTTTTATACTGAATGACATTATATGCTATTAAAGAGTTATCAATAACAATTTCTTGTTGGCATCCTAAAGTATAGTTGCATTTGCTATGTTTAAAAAAAAAATTACCCATGATTTATTTCATTTCTGAACGTAAATTTCCAGCAAAAATTTCTAATCTATATTATTCGGGTTTCAACATTTGTTATATAAAATTAATCAAACGTTGCCAATATTAATTACAATTAGCAAGCCACAATTCTTTTAGTTGCCTAAATAACTACAAATCTGAAATAAGAAACTATTTGAATTTCTAGTATCTATCAAATATATTACTCTTAATCAGACTAAAATTGTACATTCTTGCACAACATTAGTTATTCAGATACATTAAAACTTAAAATTCACCTTAATCTGAAACCATGCATCTTGTGTGCAGTAACGTATGTCACAAGCAGATGTCATGTCCACACCTCCACCAATACATGCATTGTGCACGGCAGCAATCACTGGTTTGGGGCACTGTAATCAGACAGCCTATTCATAATTTTATATTTATATAACATATTAAGTCCATAATTATTTACAAAAAACAGTACATCAAAGTTTCACAGAATCCTCTTCCCTCCAAGCTCTTTTTGTAAAATGATCATACAGCTGTTGAAGTAGCTATGTAGGGGTGGGGGGTGGGAGTCTTAGTTAATGAACAAGTTAAATATGATCAGAATATTTTTTTAATTGTTTAAGTAAACACAAGTTCAAGTTTTAAATTAGCATTTATGATTGTTGCTAGATAAACAAGGGGAATGTTGTTGTGAACACACTGATACACAACTGTAAGAGAAGTCAAGCACATCATTTAATAGATAAACACAAACCAGCAAACAAGATTTAATGTAACAAAGGCTCATTAACATAGTAATAAATCTTTCATCAACTATCTACACTATACACAAGCTCAGTGAGAATCAGCCTATTCTAACTAGTCTACAGCAAGGACATACAACCATAGAATACAATGGCATGCTAATATTCTACACAGAAACTAACATACACTAACCTGATAGAAAAGGAAATACTGGAAGGAAGCACTGACTAATATTTTTAATTGCACTTCTAAACCCGTACAAAACTAAATGAGACGCTGATCACATGATGGACAAGAACTCACAGGAAGAGAAGAGCAACGCTATCACAGGTTAACAAGTACAACAACATTGACCATCACACCTACACTACAAATGTTATCATCCACACCTCCACTACAAATGTTATCATTCACACCTACACTATAAATGTTATCATCCACACCTACACTATAAATGTTATCATTCACACCTCCACTACAAATGTTATCATTCACACCTCCACTACAAATGTTATCATCCACACCTACACTATAAATGTTATCATTCACACCTCCACTACAAATGTTATCATTCACACCTCCACTACAAATGTTATCATCCACACCTACACTACAAATGTTATCATCCACACCTACACTATAAATGTTATCATTCACACCTCCACTACAAATGTTATCATTCACACCACTACAAATGTTATCATCCACACCTACACTATAAATGTTATCATTCACACCTCCACTACAAATGTTATCATTCACACCACTACAAATGTTATCATTCACTTTCACACCTCCACTACAAATGTTATCACTCACACTTACAATACAAATGTTATCATTCACACCTCCACCACAAATGTTATCACTCACACCTCCACTACAAATGTTATCATTCACACCTCCACCACAAATGTTATCACTCACACCTCCACTACAAATGTTATCACTCACACCTCCACTACAAATGTTATCATTCACACCTCCACTACAAATGTTATCACTCACACCTCCACTACAAATGTTATCACTCACACTTACAATACAAATGTTATCATTCACACCTCCACCACAAATGTTATCCCTCACACCTCCACTACAAATGTTATCACTCACACCTCCACTACAAATGTTATCACTCACACCTCCACTACAAATGTTATCACTCACACTTACAATACAAATGTTATCATTCACACCTCCACCACAAATGTTATCACTCACACCTTCACTACAAATGTTTTAAAGGGAATGATACCTTTTCTATAGCATTAAATGAATCCTGTATTCTTGGAAGGGATTGAAAAACAGCAAAAGCTTTCCTCCCAGGATCATTTAATGCCATTACATTTGTAAAAATTTCATTTTCCTTTAGGTCTAAACCTGAAAAAAATAGGGCCTAGTTATTTATATGTTCAGAAGAAACTAACAATAGAGTTATTTAGGTAAGAATCATCGTAAAGTCACTTAAAATAGTGGTTTCTATTTTTTTTACTGTGCCTCTCATTAAAATCCTAAAGGTCTTAGTGCCTTCACATACCCCAAACTTGTGTAACATTGTTATATGTTGTCTCCCTTAATTAAATTTAATCTAAAAACTGGAAGTTATTTTAAAACATCGAATATAAAAGGGATGTGAGAATGTGCAGCGCTGGCCAAACTCCAGTGTTTGTTTAATCAGGTTTGATCAGACTAGATTTGTGTAGGATCATTTATTAAATTTAGATACTACTGTATTTTACTGTTTGTTTATCATTGTTATATGATATAACAGGATATATGCTAGTTAGAACAGAATCTATGATTCTAAGTTACTTCGTGTAGTGCAGATAGTGTATTGTATTCTACAATAATATAGTGGATACATCGCAAACATTTTAAATTAAGTATCCTGAGACAATTATTACCATTATGGTAAGAAATTAATTACATGATTGTTAAATTTTTTGCACCTCCTTCAACAATTGCCTGAGCTTCTAGTTTGAAATTAGTTTTTCTATAACAAAACAAGTTTTCTAATAATATTTTTAAAATTAGCAGTTCATTAAAATTGGCTATCAATGTAGTTTTAATATTTAAAAAAAAATAAAACCAAGTCTGAACTCACCTGCTGTGAACATCCTTCCAGCACCAGATAAAACGACAACTCGGCAATCCTTGTCTACAGCCAGTTGGTTAAAACACTCAGTGATTTCTCTGTGTGGAAATAAAGAAGGTTAATTATTAATTTGATAGATAAATAGACATTTCTTCTCTCAAAAACAAACTTAGTTTGTAAAATGCAGTTTCTGTTAATCTACAATAAATAAACACATAAGTTAGGGTTGACATAGAAATTAAAAAAAACAAGAATAGCTGTGCACCATTTATAAACCCACAATGTTTTTCTTTAATTGTTCACACCCAACTAAATATAATAGCACCCTAATATTTTAATTAATCTTACTTCCAAAAAGCTGTGTTCATAGCATTTAATTTTTCTGGACGATTTAGTTCCACATGTTTAATAAAATCTCCTGGACTGGTGATCTTTAGTGTTTCAAATTTATAATCCATTATTTCACTCACTGTTCTAGAAGGCAGCAACTTTCATAAACAACAATCTTTTTTAAAATACTATGATTACTGAAGACTGAAAAGACTGTATAAACAGAAAATAAAAGGTATGTTTAAGAATAAGATGTATGTTTGATGACTTATTTAGTTTTAGATTTACATTAAAGATTTGTAAGCAAAAGATTGTGCAAGAATAATAAATATCAGGAATACTGAATAATAAATTATTTTACTATGTTAAGCCAGTGCATTTATATTTAACAAAATGCATTTTAGGATATTTTAAAACTTTAATTGTTTTGAATGGGTTTTTTTGATGTTTGGGGGGGGGGGGGGGGGGGGGGATATCAACAGGTATAACACAATATTCAATATTATTCTATAAGTACTTAAAGTACACTTAGTACGACTTAGGCCTAATGTCAATGATAATACTACTACTAATACTAACTAATAATAGACATTTAATATAAAAGAAAAATAGGCCTAAATAAATGACGTCACACTCTTAGGGGGGAGAGGGGGTCGGTAATGACGTGTGATGAGGGGGAGGGGTGGGGTTCAGATGGTGTGACGCCACACTTTTGCTTTGTGGATAAGAAATGTTAGAAAACGAATTTTAGACGTTATTTAATATTTAGCGTTTTAGAAAACAGTTTTAATAAATTATAATAGGAATTGATTAAAATACTCTATTTTGACATATTTCAGACAAGATTTTTGAAAAATATCGATGTTTAAAAAAAAATTCAACTGCAATTTAGAGGGGGGTTGTAGGCTGAGGTGTGACGTCATTTTAGGGGGGGGAGGCTGGCTTTTTGTGACGACGTTCGGACGTGTGACGGAGTGTCACATTAGTAGAAATCTAAATGATTAGTTACTACTAGATCTACTAAGTTACTACTATGACTAGTTAGTTACCTCCACCACTACCAGTCACCACCTAGATCTAGTACTTGGTCCTACTAGAATTTACTAGATTCTAGCTTCGTTAGAATTTACTACGCTAAACTAAGAAAGAAGTTAAGTTAGTCTAACTTAAAGTAAAACTCCATTTTAGCGTATTTTTTTCCCCGCTTCACGTTCACCTCCAGTTGAGCGTATTTTATTATAAACACAACCGAAACACACAAAAACGTTAGGAAAACACTAGATCTACTTTTTTTTATGAATGGGGTTTTTAAATAGAAAAGGTAAAAAAAAAAAGCATTAGAACTGTTCCAATTAAATATCATGTGATCATCAGCGGGAGAAAAAACCTTACATGGTCGCGGGTTCACAGTGAGTTCACATAGACTTTAATTATCAGCATAGGTAATAGCTCGGGCAATAGCTGTTTGAAATTGTGTTGGCCTCAGTCTTGGGGTCATTGTAAGTTCATAAATGTTTATTTATAGTATCATGCCTGGGAGATACTTGTAAAAATACAAACTTAACCATCTTGCAATTGTGAGTTACGTTTACGTACTTCACCCATTGCCATGAAAATTCTGTCACACGAACATAGTACATTCAAAAATCAAAAGTCATATCATTCAATAATCTAAATTTGGTTTGGAATTTTCTCAAGTTTTGACAAAAGTAAATTATCAAAATTAAAACAAAGTCAATCTCTTTGTTTTTTTATTCATTTGTTAAAACAAAAATACAATACAAATAAATAAATCGTGTTTTTCTAATGTTATTATTTTTTTGTTATGGTGTGTTTTGCCATTTGGTTATTATTATAATTATAATAAAATACGCTCAACTGGAGGTAAACAAGCAGCGGAGAATAAAAGGTTTTACCGACTCTAGATCTAGATTCTAGATCTAGATTTCTAAATGCATTAAAAAAACAACCCAAAAACATTACAATTCAATACATCATGCATTACTTAATACTTCCTTACTAGACTACTTACTAGATCTAAGTAGATCTAAGTACTTACATTACTTAGTATTACTTAGGCCTACAACTTAAATAAACAAGTCTGAAGTCCATACTAAAAATCGGAATTTAAGACTGCTGAATACTAGATTCTACTATACTACCTAGATCTAGATCTAGTAGACTTCTAGATTTCATAAATTCATAGGCTTACAAACAAGTAACACTAACTCAAAGTGAAAGGAAGCTTGATATTTTAATAAAATAGATTGATCTGGATAGAATCTAAGTTTTTGGTAAAAATATGTAGATCTATTAGTAATCCCAATTTAAAGGATCGTGCATCTGTGTTGGATATTTATTAATTTATTGTTTTGGACATGTAGCAGACTATAAATTTTTAAAACCAAGGGAAGCTATTTAAGAAAAAACTGATATTTTCAAGTTCCAGTGTTTCAAAGTTCATTTGGTAAAAATCTCTTCCCAAGTGTGGTCAATGCAAGAGGGTTAATAAAAACAGGAGATCAGAATGTTAGGCAGGCTAAGAATAAAAATGGTGTTACCTTTAATTTCTACAGTTAGGCCATGGCATTTAAATCTAAGTAGTAGGCCTACAGTTTATTTTAAATTACTTAACCCCACATACTACTACATACTTAAAATCATACTAAGATTTATTGGTAATCTTCTATCGTTTTAGGTACGTAAAATCGCCAATGAAAAACAGGTGACTCCTTTAATTTTAATAATTATTTAACATTTTTAGGAGGATTTATGTTTTGAAAAATACAAAAATGTTTCCTTGTTTCATTTATTGACATTTATGTACCTGTTTTTAAACAATTGACTTAAAAATTTTCAGTAATAAATGAAGACTAGCGATGTTTCCAACAGATGCAACCATGCTCATTTACTATAGCAGTGATCTTGTTTATTTTTTTTTAATTGTAAACTTATAGCGCAAGATTCAGGGGAAGCCACTCTAACTTACAGATAGAAAATCCTGCTCGCAAACACTGCTGTTTAAAGTTAATTTCTTGCCTATATTGATATATTTAGCCATTGATTTAGGTTTATTATTCATTTATCTATAATATTTGACACAAATATATCACAATATTCTTCTATTAAAGCCTTGACAATGAGGTAACTTTTTTGGACATTAATAGCCGCTGGCGATTTTATGTACCTAAAAACGATAGATTACCGATTTATTTATAGTATTTAATTTATAGTAGATTTATTTAATTTTTAATTTAGTATTTTTTTATTATGCCTACTATCTACTACTATGCTATACTATATAGTATATATTATTATTTAAAAAATTTAATTTTTTTGTTAGTCAATAGTAAAATAATATTACCATAGATTAGATGGATTGAAAATATTTTTACATCCCTAATACTTTTAAATAAAGCTGTTTCAGTTTTTCATCTTGATTATAATTTTTAAATCTATTAAAATCTAAAATGCTTTAAGGTTCAAAGAACATGCTCAAAAAGGGTTTATTGTCTGCTAGAGCAATGAGTGGAATGGTAGACTACAAATTTGAAACACTTAAAGTCACCAGTCCAGGAGAGTTTATCAAACAGGTGGAACTTAATCGTCCAGAAAAGAGAAATGCGATGAATACAGCTTTTTGGAAGTAAGTTAACATTAGAAAAGCCTGTTTGACGTTTGTTAATTTTTTTTTAATTGAAAAATTCTAGTATCAAATTTAAAACATTTATAAACTAAACTTTAATAGTTTGTATCCTTATTAACCACTTTATATGAGCATAATTATTTTGAAATTTTATGTTTAGACTATTAGATAATTTTCTTGCCACAGAGAAATAATTACATGTTTTAACCAACTGGCTGTTGACCAGGATTGTCGTGTGGTTATTTTATCTGGCTCTGGGAAGATGTACACTGCTGGTAAGGATTTGTTGTGCATATGTTGGTGTTAAAACGTATTGTAAATTGTAGGCATAGTTATATTTAAAGTGAATTTAAACTTAGTCACTTTTCAATCATTAATTCATGCTGCTGACTTTATTGCTAATGCTCTCCAAGGTTTGGATTTGATGGACAATGAGGTATTTACAAAACTGATGGCACACTCAGGAGATGTTGGAAGAAAAGCATTTTTAATATCTGAGTCACTACAAAGTTTACAAGATTCATTTAATGTCATTGAAAGGGTATCACCTATTGTTTTTAATTAATTTTTTTAGAATTATCATTATTTTAGGGGTGATTTAAATGGGGGGAGTCTAAGGGGGAAGGGTTCTGCAAATATTAAGTACCACAACCTTGAATGTTATACTGTTTTGTTATACAGTGCCCCAAACCAGTGATTGCTGCCGTGCACAATGCATGTATTGGTGGAGGTGTGGACATGATATCTGCCTGTGACATACGTTACTGTACACAGGATGCATGGTTTCAGATTAAGGTGAAATTTTTCAGTTTATTTGTAAACATTTGCTTATCTCTTTAATGCCTGATATACTTTTCTCTAAATGCTGTTAGTATATTAGAGTTGTTTTTACTGAAAGCACACACATTGAAATGCCATTATTTTTTTTATAAAATATGCTTAAATGTCTTTTTTAGATGTATTTGTATTTTATGTTCTCTAGGAAATAGACCTAGGTCTGGCAGCAGATCTTGGAACTCTGCAGAGGTTTCCAAAAATCATTGGGAATGACAGCCTTTTCAGAGAGCTGACTTACACTGCAAGAAAATTTGTAGCTGATGAAGCCAAATCAATGGGTTTTGTCAGGTAGGAACCACCTAGCTGTAAACCTTTTGTAGCATGAATCTTACATTTCTTAATACCATCACTGGGAGTTTAAGGATTTCTCTGTTACTTTTTAAGTAATAAATCTTTAACATAAAATCAAAGTTCACTTAATATGTAGTTTATTTGCCTATAAATGTATATATTTCCAAAATATATTTACAGTCGTATCCTGCCAGATAAAGACGCATTAGAACAAGCAGCTGTTGAACTTGCTAAAGTAATTGCATCTAAAAGTCCTATCGGTGTCCAAGGGTCAAAGGTCAATATTGTATATTCAAGAGATCATGGAGTGGAACAAGGACTGAATTACATGGTCAGCTGATTCTAACTTTAAATTCTAAATTTAGTTTCCAACCAAACAATCTGATCTTTTATTTTTGTATTTACTATATGTATGTATTAGAATGCTTACATTTTTATTTTAAGATAGGATTCAAAAAATTTTATTGAAATTTTTTGTCTGTACAGAAAGCTTGGAATGCCGCCATGCTTCAATCAGAAGACCTGACCAAAGCGCTGACTGCTGCTGTACAGAAAGCAGAACCTGTCTTTTCAAAACTTTAACTGTGATGGTTGCCTTGTCATTTTCTTTTTGTTACTGTTATTTTATACCATGGTATTTCTAAGATGCCAGTGTAAATATTTACATACAAAGTTCCAAAGCCGATCACACATAGCAGAAAATTAAAAACTCCAGATTTTCATCGGGCGCTACGACCGTTTCACACAGAAACAAACCGAAAGTACTATTTTACTCGTTGCCATTCTACTCTAATATGTATGAGTCATTTTGTATTCCTACGCATAAAATTTGAAATATTCATGTTTTAGTGACGACCTTCCTTGTGATATTTTTTTGCCTGTGACTGCAGCACCTGCTAGTGTAATGACCATATTTTATGTTTTGATCCAATTTTAATAATTAAAATAAATATTTTACACTTTTAATGTATTTTTGATTGTATAATTAATTAATAGATTGCTAAACCAAATAAAAAAGACTCTAATTAAATTTATTAAATAACCAACACGTATGACCCAGTGAACGCTCAAGGGGTGCAACCATAATAAAATTAATGTACATAAAAGGAACGTAACAATCACTAACAAATCATAAGGTAACATTTGCTTAGACATGTTTGTATGTAGAGAAACAAACTAGAACTAGAAGAAGTAGATGATCGAAATAATTTAAAACAACCAAAAAATTAAGATAGTATATAGAAATATATCTAGGCTAGTCTAGCTCAAGTCTTTGGTGACGCAGCGAGAGTAAAACACCCTATCTTACCACAGCTGCGGCCACCCCAATTTCTCCTCTCAGATTGCTTTAAGAGCCCTAACTATAACATTTACAGGGTCTCGCACATGTTTTGTAGAAGCTATTTATAATTAACCTAGTTATAAAAAGCTTTGATTGGTTGGTTTTATTCGTCTCATCCCGGACCTAATGTTTTTCATCAGGAGGAACTGGGATCAAGAATTTCACCTAGATATATTTAGAAATGGACATGCGTACAGTAGATATCAGTAGTTTTGAATTTAACATAGAAACAATTATTATACGAACCAATAAACAGCCGATGGCCACTGCGTGGTTTTAACCATGTGAGGAACTTTATATGATTCATTTGTACTAGCTACAAATTATAAATCATGGACCCATAATATAATAACACTTTTTTCATGACCACAACACTTAAAGTGATCACACCCAAAACTCCTGGTGTTCACCTGAACCAACACAAAAGCTCACTTAAAATTACCACAGTCGCACAATTTTAACTCAGCACGAATATACATATATAATAAAAATAATTCCATTATTGTTCAGCATCATCCATGTTTTTAATATTTTTAGAATGTTCATTGTCAGATGTAATATGTGAGTGTTGAAAACAGAAATAGCTTGAGCCTAGAACTGGGAGTTGTAAAGTTTCCAAGCATCCTTACGTCCCATCACCATACAGTGGTCGTGATAGGCCTGGATCGGAGGTACATAGCGATAGAGTCGGTCCCCTCTGTCTCGATAGGGTACACAAAAGTAATTCATATTGATTGGCAGAGGTGGTAGGGAGATACCCTTTTGGTGGATGACATCAGGGGTGTATCTCTTGTGTATACTGCATGGCACGTTTCTGTTTGTAAATTCAGCATTTGAATTAGATCACCTTTTATTCATTTTAAAAATAAAAGGAGTTAAGAAAAGAAAATAGAAAGATATTTTTTTGTACCAAAAAGCAGACTAAACAGGCAAATTTTTACCACTATTGGACAAGAATTCATTAGAGTAACATGAAAAGAAGAATTGTAAATGTTAATTTTCTAGTTGTATCAGGATAGCAGGGATAGGGTTGTTTAAAACATGTGAGTAGATGTTAATGTTTGACTAACAGCCTGGAGATCATGTTTACCTGGAGTGTAGTTAATGGAGGGGGGTGGGGGGGGATTTTTCTTTCCACATATTATTTGACATATATATGTGACTTGACTGACTTAGTCCTCTTTGCTCCTTATGGAGCATAGGGCCTCCACCATTTCCTTCCATTTCTTCCTATCCTCGGCTATTAATTTTGACATCTCCCAAGACATCCCTGTTGGCTTCAGTTCTTCAAGAAGACTCCGCCTCCAGGTCTGTCTTGGGCGCCCTCTCTTCCGCTTTCCCTGGGGGTTCCACTCAAGCGCTTGGCGTGTAACATTTGTGTGAGCCTTACGCAGTGTGTGACCCACCCAGCGCCACTATATTGTAGGCCTATATATATATGGAAGGCCAAACATAAACTATAAACTGTCACCAGACTGTCACACTAGAAACTCCAAGGACAGTTGACACCAACAACACATAGCAATACTGAACTGAGGCTGACACCCCACAAAAATGTTAACTTTGAATCACAGAAAAGACCAAAGCAGAAGCATGATATTAAAGTTGTTACAAGAAATTAGTTAACTACAAAAAGCTGAGTCAAAAGAAATAAGAATAGAATAAGTCAAAAGAGATGAACAAGAAAATCCAATTACCCTTTGTTGTATGATCTGTTTGGTGGCTCATTGGGACTCTCCTCATTGTAAGCCATGGTGGTAGCTGCTTGTTTGATCAAATGGTCTACCTTGATGGCATCCTCCATACGACTTATACCAAGCCTGTCATGTGATATAAATATATGCATTGTTCAAGATCTGTCGTGTGATATAAATATACGCATTGTTTAAGTTCTGTCATGTGATATTGGCATTAAGTTCTGTTGTGTGATATAAACATTGTTTCAGTTCTGTCATGTGATATTGGCATTAAGTTCTGTTGTGTGATATAAACATTGTTTCAGTTCTGTCATGTGATATTGGCATTAAGTTCTGTTGTGTGATATAAACATTGTTTCAGTTCTGTCATGTGATATAAACATTGTTTCAGTTCTGTCATGTGATATTGGCATTAAGTTCTGTTGTGTGATATAAACATTGTTTCAGTTCTGTCATGTGATATTGGCATTAAGTTCTGTTGTGTGATATAAACATTGTTTCAGTTCTGTCATGTGATATAAACATTGTTTCAGTTCTGTCATGTGATATAAACATTGTTTAAGTCTTCTGGACTGGCCATGTCAGAGTGACATGAATCCCTCCAGCTCATATTAAAGGACCTTGCAGATATTTACTTCATTTCCACTAATAAGAGGGGCAGTTGTTTATTAATTTGTTTCACTGTACTGGGTTAGGCAGAGATGTAGCCAGGAATTAGTCTGTTAGGCGGGTGGGGGGATTTCATATATATATATATATATATATATATATATATATATATATATATATATATATATATATATATATATATATATATATATATATATGATAATGTTTTGATAGTGTTGCTTTAAGTCCACTATTTCAAAATATTGAATATTGTAGAAGTAACAATTTTATGCTAAAATTTTTGGAATTTACAGCCTATGTGGCATATATAAATAAATATTATATATATACACACACACACACACATATATATATATATATATATATATATATATATATATATATATATATATATATATATATATATATATATATATATATATGATAATGTTTTGATAGTGTTGCTTTAAGTCCACTATTTCAAAATATTGAATATTGTAGAAGTAACAATTTTATGCTAAAATTTTTGGAATTTACAGCCTATGTGGCATATATAAATAAATATTATATATACACACACACACACACACACACATATATATATATATATATATATATATATATATATATATATATATATATATATATTATCAATAGCTGAAGTAATAACAAGAGACACCTTGGTGTTCCATTGGGGATGTTCTAATGCCCCTTCCTCTTATAGCACACTGCCATGTCAGTCGACCTCTGACCACGATATGTAACCTAGAGGCATAGCGACCCTTCCCGGCTCACAGGGACAAACTTTTCGATTTGCATTCCCCTCAAGATTTCCATTTGCACCCCCCCCCCTCAAGATTTCCATTTGCACTCCCCTCTACCTTTCAATTTATTTTTCCAACCCATTTTGCCGCCCCCTAAGGTCGGCGACCGGGGACATATGTCCCCCCCCCTCACTACGCTACTGATGTAACCTCGAGCATGGTGCCTCATTCAAGTCATGAGAAAGAGAACTGTCCATGGGGAAGGTTTCTAGCCCACAAACAAAAAACAACCCCTGCCTATTGATTATATATATATATTATATACTATAGTCCTATTTATTTAGGAATATATATTACATATATTATATAGGCTATATATATATTATATAGGCTATATATATATATATATATATATATATATATATATATATACAGTGGCGTAGCGAGGTCGGGTGGCACCCGGTGCGGCACTGAATGGTGTCACCCCCCCCCCCCCCCCAGAGGCATTGCGACCCTTCCCGGGGACAAACTTTCAAGTTTTCGATTTGTTTGCACCCCCCCCTTCAAACTTTCGATTTGCACCCCCCCCCTCAAACTTTCGATTTGCACCCCCCCCCCCCCCTCAAACTTTCGATTTGCACCCCCCCTCAAGTTTTTCTCTAGCTATTTTGCTATTTTTTGCCTTGGTGTCACCCCCCTAAATGGTGTCACCCGGTGCGGTCCGCACCCCCCGCCCCCCCTCGCTACGCCCCTGTATATATATATATATATATATATATATATACATATATATATTACATATATTATATAGGCTATATATATATTATATAGGGTATATATATATATATATATATATATATATATATATATATATCAGTGGCGTAGCGAGGTCGGGTGTCACCCGGTGCGGCACTTAATGGTGTCACCCCCCCCCCCCAGAGGCATAGAGACCCTTCCCAGGGACAAACTTTCAAATTTTCGATTTGCACCCCCCCCTCAAACTTTCGATTTGCACCCCCCCTCAAACTTTCGATTTGCACCCCCCACCCCCCCTCGAGTTTTCGATTTGCACCCCCCCTCGAGTTTTTCTCTATATATTTTGCTATTTTTTGCCTTGGTGTCACCCTCCTAAATGGTGTCACCCGGTGCGGTCCGCACCCCCCGCCCCCCCCTCGCTACGCCCCTGATATATATATATATATATATATATATATACATACATGCATATAGACTATTGACGCCCTTATAGATAAATGCCTCTAGACTATATATCTAAACAAATAAATTTTCCAGGACTAATCTATAGGCCTAAAATATATTTTTTTAAACAAAAATTAAAAATAAAGCTTTAATTCTTTTTTGCATGAAAAAAATATAGCACTTTAGTTTTATTACTTTATTTGCATACACGATCTAGATCTATAATAAATTAATACAATAATATAATATTAATAATAAAATAATTTAATAGATTAAAGTCAAAGTACAAGTAGACATTAATTATCTGCTACTGCACACAGACCTTTGAAGATCAAAGGCGTTTGTAGTTAAAAGATCGTGGCCATTAATGGCGTTTCTACTGAAACATTTAGCATATTTGGCATAACCAATATCATTAATAAATCTCTCAACATCCCAACTGGTCCACATTGTAACGATCGGCCATAACCTCGAGTTAGTTTCGGTATGTTCAGCTTTTGTATACGGGGATCTCGTATTCATGTTGTTGTTGTTTTTAATGATATTTGAGGAAAAAACGGAATGTAAAAAAAAAAAATTAAAAAATTGAGATTCTACTTTTGATGGCTGAGCGCACAATAACACGCCATGCATTCTTCGTTTAGTTAGTGCAAAACGGTGCGCAACTTTTCATGATGAGCTTTCGTTTTAATCCATTTTAATTGCTGTATATATTAACTTGACTATCAGTCACGAATATTGTCATTTAGTCCACAGGGATGTCATGGAAGATTTATAAGTATAACCTCCCCCCCTCCCCCATTCAAATTTTTGAATGTCATAAACCAAAAATTGCTCATTCGAATTCATTTCGGAATCGGTAGGGAAAGTGGGTAATTTACACCCCATACGAAAAAAAAAAGTTTTAAAAAGAGGGGATTCAAAAATGACTCACGCATTTTGGACGATTTTTTACCCCCTTCCCCCCCCCCCCCCCCCAATTCCTTCGACACAAAAAGTCAGCCCCCCTTAGAATGACGTCACACCTCAACTTTGCATTTTCTATTTTTAAAAACATTCCTTTTTTTAAATATTTACTGGGCTCGGTCAAAATTTGAGTGGAACTAAAATAATCAATTTCTATTACAATTTTCAAAAACAGTTATCTGAAAACGCGAAAAAACTGCTAAAATTCTGTTGAAGCAGTACGTTTTAAATGTAAAAGTGTGTCGTCACACTTTCTGACCCCCCCCCCCCCCTCCATCCAGCTCAGATTTCGGGAAATTTTTTTTTACTAGGAAACATTCTATTACAACAATGCTGGAATTTTAAAGTGTAATCATCAACATAAAAGAGCAAAGCACTTAGGACAAAAACTTGATAAAACTGTACTAATTTCCCGCACAGAGGTCCAAAATAGTAACAATAGTGAGGCTTTTAAGTGTACTTTCGTTTAGCACGAATGTGTTGATCTGCACACATTAATTTGTCTTTGTACAACCTTGCTGGTTGAAGTATGTTCAGTGTTTCTTCCAGGCATCTCTTTGGTCTGGTGAATCTTTTATGGGATTTATGGCTGCTTATCATATAAGACACATAGTGTTATATATATATATATATATATATATATATATATATATATATATATATATATATATATATATACATATAAATATATATAACACTGCCAATGATTTTCGTAATTGTACACACATGACACAATTTGGAAGTATTACATGTGAATCTATTTTACTCAATGTAGGCTTTAGAACAGTTAACAGTATAGAAACTATTAGGGATTTTATCTCAAATTTTGTAATCCTCATATGTTATTTTTAAATTCTCAACATTTTCAGAGTATTCAAGAACTGTTGATTCTGGTGGTTCCTTGAAAGGAATAAAACGAGTGTTGGTTGTTTATGGAATTAATATAGGGCCCATAACATTATACAGAGTAGGTCAGGGGTCGGCAACCTTTTGAAGCGGAAGAGCCAAAAGTTACAATTTTCAAAATTTCCCTTGTTTTAAAGAGCCACTAACATTTTTTTAAAGATTATTAGTATTTGTTCAAGGAGCTGGAGAGCCGCATCTAGATATCAAAAGAGCCGCATGCGGCTCGCGAGCCGCATGTTGCCGATCCTGGAGTAGGTGATAAAATTATACTGTTTTAGTACCAAATATTAAGTGCAAATTTTCTAAAATTTCCATTGTATGTGCTACAGAAATCAATTTATACACTAGGTATCATCTTTTCCCGTTTGTGCCCAAGACACATGGGGCCAATTAAGTAGAGTTCATCTGTTTCATTGACCTCGGCAAACAAGGGCATGCATTTAACAACATAAATAGTTTTACAACAGTAATTAAAAACTCAAAACATGGAAGTTAAAAGGTTTAAATAAAGCAATTTATTTACATTACATGCACAAATAATTCTACAAACTACTTCGGGTACATTTGTAAGACCAATGGATTGAAGGTCATCATGTATCTCTCCCAGACTTTCACCAGCTTGGGAGAAGATCTGCGGACAAAAACAGAAATAAGCTAGATCTGTCACTTTCTGTACATTAGGACAAAAAGAAGAAAAAAGTCCAAAAATATTTTCATAAGTCAATGCAATTTTAGTATACTTTTAAGGTCCTGTAAGTAAAATGATGAAGGAAAAAACTCTTTACAGCTTTCAATGTAGTGAGTGTGAAAATAAAACAAAAGAATCAATGATGGATTAAATTTTAAAATTATAATGTGACAGGTTAAATCAAAGATAGTCCATAAAACATGTCGGTTCAAAGATAATACTCTGGCATTGCCATTTGCAAAAAAAAAAAAAAAAAATTACCGAAAAATATCAAGTTGTAAAGCCGTTTCTTTGAAAGCATTGAGAAAATACATGGCATCTTGCTTGGTCCATGATAGTTGTTGCCAAGGCTCAATTAACTGTGGAGGTAATAAGTAAAAAAGTTTCACAAGTATTTAAAACTGGTGTATATACAGTGAGACCACAATTGCTATGAGATTATATTATTCCATGACCTGCCACAAAAAGCAAGCAATTTATAATAATTCTAACAAGTTTTATTTTACATCTGAACAAATATGGCATTGAAAGAACTAATACATTTTTGAGTAGGCCTATGTAAGTTTGACCTAGTAGTCACTTTAACTTTTTAACTCTATTTTAAAATGTTTTATTAGATAACTGCTGTTTAAAGAGTAAAATGTCACTGTCCCTAACTAATATTATTACTATAATTATCCCACAATGGAAAAAAGGACATATTTTATCCAATAATGAGTTATATATTGCAAATTTTAAAACATTATCATACCTTTTCAAGCACATCAATGAAAATATCTCTTGATTCCTTGCTATGATTTAAACCACTTGCAATATTTATAATGGTCTTTGATACAGACTAGAAGCAATAAAAATGTTTACATAATTATAAAAAACTAACGTGATACACATCTAGCTTTCAAGAGTGAATATTACAAAGAAATCTCTGTAATCTAAATGAATTTATTTATTCTACTGAGCATTCTATATTAATTAGCTTAGTAAATTGTGACAATGAGTACATAGAAGCAGGTTGGAAGTATAATTTAAATATATTTAAAAAACATTTTGAGTTCAATTTTTTTTTTAAATCTCTGTACTGCAATGAAAACAATCTAATAGTATAATGAACTTAAACAAGTGCAGCATATTATTTAAAAGTGTGAAGTACAACTGTGTTGAATATTTTTTCCCAGGCGAGATAGAGCAAATTAAAATTTTATTCTAAAATGTATTTATTTTCAAATATAATAAAACAACAATGTTCAGAAATAACAACATATGGAGAAAAAAATTTAACAAAAGATATTTCAATGATATGAAAAGTAAAATTCCAATTTTAAGTAATTAGCCTAAATTAGGCAAAAAATTAATCTTACTCTAAAATTAGCATCCATTTCAGTAAGAACCTTTTCTCTCATAACAGGCTGTAGTGTACGAATCATTAAACTGTAAAATATTTATTATATTTTTAATCCTCTCATTTATGTAGAGACCATTTAGTGAACAAGTTCATATAAAAAATGCATGATATACAGTTTGTTAAAAAACTGTTTTGTTTATTAAATGATGTATTACATATAACAATGGTGCAAGACTAGGAAAGATATACACCAGGAAGAACATGTTTTGAAAAGAGATAATATTTTAGTTTAGTGTATTGTTCAAGCTTCCATCATTTATAGAGTCCATACAAGGAGGGAGGGGGGTCTTGCCCATGTGGACATTAACATGTTGAATTTATCATCAATATAAGAACATCCTGATTAATTAATGATCTATAGAACTTATGATTACCTGGATTAAAAAGTAGAAAACAATATTTTATTATAGACAGAGGTCTACTATCAGCTCTATTCAATTTGCTAAATGGACCTAAAAGAAGACCATTGATTTATTTCAAATGCAACAAATAATGCAAAACTTGAACTTAGTCATTTTTCTAATCAACACATGATACTTTTACAGTTATTTAATTTTCAAACGGTTGTAGTAATAAATCCTCCTAAATTGTTGTGAATCTAATATAGATTGAATGAATTCTCAAACCTTCTGTGCTCTTCTGCATACTCTCTTTCCATGAGAACCTTAAACTCTCTAAGATCCAGCAGGAAGTCTCTATCCATGTCCACATCCATATCCTCATGGTTCTGACATTCTTGAACAGAAATACACTGTGCCTATTAGTGTTTGTTTTTCATAATCAAATATTTGCAGTCAAATCTACACTAAACAAAGATTAGAATCTGTTAAAAGCAAAACTAAAAAATAACATCTTGCCTACCTACCTTCTGAACTGTAAGACCAGTTAGAGATCATGTAATTGGCACAGACAGCAAAATCTTCAAAACTAAGGTAGCTTAACTTTTTTTTGCCAGTTTCAAATCTGTTGTTTGTGATAAATACTATAGCAGCATATGCTCTGGAAATAAGTGGGGGATAAGTTACAAATAACAATTTTCTTGTACAATTTTTATCATCTAAAGTTTAAAAAAATGCTATACAGTTCATTAAAAATTATTAAAAACAAAATTAAGCCTACTTGGCCAATTCTTCAGACAGACAAAAATGTGTTTGAATGTTATCTACCAAACGGCCACTCAATTCTTCAACTGTTTTGAAAACTCGCTTGGCATTGTCAAACTAAAATAACATTTTATTATTTTTAAAATACATATTATAACAATAATAATTCTTTAATAATAGAACATAACAGAAAACATGTTTAATACTTTACACTTAACTAATGATAGAAAATATGTTTAATAAAAATATAACATTAACAGTGGTTTAAAGAATTAAAAAGCAAGATAATGTAGAGTTTAAAAATCAGACTTATGAAAAAAAATATTTTTATAACAAAGTGTTTTATTTTAAAAAATGGCATACAACCTGTCTTCTACAACTGCGCACAGGAATGTCAGTTTCTTCACTTAAGTCATCCAGATCTTTCCTACTGCGAGAATTTAATTTACGTCCAAATATCTCTCGAATCAATGGAGCATCAAAACTGTAGTATCTGCAAAGTATTACAAATGACTTGTAAAAAGACAACTATTTATTAATAAGCTCATATTTGCTTATATTTATTTTAAGAATTTTCATTTATGAAACCAAGTTGTTTCACCAAATGACTATACTTTAAACAGTACAAGTAACATCAGAGTTGAACTACATATTATACAAGCCATAAATCCACACACCTAGGTTGGAGGGGGGGAGGGGGTGGGGGCAGACTGGTGATGATGTGTGATGAGGTTCAAAAAGCAAGATGACATACTTATGTATTTTAAAAATAGTGATAGAAACTGAATTTTGATGTTATTTCACACTTTTAAAGGTTATTTCACATTTTAGAATTATTATTTTAAAAATTTCTATAAAAATTGATCTAATTTATCAATACTGATTCAATACTATCCTAGTTATTATTTAAAGTATATATCTCTCTGTAAAAAAAATTGCAGGGTGTGTGGTAAGCTGAGATTTTGTGAAGATGGGGGAGGTAAAAACCATTTTTGAAAAATCATGATTTATGGATGACCCCTATCAACTATATCTGAAAGGTTCATCCTGGTCACAATGTGTAGTATCAATTAATCTTTTTGAAATACACAAATGTGGCCAAATTTTTACATTACCCTCCGTATCTATAGGGAACTCTGACAGGAAAGGAATGTATCTTATTGGAAAGAAATTTTAAGTATTTAAATAAAAGGGCATTTTAAAAATTTGATTTTAAAAGAATAAAGACTTTGTTGGATATCGTATAGCATAGCTTACTTTTGAATCAACATGTGTATGGTATCAGGATCAAACTGATAAACCAGTTGGTGACTTAATCTTGGTGGTGTTTTCAACATTTCTTCCAGGCCAGTAAATATGCGATAATAGTCGACAATATCACTTAAGAGATCTTCAAAGTTCGCACCATACACTTTGAGAGCTACTTTATTTTGTTGAATTCTCGCAGCTTCCGGAGCTATAGGAAATTTTTTTAAAAAAGTAATTAATTTGTTAATCAGTACTTATGTATTGCAACAACTTCATTAATCCAACAACAGCTATGACAACTAAAAGCAAATGATTTGCACTTTAAAAAAAGTAAAAAAGTAAGCAATACATCTATAATGTTGTGCTATAATGAGGATGAGTTAGAAAATATGGGGATGAATATACTATGACTTTCTTAAGATATTTTTTTAAAATGTCAACTTTCTTTGGAGGGGGAGGGGGGTGGGGGGAAACGGCGACAAGTAAACTTTGTGACATCATTTTGGACAAGGATGTCTGACTTTTTAAAATGATAAATAGGCCTTATTAATTTAATGAAAATTTTACTAGGATAATAATAGCCTATATTTTAGTAGAATCTAAATATATTACAATTATTGTTTTAAGTTTATATTAAACTCAATGCAACAAGCCAGCCGTTTGGTTGAGGCCAGGTCGGGGGGACGTTCTGACCGGGATTCAAAGGGACGACTTATAAAATTTCATCCATTAATTTAATTATAAATAAAGAAAAGTTAGCTAATTAAAATAGGCCTTTTTTTTAAGTGACTACTCGAAAAAAGATTTTTCGCACCAGTGTCTCCATCTGGTCGGCAAAAGATTGTTCTGCGCATGCGCAGTGATCTTAATACTAAATAGTTAATAGCTGGGCTAGGGTTGGGTTAGGATTCTGCGGTTTGTTTGTAAACATGCGCAAGCGGTGTACCATAGAAAACATCGCAACGAAGGAAAGACATAGTTTCTCTCAATTGCGCATGCATATCTAATAGTAATACCGGCTAGAATCGGCCTTTTTTTACTATTTTTAATTTAAAATTAATTTTGTCTTATTTGTTTCCTGTCTTTTACCTGTGTATCCTTTCAGCCAAAGTTCATAAATTTCTGGTGATATTACACAGTTGTTACCAACAAAAACGTCGATCTCATTCATTTTTTGAATCTTGGGTGTTGATTGGTCTCAGGTCTGAAGAAAAAGATAGATATTATATTAGTATCTAATCTAGAGGTAATCTATCGTTTTGGGTACGTAAAATCGCCAGCGGCTATTAATGTACGAAAACGTTACCTCATTGTCAAGGCTTTAATATGAGTATATTGTCATATGTTTGTGTCAAATATTATAGATAAATGAATAATAAACCTAAATCGATGGCTAAATATATCGATATAGGCCAGAAATTAACTTTTAACAGCAGTGTCTGAGAGCAAGATTTGCTATATAAACAGCAGCCATTTGTAAAATAGAGTGGCTTCCCCTTGAATCTCCCGCTAAAAGCTTATAAAAATAAAACAAACGAGATGGCTGCTATAGTAAATGAGCATGGTTGCATCTGTTGGAAACATCGCTAGTCTTCATTCATTACGGAAAAGTTTTAATTCAATTGTTTAAAAACAGGTACATAAATAATAATAAATATGATAAATGAAACAAGGAAACATTTTTGTATTTTAAAAAACATAAATCCTCCTCAAAATGTGAAATAATTGTTAAAATTTAAGGAGTCACCTGGTTTTCACATTACAAGTCGCGGGTGATTTTACGTACCCAAAACGATAGATTACCAAATCTAGATAGATTCTAGTACTAGAAGTAGATTTAGATCTAGAATCTAGATCTAATTCTAGATCTAGAACTATAATATTCTAGATTCTACAATTCAAATGCAACTCATGATAAAGAGTAAAGAGTTAGTCTAGATCTAGATCTAAAACTTAATCATGATTTCTCAAATCTCTAGAATAGAGATCTAGAGTCTAGAGATCTAGATCTAGTAAGAATAGAGGTTTCCTTTGGGCTTTGTTGTGATCATTTATCAGTCATGAAAATAACGAATTTTGTTTGTTTTCATATTATAAGAGTTGTGTACCTTTTGTTTTTGTAAGTTATGTACCCTTTTCAGTTTATTGTGCTAAAATTAAATTTACAATACTGAAACAGTAGCCTACTGACTGAGTAAGTAGATCTTAAGTAGCTATTCTAGATCTATGATCTAGAATCCAGATCTAGATCAGAATATAGATTAAGATCTATAAAATCTAGATCTATATTTAATATTTGGCTGAGAGTGAGAACAGCAGCCGCCAGTGCGAGCAGCGAGTCTGACTGAACTTCACTGAACAGTCTGAGTCAGTCACACAGTCACTCACAGTGTATTAATAGTATTAAAATATTAAATTAAATTATTTATTTGACTAAACTAAATCTAGTTTTAGTAGTGTATTCCTAGTCGGACAGTCCTAGGAAAGTTCCATAGTTTTAAGGCTTAAGCCAAGGACTTGCCTTAGGTGTGCTTCAGCCGATTCGGAATTAACAATGTCACACTCTTATGCTGCGATGCATATATTATAATAATATAGAATCATCTATAGTGAATACTGAATAGTGAAAGTGAAAGGGGTTCGGACGTGTGTTTGGCAATGGGAGGAGGGGGGGGTGTCACACTGCTCTCATTCATCACTGCATCTTCAAAACTAAATTTTTGAAACTGAATTAATTTTCCTATTTTCAAGAAGTTTATGTTTTAGTTTTCTCTTTCTTCCTTTTATTGTATTATTTTGGGATTTTCTCCAACACGATTATTTGAATTCAGGACTTATGGAGTTAGTAATCATACATACTATGTGGGGACCATACAAGACACCACCAAATGAGGGCTTAGCTGTTTCTACCCTGCTCTCTAGGCTTATCTCTACCACCCACACCCCACCAGTCTGGTGAGCTGTGATTCACCCCAAATGTTTACAATGTGACGGCTATTAGGGGCAGATAATTTTGCTTTTCAAACAATTTTAAACCAAGTTCTCCTTGATCTTTTCATTGTCGTCTGTAAACTGTCGTCACAGACGGCCGCTTTCACAGAGGGAGGAGGGGGAAGAGAGGGTAGTGTTGAATTCACAAATTATGAATTACTGAAAAGTAACAAATAAAACAACTAAATAACGGTGTGTGCTAATGGCATATTGAATACTATTTTTTTGTTGGTATGAGTGGGGGGTTGTATACTGGGGCTGAAGTGTGATGTAATGGGGGTGGGCAGGGCTCTGATTTTGTTAAATTGTAGGGTGGGGTGAGGTAAAAATCATCAAAGGAAGCATGATGTTATTTATAATATGAAATTTACAAAATACTAATTAGTGTTATTTCTTATAGAATGAGTAAAATGCAACCGGAGCCTGTGTTAGAGGATGGTTACCTGAAACCTGTTGAATTAGTTGATGTGTTTGTAGCCAATGTAGTGGATAAAAAGAAAACATCACAAATTGTTAAGTAAGTATCTTAGTAGTACTTGACAATAAACATAACACAAGCATACATGGATCTATCTGTTAAACTAAAAAAGAGCCTACAGCACCACATTTCATAGTTTGCATCCAAATATAATAATAAAGCAAAGTAAAGCTCTTATCTTACCATATAGTCTTTTCAATCTTGTTGCAAAACTAACTTTAACAAAATCCTAGTCATTCATAACTTAAAGTTTTAGTAAGCTGAATATTACATATTGATTCAAGCACACAAATGTGACTTTATATATTCTGTTAAATTTGTATAATATAAAAATAATGGTTCTCTTTTTAAATTCAATTTTAATGTTTAGAGAACTGGCAATGATTGCACCTTTAACTGATCTACAGCATCTTAAAAGGGTTAGAATATCTACAGATAAAGGTAAAGTGTTGCAAGCTTAATACTGTTGTGTATTTCATGACACATTATTGTATTAATGTAAACACATGCAACTAACATATTATATTCATTTAACCATTCCAAATAAATTATGCTAGCAAGATACATCATGTTATTGCAACTTTTAAAATACATAATGACCTATTTTTTTATAAATAAATGATAAAGTAATATACTTGACCACTAATTGTTTCGACACATAAATATATTTCAGGAGGACCATTACAGATAGTGCTTTACAAAAAACCTCCAATAGAAATTCATAAAAATAATGTAGAAGCTTCTCCTTATGTAGACTTACACAAAGTCATTTCTTGTATTGATGGGATTGGAAATATATATCTAGTTAAAGTTCCATCATCTCCACCATTAACAAGACACCAATACAATGAAGCAATCAAGTACTGGCCCGTTAACTTTCATGAGGATAAACAGTTAGTAAAGTGTTTTTGTCTGATTCATTTACATCTTAACACTTATATGTATTCATTTATCTGCTTCACATATATTTTGAAGAAAAATGCATATGTTTAACTAATATAATTATAATTAATAAAATAATAATTAATAAAAATATAATTAATAAAATTAAACATCACTAAAATGCAAATCACATACTTGTTTTTCATTTTTATTAATACTCCTCTACTGTTTTACTGTTAAGTAAAAAAAAAATAGCGTAATTGTTTAAAAACGTTTCAGCTGCAAGTATCCTACTGCAAACTAAAAAATATTATTTCATTATTAAAATGATGTAGTTTTTAGTTGTTAGGATTATTGTTTCAAACATTTGACTGAAATAGATTCTATCTGGCAGTCTGTAGAGTAGATTAAATTATCTGATTTTATCCTTATGGCATTAGAAGTGAGATAATTAATCATGGCTAGGTGGACAAAATGTACTCTAAAGATAAGCCAGAGATTGTTGTGTACCTGATATTGGGTAAAAGATGTTACTGAAACTTCAAGTGTTCTACCACATAACAGCTCAGACACATAACCGCCCAAAATTTTAAATTATCACATTGTTTTTTTAATACAATTTTCAGAATTTCCAGTTTGTTATCAGGCAAGTACTTCACAGATGAAGAGCTGAAAGATATAGAAAGATATATGAAGATGGCTGTGGAACTTGCGTTAATTGCCAAACGCAGCAATCAAGTAAATTTAATTTTCTTTTGAGGTCACTGATGATTTGTAGTAACTTTTAAACATTTTTATTAGACATATTTACTTTTAGTGAATTTAATAATGTTTCTGGCAGCAACCTATTGGAGCAGTTATTGTAGATCCAGTAAATAAAAAAGTGATTGCTGAAGCGTATGACTTACGTCAGGCTGGGTATTCTCTTCAGCATGCAGTAATGGTAGCTGTAGATCTAGTAGCACACTCACAGGGAGGTGGTATGTGGCAATTTAAAGGTAAATTGAAAATACTTATATTTTAAAGCTTATCAAAAAGCTACACATGATCAAGAATTCTTATAGATATCTTACAACATGGTTTTTTAAATAACAGATTATTAAAATTGAAACATAAAAAGTAAAAAGACTTTAAAATTATTTATTTTTAAAAGTTATTATTTTATCTTAGATTTCTAAGTTACAGAAGATGTTTTCTGAGCTATGATAATTTAATTTTGGTAGATAATTATCTGGTGTGTTTATTTGGCTTCTTGCTCAGTTAGCATTTGCTGTTAAGTCTAGTTGATACACATTGATACCTTTTTTAAAATTCTTAATGTAAAGTTTCTGCTTTGGACAGTCAATAGGGCAGATGATGTGGAGTTCATGTGTCTGTCACTTTGACATATGAAGGGACAGTGTGGTCAATATTCTTTCACTAGTATTAATCAGGTACCAATCAGGGCTGAGTGGAATAGAGACATTCTGGTTAGCAGTTGTAGGTCATTCTTTTTCTAAACTCCTTAACAACTTTATTTTTTTCAGATAGAGAATGTGGTTTAAAATATTCACAGCACCACACATCAGAAATTATCAATGACAAAAATGGACCATACTTATGCACTGGATATGATTTGTTTATTACTCAAGAGCCATGTACAATGTTAGTAACTGCATTTAATTCTCTAGTAAATTTTATTATTAGACCTTTTTAATCTATTTTTCCTTGTCTTGATTTTATGTTTATTTATTTTTTTGTAAATAATTTCACAATCTTTTTAAGATGAATTAAAAATTTCAAGATATTATTGCTTGATTGTATGTTTATTTTTTAGTAAATTATTACATTTTTAAAAAAAAAAAATTAAAGATTCTAAAATTTGTGTTAATGGCTTGACTCTCTTAGGTGCAGTATGGCATTAGTACATTCTAGAATAGGAAGAGTGTTTTATGGCTCATCTCACCCTGCAGGAGCTTTAGGAACTCACTATAAAATTCACTGTCAGCAAGGTCTGAATCATCACTACAAAGTGTTCAAAAATTGCCTTTCACTAGAAACTGACAAACTGTATCAATGCAGTTGATACTTGCTCATGTTTTAAAAGTAAATTAAAGTTTTGGAATGTCATATACTGCTGATGGACTTTTTAATATATTTATTATATAATTTAATGAATAATTTGTGCAAATAATGATCCACTAGTAATATATGAAAAAAATGTAAATCATAATATAAAAATGTTTGTTTTATTGTACTGTGTTTTAATAGTTTTATGTAAATAAAACGAATTCCTGCTGATTTTATCCTTCAAAAATGTATTTTATAAATATTTGTTTGTAGAGTTTTTTTGTGCGTGTTGATTGATGAATTTCAAATTTTTTTTAAAAAGAGAGGCTATTGAATATTTACAGTAACAGTACTGCTGTAACCTGAAGTCAGCCTTTTGGTTCATAGTGTTTTGGTCTACTTTTCATTCGTGATGTTTTGGTCAGCCTACATATTTAGTCCATGGTGTTTTGGTCAGTTTACCTTTGTTCCCTGGTAGCTTACCTTTTGGTTCTGGTGGTTTAGTCAGCCTACCTTTGGTCCATGATGTTTTGGTCAGCCTACCTTTGGTCCATGATGTTTTGGTCAGCCTACCTTTGGTCCATGATGTTTTGATCCATGATGTTTTGGTCAGCCTACCTTTGGTCTATGCCAGCCTTTGTACAGATCTAGGCATTGCTCTATTTGTGCTTATGGAAAGTGGGATTAATAAATATTGTATTAAAAACTAGTCTTATTTTCTTATTTCAATGCTTTTGATTTTCTTTACCCTTCTTTTTGGTCAAATTTTGGGCCAAAATGTGATTTTTACTAAAATTGCAAAAAAAAAAAAAAAAATTGAACCTTCATTTTTTTTAAAGAAATCAGTATTTGTTTTCAGTAAAACTAATAGGGGGGGGGGGATATTTTAGAACTGCTAAATGTGGGTTGGTTGGTTTATGGAGTGGATCAGTTGTTCAAACTTATCACATTGTATGGTTTTTATGTGCACTATCACATTTAGTACTAAAATGGTGTCTGGTATGGGTATGTTTAAAAAGAACAAGTAGATCTAAGTGGAGTTCACAGTTTCTGTGGCATGGTCACACACTTAAAGATTCATTGCTGGTTATGTACTGTTTTTGTGTGTGTGTAATGTAAATGTTTACTAATTGAATTTTTTTTAAATTAACATTAAACCAAGTCTCAAAAGATGCTAACTCAAAATCACATCTAAGGTTGCTATGGAGCTACCAGTAAATGACCCCACACTCTTAATCATCAAAGTGGTAAGGGATTGGATTTCAGCTAAAGGGATTGGTAAGGAAGAGTGATGTTAATTGTCATATTTCTATATTTAAAAAAGGGTATTATAAGAACTGAATTATAGCAATACTTTTTTTGGGTCAATTTATGTATTGTATAGTTTTAGCGATGTTTTCAGCAACCTAGCTATCAGTAGCAGTTAACAGTATTTTTTAAGCAATTAATATTTTTGACTAAAATCCTAGCAAGATTATATCCCCTTGCAGAAATTGTAGTCTGTTAAAGACAAAACACAGCCAACTCTTTTAGTGATGGTGCCTTTCATTATTTTTTTATTGTTGTTAATAATAAACAAGGTCGCATGTCGAGTAGGTAGCTAAAAAGATTCCTCTATAGATATAATTATAATATTAATAAAATAATAGTTTTTAAAAAATAAGATATTTTTTAATTTGGACCAAAAAATTTTGCACCAATATTTTGTTGCTAGGTTTTATCAAGCGCTCTTCTACTTTAATGGTAATATTATTGTTAAATGTAAACTAAGGAATTGAAAGTTCACACGTCAACTTTCGTTTTTACTGGCTTTTAACTATTTAATATTTAAGTTAAAGCGGCTAAAGCCTCTTATTTTTTTATATTTACCATCTTAATTAGAACTAGATCTGCATTTTTTAAAAACAATCAGCACATTATATACTTAAACTATAACTTAATATCAATAAATATTGGATTTTTTTTACATCAAAGATAAAATTTAGATCTAGTATTTTTAATTTTTACATGGAGCACTGCAAATTGTTTTTTTTCGCCCAAGTCTTCCTCGACTTTTTTGTAGTGGTCGCTGCTAATTTCGACCCTTTCACAGACAGCAATTTATTTTCGATCAAATGGCAAGGTCACATTGAATTGACTAAAGAAGAGGTAATCATTAAAATAATAAAATAGCAAGAAATAAAATATAGTATATTATAGGCCTATATAAAATAGGCTACGTAAAATAAAATCGCCTGCGACTAGTAATGTGAAAAACAGGTGACTCCTTAAATTTTAATAATTATTTCACATTTTGAGGAGGATTTATCATTTTATGTTTTGAAAAATACAAAAATGTTTCCTTGTTTCATTTAGGCCTAATATAATTGACTAATAAATACTAAAATAGAATCTATTAGGCCTAAATACTAAATAATATTATATTAATTAATAATATTAATAGGGTTGTCGGTATCGGCCGAGATCGCGGTAAAAACATGACCCGAAATCTCCCATTACTTTCTGATACCGGGCACACGAGATTTGGTTTTGCATACTAATAAGTTTTTAATTTATGGTAATTAATTAAGTTTAAAAGGTCATTTCCTAATGTTAAATGAAAAGTAGAATGGTTTTCCCATTGTTTTGATAGCTTAGCCATCTGAATGCACGCTACCTCTGCTTTGGTCTTCCCCCTGTATGAAGGCTAGTTTCAAATACGTTGGAATCACGATTTTTTAAAAGGTTATTCTAGATGAGTGAAGATTACTGAGCAGACATATCTTATATATGTGGAAATGATATTTGTTTTTGGATATTTTGACTCTGACATTAGATATACTCGTTTAGAGGTAGTCACTGTATGTAGGTCGCGTTGCCACCATTGTTATATTTTTTCATCCCGATCTTCCGGCCTTTAAGTTTGATCAACTAACAACAGCATTCTTATGGAATGTGCAAACAAATCTCCTAATTTTTGTTTTCAAAATATATTTACATACCCATCTTTCATTTTTTCAGCTCTAGTTCTAGTTTTGCAGAATGTTTTTCCTAAAATCCAATTTTGTCAGACTAGACTGACAAGAGTCAGACCTAGTCCTAGGTTACCTGTCTGTTGCTATACACTAGCATTGTGCTAATTGTAATTTTAAGTATTCTAGTTCTACTTACTCTTAGACATAGTTATATGCTGAAAATCAGAATCCATACACAATTCACACATAAAAACATTGGTCTGATAACTTCATTTCACTTATTACAAAATGGCTTATATGGACTCTACTTCACCTGCCCAAAATAACAAGGCAGTTATATACACATTACAGTGCATTTCATTGGTCAGTTTCAGATTGGGCAGAACTCTGGAGATTGGTATAACACATTCACCATAATTAATATTGCACAATGAATTGTCTAAATTTACTGCTCTACAACATTTGAGAACTTGTTTTGTTTATAAATGACAAAACATCATCACATGCTGTTAACTAACCCTAATTGAACAAAAAAAACAATACAAGAAAATTTCATTACAGCAGTAGTGAGGTGTGTGCCCAGAGCACTGATGCAGAACAGGCAGACTTATTGAAGGGGTGTAATATTGTTTGTTCAAATGGTGTTGATGAAAGTGTTAGTACAGATGTGGGTGGGGTATAATTGTATGAGAAAGTGACTACTTTGTGGTGAATGTGCAATGAAAGATGTTGCAAAAGTGAAGGTGTGCATTTGTCAAAAGATTTGTCAAATTTAAGAGCTATGCAAAATGCACAGCTATACCTGCTTTAAAATTTAAGTTTTCTGAATTTGTACATTAATCTAATTCCCAAACACATATTTAAAACAAATACTAAATCAATGAGTAAAACATAATCTATGAATATTATAAAATACCAACAGAACTATTCTGAATGGCAAGAATTAGGCCCGAGGTTAGAAAACCATATGAATTAAAATATCCCTAATTACCATTCTATATGATAAGCAGTTTTGGAGAAAAGAATACAAGAGACAAATTTTAATGCTATGAAAGCTGCAACACATAATAATTTTCTTTAGTGCAAACAGCTTTACTTCAGTAATCAAAGATATAGTTTTTGCAAAGCCATAACAGATAGTTACGTAACTCTGTACTTGTACAATTTGTAAAGGTTGCGTCTCTTGGGGATCGGCATGTAATGGTGACTACTAGTGAAAAAGAGTTTTATCGCTGTATACTTCCTGATGAGAAAAAACAATCTAATGTAAGTAATTTATTTTTAAACAAACAAATGTTATTTCATCTCAAGAAGGAATTATTAAAAGTTTAAAAGAACACTTTAAATTTTTTAGCTTATCATTCCATTTAGAATATTAAAAATGTTTGATGTTTTAATCTGTTTCGTTACAGGATGAAGCAAATAATGATACAGGTCCTACTGTTGATGAATTAATAAGGCCCCTATTTAAACAGGCCCACTGTTCATATAGGGTTAGTTTTTTTGTTTGTTTTTTTTTGTAATAACAAAAACATCTCTTTCTCATCATTACTGGGAGTCTCTTATTAGAAAAATGTTAGAAAAGTATGCTATAATGTTGTTAAACTGCCTTTTTTAAGTTGTTGTTTTTTTCCTGTTTCAGATTGAAAGTTATTGGACTTACGAACTATGTCATGGCAAACATTTAAAACAGTACCATGAAACTAAAGAGCAGGGCATGGTAACTGCATCTGTTTGTTGACTGTTTTAGTTGTCTAAAAGATTTGTTGTACCTTATCCACATATCCTTGTAGATATTTTTCTACATAAAATTTAAAGGCCCATATAGCATAACATTATTAAAAGTTTTTTTTTAATGATTTTCAGCAGCCCAAAGTACAGGAATATTATCTTGGCTTTGGTAATCACAGGGATAATTTAAAAGGTAGTAAAGTATTACTTTATAAATTTTATTTACTGATCATTTTCATTTATTCAGGTTATTAATTAGGACACAAATATTGTCCCTTGGATCTAATTATTTATAAATTTTGTCCTATAATATGTGGAATAACACAATCCAATATTTTTAGATGAGGATAAGGTTTTACCAGCACAAGCTTCTATACCAGTGCGTGAAGTGGATGGTGTTGAGCTTCCCTTTTATGAAGTTATAATGGGTGATGGCACTAAATGTGACTTAACCGGGGCACCACGTAAAGCACATGTGCTATATGTCTGTCAGCCAGAAGGCAGAGGTGAAGTGTATGAATTTAAAGAGAGTTCCACTTGTGAATATGAAGTGATTGTTCTCACTAGTTTACTGTGTAAGCACCCAAAGTACAGGTAATCTATACAATTGTTTTGTTCTAAGCTTATACATTAGATGTTAATAATTTGATTAATCTACAATAAATGTTTTAGGGTAACATGATAGCTTCTATCATCATTTTCTATTTGCAGTAGAAAACTTGCCTTGTATTAAAGTAATTTTTTATTTTCATATCAAAGGCCCAAAACTCACCCTGTGAATGAAATTCGCTGCCATGCAATGTTTGGCTCACCTTTAAAACCATCAGAGCTGACTCAGATTGAACATGAGTCCTCATATTTGCAGACATCTGAACAGGTAACCTTTATTTTGTTTTACACATTGTTTTAGTTTGTGGAACAGACTTTTTTTTTTTGTTTAACTTCAAAACCAACTTAATTTACTAACAACTTATAATATATTTTAAAATATGCACTCGTTAATATAAAAATCATATTTTTTAAGCCTACTTTTACAAAAAATAAAACCAATTAATAAAGCACAACCAGTAAACAATAAAAGTTGGAAGATGCAATTTTAAATGTTTTTTTTAAAAGAAATAAAGTAAGTATTTACCCAACCTTTCCAGGATTATTTTAACCAAGAGCCTGTAGAACAAAGAAAGCCAAAGTTTATCCACAAGAAGAAGCAGAGTGAAAATCCTGTAGAGCCAAAAGTGCCCCAAGACCAGCAGTCCCAGCTTGGAGCATTAACTGATAAACAGACATTGAGAGATATACTCTCAGGGAGTCAGTGCCTTAGAGGGGTAAGCCACTGGTTTTTGGGCTGTTTTATGTGTGAGTTATGGGCTTATATATGCCATTCCTCCCCTATGATTGTATGGTAATATGAAAATTTATGATGATTCAACATTTCAAGTATTAAAGCATACATGTGATATTGTGATCTTAGATAAGAAATATAATGCTATATATCACCTCATCTGGGATCATTAACTTACATAGAGGTGGTGAAGTTTCTAATTACATTAAAGCATTATTGAAAGTTTTACTAGATTGATATGTAGAATCATTGTAAAGTTATGGGTATAGAGTTCTACACCACATTAGCCTTTTCTATGCTGACTGTTGGTGTAATTTAGTGATATTTTTATAAGGGTTGTAACTTATCTTTATTTTTTCTTTCATTTTGTTTTATCTACAGCTTTAATTATTTCTGGCATTACTGTAAGACATAATAATTATTGTATTTTCTATTACAGGGTGCAGGCTGGTGGAAGCATGAAGTATGTTTTGGCAAGTTTGCCAAACAGTTTCACCTGGTATGTTCAAAGTTATAAACTCAAGCCTTTTTATTAATTGGTAGCTGTTTAGTTGAAAGTTATTTTTTAAGTTTTACTTTGATCAAATTTAGGAAGTAAATAAAACTAGTGTAGTGTTACTTATTAGTATTTGTTTACAAAAAAACTGACAAATTAAAAACTAGAACAACTTTTGCACTGACTGTTGGGCTGTTAATATTTACCCATACAAATAACTTGTGCTAAACACTGTCACAACTACATTAAAACTTTTAAAAATTATAAGTACAGCATGAAACTACAAAATCCAACCATGTTGGTCAGTTATAAAGTATTTTAGTTTAATGATTCTTATCAAAAGTATCATCTGTACAGTTTGCCTAACCACTTATTCTTTACAAAAAATTATGTTTACCATTAATACTAAGGGTCATCCATAAATTCATCTTGCTTTTTTAAAACATTTTTTGTATATCTTGACCACAACAACAAAAAGTCAAACCACTGACCATTATGTTTTTTTTTTACTTTTATAAAGGAAGTAGGGAGAGAAGCTAACATCTTTTTGGGTCATTGGAATAAAGAAAAACATTTAGCGTGGCTAGAACAAAATCCACTTAAACGACCCAAACCTGTTGAACATCGAAAGTAAGCAATGTTATTTTTTGCTGCAAATCAATCTTTTATTTTTTTTACTGTTATTTTTTTGTTCATTTAAAATATTAATATTGATTATCTTCAATAAACTGATTGCATATTTTTTAAAATTTATTTTCTTTAATACTGATCTCTTTATATTGATTTTTTTTTATAGACTGATCTCTTTATTCTACTCTGATGGAGATGTTTGTGATTTGACCAAAAAACCTAGAAATTGTGAAGTAAGATTAAAGTAAGTGGAATGTACATTAGACATAATAGTTCTATCCTCCTCCCTCTCCCCCCCCCCCCCCCCCCCCCTCCATATTTTAGCTTTATTCCTGTTGAAATAAAATTTCATGAAATGATAATAACTAAGAATATTTATAATTAATTTTAAAATTGGTTAAATTTATTGTCAGGTGTATTCAAAATATCAAGAATCCACATGCTGTTATTTTATCGCTAGCTGAGCCAGAAGCTTGTCAGTATGTTCTAACTGTAAGTCTTTACTAAACTTGAATATTAATTATTTTAGAAAGATTTCTTCTTTGCATTTTGTTTCAATTAAGTTGATTGGCATACTCAAAGCACGTAAGCTCACTTGTAATTTCAACAAAGTAAAATTTATGCTGAAAACATGGAAAGACGACATGATTTTTAACAAAATATGTTGTAACAGCCAAAAATGTTTTAAGTTAGCTTAGTTAGTATACCAACAATGTTTAATAAGTAACACAAACTGTTAAATTATTGATTATTTTGATATAAAATGTTTATAAAATTATTCATTTAAGTACTTAGTAATAAAACAGATAGTATTAGTTACCTCACAAGTTAAAGACAGTTACAAATACTATGGACGTTTCGACCCAAGGTCTTCGTCAGCACACAACAATGTGATTACAGATTTAAGTACAAGAACTTTACAGCTTATGCTTTGTTGTATTTTAGGTTGAATCAGCATTGTTCTGTTCAATTTTGAAAGAAGCTGATGACAATGGGCTGCTAGATCATGTGGAGCTTTAACAAACAGCAGCATGGAATGGGGGCTATGTCAGCAAACAGTGCCACAGGATGTGGGCTCATGTCAGCTTGAACAGTCTCTATTTTTAAACACATGTACTTTTAAAGAACATTAAACTAGCATTTGCATTTTCTCCATTTTTTAAACGACTGCATTATAATTCTCACGAAAAACATATAGCCTATACTAAAGTTAATTTGCTATCATAAGTTAAAATACATCAAGAGAAGTTTTTTTATGAAAAAGTATTAAAATAATCCAAATCATAGCCCTTCAAACTCTAATAACAGTAAACACTAAATGTGCCTACAGTTATATATCTATATATATATATATATATATATATATATATATATATATATATATATATATATATATATATATATATATATATATATATATATATATATATATATATATATATACATACATACATATATATATACATACATATATATATACATACATATATATATATACATACATATATATATATATACATACATATATATATATATACATACATATATATATACATACATATATATATATATATATACATATATATATATACATATATATATACATACATATATATATATATACATATATATATACATACATATATATATATATACATATATATACATACATATATATATATACATACACATATATATATATATATATACATACACATATATATATATATATATATACACATATATATATATATACATATATGTATATAAATATAAATATATGTTAATAAATTTTGACTCTTAATTTGAATTTTTTCTTTCTTTTTGTAATTGTTCGAATTGATACACACTTTGTTATTAGTATTTTAATGTTTTAGTCACTAAATGCATCCATCTTAGAATGTTTGCATTTTATTTCTTTGAAATTTAAAGGCACTGTTATATATTTCTTTAAGTTCAATGCAGGCAATTCAAATTAGAAAACTCTTACTCTTGTGATAATTTGCTCTCATTGTCAAGAGCATTTGTGTGCTTTTGTGGGTGTGCATAAAGTTTGTTTTTGAACAATGGCTGTTTGTTTAGCTGGTGTATGATGTCTAACTTGGAACTTTTATGTCTGTATCTATAATCCACATTTTGTTCGTCCTAATTTATGGAACATATCCGTGTCATGCAGAAGTATCACTTTGTGTACATTAAGTTGATTGTGCTGTCTTAAAACAAAATGACAGTGAATGTAGTGTCAGAGATATTTCCTTATGTTATTGATGTTTACTTACTGAAAATTATTTCTTTATAATTAAAAAAAATACAAGGTAAAGGTTTTAACCATAAACATTAATGACTATTTAATTGGTCACACTGATTGCTCTTACAGTTTGATTAAGCAAAACGCATGCAGTTCTTCACAATCCCTATATCATTATTTCTTTTCACCACCACGTTAAATGGTGCAATCACACATTTAATTTTTTTTTATACGGTGTGCTTGTTTGTTATACTTCTGTTCTTTTTATAATCTTCTCTAATATTCTAATCTTTCTTGGCAAACCCACTCTTAATTCTGGCAGTGTGTCCTTGTCTCCCTACTATGACCTTTGCATATCACTGTCTGAACACTTAATCTAAGATATTTGAATTCAATTTTTCTTGTTTTTTGTTATAGATGCTCGCTTATTAACCAGAATGTGTAATTATGTTTTCTGCTTTCATTTTCTGTTTGTTCCTTTTTTATTGTTTTATTCATGTCTATGGATTATAAGATTAACATCTTCTGTTTATTATCAAATTTTTCTTTACCAAGTTTATCTTTACATTTATTTTAGTTTCGATTGACTGTGCAACTAGTTCATAATTAAGAATAAAAATATTTTGTAATTAAATTACAAGTATTAAAAAGAAATATACTAAGTATTTAATTTCTTAGAAAACTAATTGTGTGCTGTTCCAGAGAATAAACTATTTTTATTTAAACAAGTAGCTGAAAATTGTTTTGCCAAACTGCCTGTCATTCATCAATACTGTAATTTTTTTCTAAAATAGTATCACTCTTATTAAGCAATAAGAAGCGTAGTTACAATAGTAGACATTATGATGTTACCAGAATTTTCATTTTCCACCCCATTTTTAGAGCTGACGGAGTTTCCACTCCACTTGTAATATGAGTGTTTCATTCACTGCATCATGGATATCAACATTTTTACTTATTAAAGAATGAATTTTTAAGTCATTCATCACAGTTTAAAGAGAATAAAGTATCTACCTGCCAACCTTTAATGCTGATTTTGATGTATGTGATACATATATGGTTTGCTTAGTAGAGTTTTGGGATGAGTACTAATAAGATGTCTTCCAGTGATGATAAAAAAATAACCATAGCTCAATAACTACAACATATGAGAGAAAATAACACTTGGACAGAAAACTTTGCAACTAATGGTGGAATTTCCAGAAGAAAAAATGTGATTTCATTCAACGATAATTATTTTGGTATTGAACAACAATATTTGAAAGAAAAAAAATACTAACAGCTCAAAATATTTGCATCAACATTTATTTGCTCAATTAAAACTGACAAGCCACTTTTAAAAAAAAAAAAAGAGCATTATATAAACCATTTCTTTCAACAACTAGTAACATTTCAATGTGTTTATCCATTTACACTACGCAAAATAAATAACACATACACACATAAGAAAGTATCTCTACTTGCACTTCATTTACTCAATAGTACATTTTACTATTTACATCAATATACAATAAACTTTACAATACTGAAGCAAATATTGCAACTTTTCAAAATGTTTACATATTACATAGTTTAAACACGGTCTTATTTTATCACACATTTCCATCTGAAAAAAAAAAATAGCTCACTTAAATTAAATCTTGTTCATAATAAAAACTATTTATGCAGATCAATCTAGCTCTTCAACAGTTGGTCCGTTGTGATTACTGTGTGACTGATCCCCATGCCCACTCTGTCCTGTATGTAACTTAGCCATTATAGATGAAGAGATCTTTTGTATTTCCTTTAGTTTGTCTTCGAACTCTTCCTTTTCGGCCAGCGAATTATTGTCCAGCCATTTGAGTGTGCTATTGCAGGCATTGAGCACAGAATCCTTATCCGCAGAAGAAAGTTTGTCACCAGCAGCGTCCACTGCCTGCTTGATACTGAAAACATAGCCCTCCAGTTGGTTTCTGGCACTGACTTTTTCTTGTTGTTTCCTGTCTTCATCTTTGTACTTTTCAGCTTCGGCCAACATTCTATCAATATCTGCCTGACTGAGGCGACCTCTATCATTTTTTATGGTAATGTTATTCGACTTTCCAGTACTCTTGTCTTGGGCGGTGACATTGAGAATACCATTGGCATCGATGTCAAAGGTGACTTCAATCTGGGGCACCCCGCGAGGAGCAGGCGGGATACCTGTCAGATGAAATCGACCCAAGAGATTATTGTCTTTAGTCATGGTCCGCTCACCTTCATACACCTGTATGTCGACTCCGGGTTGGTTGTCAGCATAAGTGGTAAAGATCTGGGATGTTTTTGTAGGGATGGTGGTGCCTCTCTTAACGAGGGCAGTCATAACGCCTCCAGCTGTCTCAATGCCGAGAGACAATGGAGCTACGTCAACAAGTAGAACATCCTTGATGGTGTCACTCGTGTCTCCAGTGAGCACAGCAGCTTGGACGGCAGCGCCATAGGCCACAGCTTCGTCGGGGTTAATGGATTTGTTCAGTTCTTTTCCGTTGAAGAAGTCGCTCAACAGCTTCTGCACCTTGGGAATACGTGTTGACCCTCCAACCAAGACCACTTCATCGATTTTGCCTTTATCGAGCTTAGCGTCCCTCAAAGCTGTCTCGACGGGCTCAAGCGTCGATCTGAACAGGTCACCGCACAGCTCTTCAAATCTGGCTCTGGTCATTTTGGTGTAAAAGTCAATGCCTTCGTAGAGAGAGTCAATTTCAATGGATGCTTCTGTGCTGCTGGACAGGGTCCTCTTGGCTCGTTCACAGGCAGTGCGCAGGCGCCTGATGGCCCTCGGGTTGGAGCTCATATCTTTGTTGTGTTTCCGTTTAAACTCCTGCACAAAGTGATTGACCATTCTGTTGTCAAAGTCCTCTCCACCCAAGTGAGTGTCTCCGGCAGTGGCTTTCACTTCAAACATTGAACCTTCATCAATGGTCAGCACACTCACATCAAATGTGCCACCTCCGAGGTCAAAGATGAGTACATTTATTTCACCTTTATGCCTCTTGTCTAGTCCATAGGCCAGCGCTGCTGCTGTTGGCTCGTTGATAATTCTCAGCACATTTAAGCCGGCGATGGCCCCGGCATCTTTTGTGGCCTGTCTCTGTGAATCGTTGAAATAGGCAGGAACTGTGATGACTGCATCTGTGACTTTCTGGCCCAGATATGCTTCTGCAGTCTCTTTCATCTTGATCAGAACCATAGAACTGATTTCTTCTGGTGCAAACAGTTTTTGTTCTCCTTTGTACTCGGCTTTGATTTTAGGTCGCCCATCCACATCAGCAACTTTAAATGGCCAATGTTTCATGTCCCCTTGAACAGTCTTATCATTGAATTTACGACCTATCAACCTCTTGGCATCAAATATGGTGTTGCTGGGGTTCATGGCGGCTTGGTTTTTGGCAGCGTCGCCAACAAGGCGCTCTGTGTCTGTGAAGGCAACATAGCTTGGTGTTGTACGGTTGCCCTGGTCGTTGGCGATAATTTCTACTTTCCCATGCTGGAAAACACCAACGCATGAATACGTTGTGCCCAAATCAATGCCGATGGCGGGAGCTTTTTGGCCTTTCGTCATCTGAAATTATCACAAAGCATAGATGAGTGGGCTGTGCCAGTTAGAAAAGTCAGTAAAACAGAGGTAGATTGTCACAAAGTGTGCATGCCCAACTATGCTAGCTAACATTTAAATCTCGAGCCTGCAGTCCATCCCAGATGTCCACCAGCCCTGACACATGTACATAACACCAGTGGGAGTAAATAAGACGGATGTGCACACAATACCTGTGTGGGTTGGCGTTAAAAAAACAAATGAACTCTACTACATCTACCCTATGGAAAGACTCCTCCTAGTGGGTACTTGACTTTTACTACTACAATACTATTTCAGCTTTTATAGGCCTACATCACCCCATGCGGATCATCTCAACGACAGAATCGT